AGACTCATACGACACTTTTTCACAGTTTACCCAAGAACTTGAAATACAGTTTTGTGAAGAATATGATAGACAATTTCATGCAGAACGTATGATGAATTTACGTCAAAACGGAAGAATCGAAGCTTTTAACAATCACTTTGATACATTACTCAAAGAGTTACCAGCAGATTACTATACGGAAGAATTAAAATTAGATATGTATCTAAGCCAGTTAAAACCGAACATCAAAAGAGAAGTGAAATGTAAAAATCCGACGAATTTAAATTCAGCCATGAGAACAGCGTTATTATATGATGATCAATATAATAACTCTACGTACCATAAGAATAAGCAAACGTCTAAGAATCTCAATCCAAAAGAAAACGTCTCGATTGATAGAGATATGGATAAAATGGAACTTGATCATATACTGACGAGAAGAAAATTTCCAAGCAAATTAGAATGCTACAATTGTGGAAAAGAAGGACATTTCGCAGCCAAATGTACCAATAGATCAAAAAACTGAAGCAGTCAAATAGACGGGTCGGATTTGACGTGCTGAAAGACCTGAAAAAGAATATGACTAGAAAGTCAGATAAACATAACACAGTAGGTGTTAATCATATTGAGTTAAAAAGAAAGGTTAGAAATCAGGAGAGTACTGAACAACCTAAGTTAGATAGTTATGATAATATTCAAAAAGAATATGGATCAAGTAAATNCTACGAAGAAGTCGTAGATGATAGTAAAAATATTACAAGAATACAAGGTAATATAGACAGAAAAAAGAACCTGCTAGAAAATTCGTGTGACGTGAATTTCGTAGGAAATATGGAGCTTAAAAAGGAATCCAAGGAATTACCCATAGTAAGAGGTAAGGATCAGAGTAAACTCCAAGAACCATTATTTAGAATACCAGTGAGTGTCAAGAGTAAAGAAAGTAAAGCTTTAATAGACACTGGAGCACAAAGTAATTTCATAACACCAGAGTTAGTGGACGAGATGAAATTAAGTACAGATATAGCACCAGATGTGATATTGACAACNGTCACAGGTGAGGAAAGAAANCTTAATAGAAAAGTTAGACTTGACTTAAGAATAGGAAAAGAGATAGTGGAAGTACAAGGTTATGTTGCTTCACTTAGACATNCTATTATTTTAGGAAGACCATTTATTAAACAATACAATAAAGAAATAGACTTTATTAAAGAGACAGTATTTGGCATAGAGAATTGTGAAAAGGAAACACAATTAACAGAGATAGAATATATTGATTCTAATCAATTTTTAAGAGATNTCAGACCAACGGAGTCAGATATAGGATTATTTTACATTACAGAAGAAACTCTAGAAAGAGGTAAAGAAGTACCCGAGTTTATAAAGACAGATTTTAGTGACGTCGTAACGAATACGAGTCCGAAGAGAATATCAGAGTTCAAGAAAGTAACTCACAGAATTCATCTCATTCCAGGAGCAAAGCCTACGGCAAGACCACCGTATCGCATTTCGCAGTTTGAGACAGAAGAATTGAAGAAACAAATAGAAGAACTACTACAGCAAGGATTTATACAGAAATCAAATTCACCGTATGCTGCACCAGTACTATTTGTAAAGAAAAAGGATAAAGCTTTACGGTTATGCGTTGATTTTAGATTATTGAATATCAACACAATCAAAAATGCATTTCCCATTCCTTTAATAGAAGACTTATTTATGAAAATAGGAACAGCCAAGATATTTTATATCAAGTGTTAGTTGTAAGAATTACCTAATTTAGACCCAGTTCCCTTACAAAGTTGATAAAGTTCATAATATATATATAATAGTCGGAGAGAGTTAAAATAGTTCCGAAAGAAATGTTAGGTTAAAAATAATACATGTCCAAGTAGCCAACATTACAAAAGAATTCTTCAAGTTCTGTAGTTATTTTTAATTTCTTATTGACATCAAATTTATTAAAATTCGGTAAAAATGAAAATTATTCAAATAAGTAATTATCCTATAAAGTCAGCAAGTGTCAAACAACCTGATACATAAGAATATTCAAGCAAAATATAAGGCATTCGTTGGAAAGCCATTAAATAGATCAAGCTTCAAGAATATATTCCTAATACCTTCAATCTAATAATTTGGCTGCAACGCTTTTTTTACTAGTGCGGTTGGTATTTTCTGAAGAAAAAATTTGAATATCCATTTGAAATAATATTCTTTTTACAAATGAATTACTTTCAGAAGTCTTTAAGATATTTCAGTATATCATCTAAAGCATTGGCGAAAAAGAAGAATGCTAGTGTAATTAAAACTAAGTATTTGGGGCGTCCAAGTAATAATTTGACACTGGGTGTTGTCGGATTGGCAAACGTTGGTAAATCAACATTTTTCCAAGCCATGACCAAGACAACTTTAGGTACAGCAGCAAATTATCCTTTTGCTACCATAGATCCCGTGGAATCACTAGTAATTGTAGAGAGTCCAAAACTAAACCATTTGGGCCAATTGTACGAATCACAGAAGAATATTCCTACAATTTTGAATATACTTGATATAGCTGGGTTAACCAGAAATGCAGCAAGTGGTGAAGGTTTGGGTAATAAGTTTCTATCTGATATAAGACAGGTTGATGGGATATTTCAGGTGGTCCGTGGCTTTAGGGATGATGATATTATACATATTGAAGACAATAAAGTTGATCCTATTCGTGATATGAATATTGTTACAGAAGAATTAATACTAAAAGATTTAGAATTTGTTGAAACTGGAATAGAAAAAGTTGGGAAGTTAATGAAGAGACCACATATAGATAAGACGCAGGTTCAACTAGAGATAGACACTTTAAACAAGATTCAAGATTTGTTGTACGAGAGTCGAAAAATATCAACTGGACAATGGACGGATAAGGAGATAGATATAATTAATACTTACAACTTTTTAACTGCTAAGCCAACTGTGTACTTATTGAATGTTAGCGAGAAAGATTATGTCGCTCAACAGAATGAATTCAAACAAGATGTTGCACAGTGGATAGAAGATAATTGTCCGAATGATATACTCTTAATGTTTTCAGCCTCGTATGAGACTAAAATAAATGAGTGCAAAACTCCCGAAGAATTGAATCATTTTCTAGCTCTAAACAATAACAAAACGAGTGCAAAGTCTGACATTGTTGACAAGATGAGAAGTTGTTTAAACTTGATCTCATTCTATACGTGTGGTCCTAAAGAGGCAAGACAATGGTCTCTTCGCGAGGGAAGCACAATGCCCGAGGCAGCTGGTTTAATTCATACTGATCTTCAGAAGACTTTTATATCGGCACAGGTTTACAAGTTTGATGACTTAGTAAATTTATCCCCACCGTTTAACGAAGCATCACTAAAAAATAGTGGTAAGCAATTTAAATGTGGTAAGAACTATATAGTACAAGATGGAGATGTAGTGATTATCAAAGCTGGTAATGCAAAGGCTCGATAAAGTCATGTATATAGTATCAAACGTAAATACTTACTAGATCCTCAAATGTATGACTTTATCTTTCATTATCACATTCATGAGTGATGATAGCTTCACATGAATAGATAAATGCATCCAGACACCTATAGTTATGCACGCCTGTCATATTTCTCATTTTTTCGACTTTTACCCTCTTTTGAACGAAAACGGCTCATTGAAATTGGAGACATCCAAGATAAGCCTATTATTTGAATTTGTTCAGTTTCGATTCCCGCCGTTTTTCTGTACGATCGCTTGCCGGCTTTCCCCCACTTTAGTATTTTCCGTGATAACCTTTGAATTTTCCTGCCTACTATATTTGTTCAATTTTCTTTTGTTTAGGTAAGGTATCGTGATAGTTGATAAATTAATTTGGATATTAGTTTTTTATATGTTTCAGATTATAAGAAGAATTCAAAATAACCCTACTGGTAGTAAAAGAATGATTCTGTCACTTTATAATTATTTGTTTCCTCAAGCAAATGAGGTGCATGTTAGGAATTATTCGACTAATAATCCCATAATTTCTGATGAAATAGCAGATAGCTTTCATCCGAAGTTAAAGACGATTTTCCAGCAACTAGATTCTATTGCTCCAAGGTTTGTATTAAACAAAGGTGATATCCAGATTTTAACTCATCCAGTGGAGTTCTATGAGAGTTTGAAAGAAAAAATCACCAACTCAAAATCCAGAGTATTTTTAAGTTCGTTATATTTTGGTAAGAGTCAACATGAATTAGTCGAATGCATTGACAACGCAATGAGTAAAAACGAGGATTTGCAAGTATTTATATTGATTGATTCGTTGAGAGGAACGAGAGAGGCGCCTAAACATGCTTCTTCGGCCAGCATATTAGTGCCCTTAGTAGAAAAGTTTGGTAAACATAGAATCGATATAAGAATGTACCACACGCCAAAATTAAATGGATTAACTAAAAGCTGGACTCCGAAGAGAATCAATGAAAGTTGGGGATTACAACATATGAAATTGTACGGATTTGATGACGAAATTTTGTTAAGTGGTGCAAATTTATCAGAAGATTACTTTACGAACAGACAAGATCGCTACTATATTTTTAAGAATAAGGATTTGACTGATTATTATTATGATATCCACAATGCTGTATCGTCTTTGTCATACCAATTATTACCTTCAACTAAGAATGAGCAAGGATTTAGATTATCATGGCCAACATCGAATAATTCCTGTGAACCTCATATGAACATGCAAAGGTTTATTAGTGATTCATCGTTCTTGTTAGAACCTTTGTTAAAGCAACATAAGCTAAAGTCATTTGAAGAATTTAAAGATACTAATAAATTCGATACAATCGTATATCCTATTTCTCAACTAACTCCTTTGTTACAACCTAATAATGATCAATCCACAGAAAAACCTGCAATTTTGAGATTGTTGTCTTATTTGGATTCCCCAAAAATTAAGTGGTGGTTTACTGCTGGTTATTTTAATATGTTGCCTCAAATTCAAGATCGTCTTATAAATGGAAAAGCTTCCGGAGTAGTAATAACTGCATCATCGCAAGCAAATTCTTTCTACAAATCTCCAGGATTGTCGTACTATATACCCCAGGCATACTTATTATGTGCTAAGAGGTTTTTAGAAGAGATTCATCGTAGGGGAAAACAAGATTTGATTACATTGAAGGAATGGAAGAATGGCATTGTCAATACCGTTGATGGTTGGTCATATCATGCAAAGGGTTTATGGATAACGGTCCCTGAAGAAGACGAACCATCGGTAACTGTTATTGGTTCCTCAAATTATACTAAGAGAGCTTACCTGTTAGATTTAGAAAGTAATGCTATAATAATTACTAAAGACCCGGAATTAAAACACCAGATGAAAGGAGAAGTTGATAATCTTTTATCTCATGTTGAAACATTAGACTTGAGTGCATTTGAACCAAAGTTACAAGCTAATTCAAAAGTGGAAACTGGCGAAAATGGAGAACGCCTTGAATCTAAGCCAGTATACGAGGTAGATGAAGATAGGAAAATCAGCCGTAGAACTTATTTGGCAGTAAAGCTTTTTGGTGATAAGCTTTGATTATTATTATATATATATTATTTATTAAGCATTGTATTACGGATTCGTGCAACGTCATCCTCGTTTTCAGTTTCAAAGTATTTGATACTTAACGAAGGTGTTGCATGCCTATATAAAGTTTTTTGCTGTATAGTCAATAAACATAACGTAGAAGAATATATCATTAAATAGCATCAAGTATTATAATTCATCAGTACTACAAAATAAGGTACCCTTTCACGAACACAAACTTCGATAGGGATTATCGACAGTCACTGGCATGATAAAATGAACATTAAGCCCAATAACGCACGAACCAAACTAATTCATAGTTTTCATGTTTACCTGAGATAGCGATATTAAACACTCGAAAAAATAAGTCAATCAAATCAAGTCTAACGTCGATAACGTCAATTGATTTGAGATGCAACATTTTGAAACCCAGAATAACACATGCAAAATATTGATAAAATCCAATTTGTTAAAGCTATTTATGTGTTGATCGAAGTGTCTATTTCGTGACTAAATGCAAAAAAGTTGGATCAAAATTCCACTAGACATTATCACTAGCGTATCAATTATTAAAATTGGCGTTGATACAACTATTTTCCGGTATTTTGGAAGCATGGATTCATATTACTTAATGATATCTCTGTATTTATACAACACTTAATTGTAGTTATTGTTGAGGTTAAATAAGTGGCCATGATAAGACCATATAATCGAAAGATGGGCGGTAAATCGATTTTTTCAGCTCGCTATGCTGAAATTGATAATTATAGGATAAAAATTGAACGAGGTGGATATTACCAAACATATTTCTATTAGGATTGCATTTTCAATGAATTCTATAAGTAGAACACGTAGAACATGTAGAAAATGTAGAACATTGATATTCCAACTTCGGTCGTGACTTTACCAAGAAGTATATCACGAAGCTCTTCAATATATGTAGTCTAGGTATATGTTTGTCTATTCGTAATCGTCAAATAGTATATTCAGGAGAAATGCTGTCGCCAGAAACAGAGGGATATTGGAATATTGTTATAACGTCACTACAAGATATTTGCAGTGCAAATGAATCCCTTTCTTTCGATAGTTTGTACAGCAAGTATGCTAAAGATTCAATGAAAGGCTTATCAGAAGAAGAATTGAATGAATTGAAAGAAGAAATAACGGGTCATAAATCAAATGTGGCTACAGCAAAAAGATTGGTTTCCGTTTCACAAGAAAATTTACAAACTTTAATTACCAATTTACAGGCTTCTACCAAGCAAGCAAACGAAACTTCACCACAAAAACCAAATAGCCAACAGCAAACAGCATCCAAGGCTAGCGGTAAAGCACATAACAAGAAAACAAATCCCAAGAAAGTCGGCAGACTGTATTATACATCGAAGTTTAACCCGCTGGAACCTATTTATGTTGGATCAGAGGTAGCCTACAAATTAAAAAACAGACACTTCGAAGAATGGATCCAGTGTGAAGTAATGAAGGTAATAGGTGATGGCATAAAGTTTGAAATTAGAGATCCAGAACCGGATGAAAATAACAACCCTGGGCAGACTTTCAAAGCAAGTCACAAAGAAATTTTGTTAATACCTACATTAGAAGATGTGCCCGATCTCACGAACTACCCCTACGGATCTAAAGTGATAGCGAGATACCCGGAGACTACCACATTCTATCCAGCAATTGTCGTTGGCCATAAAAAGGATGGCAATGTGAGATTAAAATTTGATGGAGAAGAAGAAGTAAATAAAGAGACAGAAATCGAAAGGAGATTGGTACTACCATTCCCCGAGAAATGACCTTGATATGCCTTTACGTGTCGTTAATTTTGTAATTATTAAATAAATTGTATATTAGACTTGAATAATTAATACTATTTATGGTCGTGTCTATACTGAAGAAATATTCCTCGATCAACTAATTTACATTTTACTGCCCTGAAGAATATACCATAGTTAAAAAAGATATATAATTTAAATAGTAACAGTGTATCAAAATGGAAGATATGGATATTGATGATTATTCTAGAGTATGTAATATTTTTTTTTATATAAGTAACTAGCTGGATTGAATGTAATGGTAATATTAAACTTCATAACAAATGATTTGATTGATTAGATTTTGGTAGATGCTTTCTTTCTGCTTCGCTTTACTGCTTGTTGGATTGAAATGATGCTTATTTAGATCCTTCAATCTCTATATTAGTAAGAGGATAATTGTTTGATGCTACCCATATTCATTCATCGGTGCTAATATTTTCATCATATAAGAAATAATTGCTAATATGTCAATTAGGATCGTTCACGTTCACCGGTAAGGGAAAGATCTCGTTCTCCAGCACCAAGAAAAGAATCGTTCTCGAAAGATTCAAGAGACTCAAGAGACTCAAGGGACTCTAGGGACTCGAGAGGGTCAAGAGATTCATATTCTAGCAGAGATTATGGATATTCTCGCGGCAGATATGGTGGTGATAGAAGAGGAGGAGGAGATTTTGGTAGAAGAGACACTTACAGAAGAGGAGGATATAGGGGCGCTAGAGATTATAGTTCAAGAAGAGATTATAATAGCACCTCGTACGCTAGTGGATCAGACGAATACCGCACAAAGACAGAAAGAAATTACGATAATTCTATATTTGTTGGTAATATCCCATTTGGATGTACTTCAAAAGATGTTGAGGAGATATTTAAAGGGGACTTAGACATAGTTAGAGCAGATATAGTTACGAATAGGGGTCAATCTCGAGGTATGGCAACTGTTGAATTCTCAAACAAGGATGACGTACGCAAGGCAATTTCCAAATATGACCATCATGAATATCGTGGAAGGGAAATTTTTGTTAGACAGGACTATCCACCACCTGGGGACAAGAAAAAGGAAGTCAGTCAACCAAGAAGTTCAGAACGGTTCCCTCGTAGCACTACTTATAGTGAAAGAAGTGATAGGTTTTCAAAACGAGCACCAACATCAAGAGAAAGATTTCAACCCCCTGCTCCAAAGCCTGGTACAGAAATTTTTGTTGGAAATTTACCATTTTCAATTAACTGGCAAGCATTGAAAGACTTGATGCGCAAAGCTGGTGAAGTCGTTAGAGCAGATGTAAGGACTGACAATTGGGGTAAATCAAGAGGTTTCGGTACTGTCGTATTTAGTACCGAAGAAGAGGCGGCTAGAGCAGTCGAAGAATTTCAAGGATTTGAAATCGAGGGCAGACAACTTGACACTCGTCCGGGACGTGTTTACAGCCAAGAACGCAATAGCAGCTCAGATATTGTGTCTTCGAACCCAAATGAAAACCCAGAAGCTACGCATGAAAATACAGAGTTCACTGAAAATGTGACTGGTGATGGTGAAAAATCAAACACAATTTTCGTCTCAAATTTGCCATGGGTCACTAATGTTGATGATTTGTACGAATTATTCGAAACCATTGGAAGGGTTACCAATGCAGAGGTCCAATACAATGAAGCCGGTAAGCCATCAGGTAATGCTGTTATCCAATTCGAATTAGAAGAGCTCGCAGAATTAGCTATAACTAATTTAGACAACTACAATTATGGTGGCAGAGATTTGAAAATTTCTTACGCCAATAAATTGTGAACATCTGAGCAGAGAAGCTTTAATTATATATCGGACTACGCTGGTATAATATACTAGTGCAAGAGTAAAGTCAATAGCTCTCCGTAAAACATTTAGTGTTAGTATTACGTAATCAATAAAATGCACTCACTTAACTTGAGGTTTAAGGATTAAATCCCAGTAGTACCATTAATATCACTTGTTAATAATGAATTCGATACAGAATACAGAAGTAGAAGAATCATCATCTCTTTATGATTACTATGCTAACACTAAGGGGAAAGTAAAAACACATCATGTAATGTTTGTGTTTTTCATAATTACGGTCATAATTTTATTCCATTTTAGACATAAATTGGCAGCAGCACATGATAGATATAGGACTAGAAGACGATTACGTTTTAGTAGAATTCCATCGGACGAGAATGGTTTTGAAGATGACTTGGAAAATGGCCTCAACAGCAGCACATTTGATATAGGAGAAAATATCTCAAATAATGACCAAAGGCAAGGCTTACTGCAAAATGCAAAGGAAGAGATTAAAAGAATAATGGACAATAGTAATTTAACGTTCGATCAAGCTAGATACCAATATACCCAACAACAATTGGACGAAAACGGAATTGGAAAAGATGGCACTCCTCTTGATCCTAAAACTGTAACCTTCAGTCATCGATAATACACGTGACTGTTGTTTATTTACATTACACTTCGAGAAACTCAGATCCTATTCTCTATTCATATCTACAGATTATATTTCTTTATAGGCTTAATAGAGAAGTAATTAACTCTTGAACGAAAGAGATGAGTGTCTACCATCGGTATGCCTCAGGGGAATACGATAAGACGTATTTTGAAAAGGTAAGCGAAAGTAGGAAAGAAGATAAGGTTGGAGGACGAATACAAATTTCTCCATTATTAGGCCAGTTTAGCACTTCCGATATTCTATATAAATTTAATGAAAAAAGCATTGAAGAGTGGTTGGCCATCTTCCCAAAGGCTGCATATTTCAAAGGATATGATGAAACTTTGTTTGGAAATGTTATAATCATGGTTTACGAAAACTCGCAGACGGGAAAGTTAAACACTACGTCCTTTAGTAAATTTGGCATTACATTTTACGACAATCTAGTATTAGATGCGAGATCGAGATTTTGGCCAAGCTGTGAAAATTTATTGCCCACTTATCAGAAATCCAACGTTAGAAGAAGCTTAGCTATAACTAACTTAAAGAATTATAACAAGCTTGTAAATAGTCCGGGAAATTTTCAGGTCAACAAAAGTTGGGATGAAACCTATGCGGGTAGCTTAGCAAATAATATGCAATTGATTTCAGAGAAGAAACCACAGAAATTTGGATTGAAGCTCTTAGAATTAGGCTTACTTCAAACTCATTGTATACAATCTACAGTTTTAGATGTGATTTATGATAATTCATCGTCAGAAACAAGTGAGAAGATAGTCGAAGAGAACAATAGATTGGTGTTCTTGATTGGGTCTCAGTTGGAGCAGCTATTTGATCCATTATTGGAGTATTCACCAGAGATTATGGAATTCTCTTATACTGTACCCGTAGATACTATTCCGCCTCAGATAAAAAACAACGAATTAATAAATACAATTATAAGTGAGTTACTTACTGTTCAAACGAATTTTACGATGAGATTAGTGAACTTGTTACAGAATTTTATCATTCCATTGCGTATCCACGTTTTAGCTGCAACATCATCTTCAGGAATTACAAAAATTAATCAAGTTTTTCCCCCTACAATAGACGAGATCACTAGAATAAACTGTATATTGCATGATTCGTTGAAAAAGGCATCGTCTTTTGGATATGTTGAAATAGTGAAAGCTGTTGGTACGATAATACCATATTTCTACAAAGCATTTATTAGACATGAGGCAAATTTAAAGAACTTTAGAGATAATTTAGCCAAATTTCACAGTAAAAATAATAAGAAGATATTTGACAACATTATGATAAACAAAGGGAAATTTAGCATAAGGGACATTGACTCAATTGTAGCTGGGTCTTTACTAGAATTGCCTAAACTTAAGTTGATACTTGTCAGGTTGAGGGATTCAATCATTTCTGAAAAAACGAAATTAAGCAATTTTGAAGATGATACAAGCAACGAGTTTTTTACAATCGAGAAGTATTTCAATTCTGCCATAGATGTTATTGATGCATTTGGATTTGACGAGGAGCATAATGAAACAAAGATAGATGTTAGACAAAGGGTCTTTACACCAACGGGAAAAATATTAACAGAATTAGCGTCTAACTGGCCACCCGAATTGCAATATGGGTGGTTGGCGCGTAAGGTAGTTGGAATTTATGAAATGAGAAACATTAAACCTTTGAACGATACATTTTATGATTTGGATATTTTGATTATATTTTCCGATCATATATTATTTTTTACTATTGTGGATGATTCATATTATAACGAAAGAAATAATGAATCAATGAAGAATCTTTGTGTTTCAGACATTTTAATGCATTCGCTAGTGAATGATAAGCCATTACCAAATTTAAAGCTGTTACCTTCAATGGAAGTAAATTGTTGGTGCAACATAAATGAGGTAATTACAACTACTTATAAAGGAGTATCCCCTATCACCTCAAAGACTCAAGAATTTTTAAAATTTGTAAATATTTCCAAGACAGGATTCAAAAACAACAATGCAGACAATTGTACTATCAGTAAAAATTATGAAATTTTGGATGGGAGCGACAGGGGAAATGTCGATGGATGCAAAATTATAGAGCTAATAAATAAATCAACAGTACTAAATAAAAGGAAACCATTCCATTTGTTTAGATCAAACGACCCGAAACTACATATTTATTCTATTGCCCAAGAACTATCTGCGTATCAGGAAGAAAGTTGTAAATCTTCTATGGCATTGTACTTGAATTTACCGATTCATGATCCGAAGAAATATTTTGAAGAAAATCAAACTCTTCATTTTGTATTAAATGCATCTTTTATCAATGATCATCAAATTCATATTGTTGGTTTTAATAGAGCTGAAACATTTGAATTGAACGAAATTATTTCTTCTAATGATTTACAAGTTTGCTTGAAAGAAGTAATAGTTAAGAATTTTAGTCTATTATTTAACACGTTTAGTAATATTTCAAAAATGCTTACTCAAGGATATGCCTATGACATAAATTATTGTGCAAATATATTTACACAAATCGATGAAACAAAACTAAATGAACAAAGACAAGAAATTGCAAAAAACAAAAGTATTGCTTCAACTTCTAAAACCAAAACTAGAAACGTGTCAGAAATTATATCGATACCAGAAGTCTACATGAATAAGGTATCACCTTCAGATACAACTATGCGGGAACAACATTTACAACAAAGAAAGACAGAAAAAAAGAGGCTCTCTACAAGAAGTAGGAAAGATTCCAGAGATGCTGAGGCCAAGGGAATTTCACAAGAAGGGTCAGGCAAACGTAATTCTATAATTAAGAAAGCATTCAGATCTTTGAGACGGTCTTTTGATGGAATAGAAAATTCTACGCCTAAAGCCGAAATACATGAAAATAATAATACTTCAAAATTACATGACAGCTCATCATTTTCTGGAAAAAAAAATGAGTATACTAGTTTATATAAACCTTTGCCACAATTAAAAACAAAAGAACAAAAACAAGAACAAGAACAAGGTTTTACTGAAGCTAATATACCTCGAGAGATAGACAATGATACTGGTATACAAATGCCTAGACAATGTAACAATTTTATCCAACAGTCAAGAAATACTTCAGCATCCTTGGATGTGAATTCTCATTTTGAATTTCCACCACACCCTGATTCACTGTTCGAATTAAATAACAATACAATCATCTTAGTGAACGACAGTGAAAATGAGCATAAAAATAGACCAGTAAAAGAGAATATTCTGATATTAGATAGTACGAATGGGCATTCATTTAATATTTCTAGAAGAATGGCAAATGAGGGTTATGGAAAATTTAATGTAGAAGACTTTTACGATGATGGTGAGACAAATTGGGTGTCAATTTCTAATGAAAATTACTCACTGTTAAACGCTGAAATAAGAGCATTAAAGGAAGAAGCACATATGGATACCGAGGATATAATTGAATTGAATGATTCAGATAATATAACAGAAGACGAAATACGAGATGACTATAAATCTAAAGATTTCGATGCCTTTTATACGCCCCACAATCGACTGGTAGCACAATTTGGTGATAACCCAACGTCTTTAAAAAATGAAACTAGAGAGATGTCAACACAATCTTTGGCATCATCTGAAATTATTGAAGTCTTTGGTAAACAGATCGATTCTAATTTTAGAAGTGACTATATTCCAAGCTTAAATGAAAATTTATATCAGGTTAATTCTAACAAAAAAATTAGCTTACAAAATGATCATAGGTTCTCTGTTCTTACAAGCTCAGACGATGAATTTTTTTCTTCTGATGACTTTGCAAGTAGTTTGCCAATCGAACGTCAGGAGAATAAGAAATCTCACTCACCAATGATTATGAATTCGAGTTCTAGTGATGCAACAATAATTAATGAGAATTTTGAAGAAAAGCTCCTTCCAGCAACTCCTATCGAGTGTGATGATGAGAGACTACCATCATCTCAGACACGTGAAAATATACAAAGTTCTTCGGTAAGAAGTGATTCCTTTAGTACCACATATGAATCAATGACATACTTATCGGAGATCTTAAATGGTCATTTAAACTTTTGAGATTAAACTTGAGAAAGCCCATGTATTATTTATACTATATAACTAAATATATATTAAAACTATAACTAGACTGATTGCTTCAATATCTTCTTGACTGCTTCCGCAATCGCATCACCTACTTCTTTAGTGGGGCTTGAACCACGTAAATCTCCTGTTCTTATTCCCGAATCTAAGACTTGACCGACTGCCTTTTCCAAAGCTTCAGCTTCTGGTACACAATCCAAAGATAATCTTAACATCATTGCTAGGGATAATATGGTAGCGACTGGATTAACTTTGTTTTCTGCCAAATCTGGAGCTGAACCATGACATGGTTCATACAAACCAAAAGCGGAATTAGTATCTGGCAACGAAGCCAAAGAAGCAGAAGGTAAGAGCCCCAATGACCCAGGGATAACAGATGCTTCATCAGAAATAATATCACCAAACATATTAGAAGTGATAATAATACCATTTAACTTAGTTGGAGATTGAACCAAAATCATAGCAGCTGAATCAATTAATTGATGTTGAATTGTTAATTGTGGAAATTCTTCAGACATAACTTTATCAACAGTTGTTCTCCATAATCTTGAAGATGCCAAAACATTAGCCTTATCTAAAGACCAAATTGGTAATGGTGGATTATGTTGCAATGCCATAAATGCTGCCATTCTAGTAATTCTAGTCACTTCTTCCGTAGAATACTTTTCAGTATCCCATGCAGTCTGCTTGTCTTCTGATTCTGCTTGTTCTTGTCTTTCTCCGAAATAGATACCACCAACTAATTCACGAACAACAGTAAAATCAGTACCCTTCACAATCTCAGACTTTAATGGAGACAATTCTAATAAACTATCGGATGCAAAGTTACATGGCCTCAAATTAGCATATAAGTTCAATTCCTTTCTGATTTTCAATAAACCTTGCTCAGGTCTAACGGAACCGGTACCCCATTTTGGGCCACCGACAGCACCTAATAAGACAGCATCAGAATTTTTTGCAGCCTCCAAAGATTCATCTGGTAATGGATTACCAGTAGCATCAATTGCAGCACCACCTATCAAATGTTTTTGCAAATTGAACTTAATGTTTCTGTATGGGGTAGTTTCCTCAATAGTTTGTAAGACTTTGATCGCCTCGTTACAAACTTCTTCACCAACATGATCACCTGGTAAAACTGTGATGGTTTTGCTTATATCGACTTTTGATTTTTTTAATTCAGGTTGGGACATTGTTATTTGTTAGTTTTCTTCTGTAAACTTGAAAAAAGAAGTGTTGAACACAGTGACTCGATTTATATTCCATATATTATTTGAAAAATATTACCAACCGAAACCGCGCATTCGACGCCGGTACCGGTGGTCGCTTTAAATAAACATTTACATACGAATATGACCTATAAACAGATGGGAGAATAACTCAATGACCACTCCATTCAATGGAATCTAAATCAATTCCCTCTTGGACCATTTCCCACAATGGAGACATTTTTCTTAAAAATTCTACTCTCTCAGTGATAGCCTTGATAACATAGTCGACCTCAGCTTCTGTTGTGAATCTACCAATACCAAATCTAATAGAAGAATGTGCTAATGCATCATCTGCACCCAATGCATGTAAGACATAAGATGGTTCCAATGATGCAGAAGTACAAGCTGAACCTGAAGACAAAGCAATATCCTTCAAGGCCATTAATAAAGATTCACCCTCAATGTAGGCAAATGAGACATTAACACAACCCGCGTATTGGTAATCTGGGTTGGATAAGCACCCATTAAACTGAGTAGATGGAATAGCTAATAAGCCGGCCTTCAATTTCTCAGAGAGTTTATGAATATATGCTTGATCATACTAAAAATAATTGTTAGTAAACGCTGTTGTAAATATGCAAAATGTAGCCATGACAATAATGGAACAATATTCAGATCCTTGCATAAATTAGAATTTCATCAAGGCATAGAGAGTTAAAGAGATATTTCTCATATGCTAGGGCTCTGAAATCATCATACTTATCTCATAATTTAATGTCATAAGGCTGGAAAATCAAACAAAAATACATACGTCCATTTCTTCCTTCATAAGTCTAGAAGCTTCACCAAAACCAGCAACTAATGGCGGTGCCAAAGTACCTGATCTTAAACCTCTTTCTTGTCCACCACCGGTTATAATTGGGTCTAATCTAACTCTTGGACGTCTTCTTACGTAACAAGCTCCAATACCTTTTGGCCCGTAAATCTTGTGCGAAGATATCGACATCAAATCAATATTCATTTCATTAACATCAATATCAATTTTACCATAAGCTTGTGCACCATCGGTATGGAAGAAGATTTTATTCTCTCTACAGATCTCACCAATTTCCTTCAAAGGTTGTACAACACCAATTTCATTGTTAACCGCCATAATAGATACCAATGAAGTATCTTTACGGATACTTTTACGCAAGTCATCCAAGCTAATTAAACCCTCTTCGTTAACAGGCAAGTATGTGACCTCAAATCCTTCATCTTGCATATGTCTTGCAGAATCTAAAACACACTTGTGTTCGGTCTGGGTCGTAATAATATGCTTCTTGGTATTCTTGTAGAAACGAGGAACACCTTTAACTGCCATGTTATTAGATTCTGTAGCACCCGAAGTGAATATAATTTCTTTTGGGTCAGCATTAATAACATCCGCAATATACTTACGTGCCTTTTCGACTTCCTTCTCGGTTTCCCACCCATATGAATGTGTAGAAGAGTGTGGATTACCATACAATCCAGTATAAAATTCTAACATTCTATCAAGAACTCTTGGGTCGGTGGGGGTAGTGGCCTGAACATCTAAGTAGATTGGCCTAGTACCAAATTTAGAGTCATCTCTAGTAGCACTCTTTAAAGTAATCGTAGATCCAGAAGGTGGAGCTACAACAGGTGGCTCAACAATAGTCGCCGTATGGACTCCGCTTGGATCGGAAGTGGTCGCTGATAATGGCGAATTTCCACTAGAAATTTGACGAACACCATTAATAAGCGAACATCTAGCACGATTATTCCTAAGAATAGATAACCCTCTTAATTGTTTGGATAACATGTTCAAAATATTATACCTATAATCAAAATAAAGTAAGGTTGATACTTATTTAATCTATTTGTAATAAGGAGGAAGAAATCTTAAGAAACGATGATGGAGATAAAATAAATCTATTTCTATACTTCTATTTTTGTGTAACTTATTATATAAGATAATCATCAAGATCTAATGCTACTGTAGTTTACGTTTATCCGAATAGTAGGAGCTTAAAGTTGTATGAACTAGCTCATAACACCCTAAGAATATAGCACCTCCTGCACTTATCCAACAAGTTCTAGGACCAATGCCATTTAAAAACACCTTATAACCTTCTTCCTTTATCATAGTTCTAACCAACGGAATAGGACTTACTCTTTCCTTGTTTAACATAATTCTAGTCTTGATAACATCCAAAGGGGTGGTCACAGCTGCAGCTATACCACCTGCAATAGAACCACACGTTGCACCTTTCAATAAAGATAGTTTATCGTTTTCATATTCGGCCCATTTTTTCTTTAGCCATTCATACAAGGGAAACTGGATAATCGTAAAGGGAATTTCTCTTAGTATAGTTGTGTTCCATCCTCTGTATAAGCCTCTAATCAAACCTTCTCCGGATCTGTTTTGAAGTAAATATAAGAAGTTGGACCACGAAGATGCTTTGGCTCCAACTCCATGTATACCTGCTTGAGTTCTTTGTTTGATGACTTCCGCAGGTACCCTCACAAGACATGCGGCAATCTCACCACAAGATGCAGATATCATATGTCCTACAGCAGGCAGTGATGTCTTGTCTTTAGTTTGAGTTTTCATATAGTCGTATGTAACGAAGAATAGAGATGCTGAAGGCGCAGATGCAACCACACACGATCCTAGTCCTTTATATATACCACTCCATCCACCGTTAGCAAAGAATCCTCCTTTTGCTTGTAATCTTGTCTTCAAAGTATCAATAGGAAAAAATGCTAAATCAGTCGAAGTACCAGCGCATCCTCCGCTCTAAACAAAAGTTAGTATTGAATAAATTTAGCCATATATCGCGGTTTACATACGATTAGCGATATTAGAAATGTCAGGTTATCCATCGTATGCTTTTTGGGATGCTGACGGTGAAAGCCGAAGAATGGAAAATTTATGTTTACTACGTTTCGTTGATTCATGAATCATGTATTATATACAGGAACATAGATTTTTATCTGGGACAAACCATAAACCTATTCTTGCCAACTCTCTTCTTCTTAGCATATTTTAGTACAATTGACTCAGGTTTTTTGCCTTTTGGAATAAATTCCTCGATAAATGGAAGAAACTCCTCATACTCCCACTCTTTTACTATTTGAAATAGCTCTTTCACCCTAGTACTCATATCACCAGGTGTTAAAGTTGATGGGTTTAAGAATTGAATTTGTTCATTGAACGGACGACAATAATAACCTCTCATTTGGGATAAATCTATTGGGACATTGTAGAATGGAGGAAAGGATGACTTCCATTTTAATAAGAAATCCTTAGGAAAAATAAGGTTTGCATTCGTACTAAATAGTGTTTGAATTCCAAACCATTTTGCTACTGCAAGGTTATTTAGCTTGAACATATTAGCTTCACGATCTTTAATGCAGAACTTGTGAAGAATTGTATTTGTTACCTCTTGAGTATATAGCTTGTTTTGCTGGCGCATCTCCTTGGAAATATCAGCCATGTTTATATTAAAGGCGTCGCTTTTATAATCTATATCCTTCGTAATTAATATGGGAATTAATAATTGCAAGCCGTCGGTCACGAACTCCTTGGATAGTATAACTGCTTTTCCTTCAATCTCACATCCACACAATGTATACCATTCCTTGTAGAACTCTTCCCTAGAGATTGGGGAGTCGTTCATTAAAGCTTCAACGTTACGACTGGAGTCAATTTCATTCGCAACTTCAAAATTACCATCATAGGTAGGCAAATTGCCTATTTCTATATAGCCTGGAATTTTAGAAAGTTCATATTCGTATGCGAGATTTGCAATACCCAATAGTTGATTAGTAGGTTCCTCAACTGGTATAATATGTTCCAAAGTTTTATTCAATTTATTTATCTTCATATTATTTAACAAAAGGACACTATTAGAATGATTCATTTGTCTCATTTTCCATGTCTTATTATCCGTTACTAAAACTATGTGGTTTTTCAGAATTGGCGGTGACTTTAAAAGTAATTCACCATGCTCATTAGACTTGATATAGTCTAAGAGATCAGGTGTAAGTTGAAGAAGTTTGTAGGTATGATCATTGGGCGACTTTATTTCCTGATATGTAGAATATGAAGATTTCGATGCCATTGTAGACTGTCTTGTTGATACTATGTAGATACTTGATTTGGCTTCAACAGTATTTTTTTGTACGCGTTGTTTTCGATTTATTAAGTGGGAAGACTTTCAAAAAATCTTGTTCAGGGTATTAAATTACATATTCGGAAAAATGTTAAATGGGACAAATTTTGTCCCATTTAACTATCATTTAGTATTATAATTACAGTAGAAAAATTACATAATCAATAAATATCCCACTTAAAAATGCGAATTCTTCTTCCTTGGAATCTAAAACTTTCAAAAAGATGAGAATCGATCATTCAAAATCGAATCCCACACGACCAAAAAAGGCTTACTTATACCACTAGGGAGGTTGATTTGTATGGTGGTGTATCAAAGGGAGAGGGATATTGCTAATAACAGTAAGCTCAATCGGAGAAACTAATATGTAATGGAGAGCTGGAATACTAAGAAAAAGGAAAAAAAAATGATAAGAAAATTAGTTATGACATTACACTAGTTAAAAGATATATAAGATAGAATACACATACATATACGCATATATACATATAAAGAAAGTATAGAAGACAATGCAATTAATTTTGTTCATCAATAAATTGATCAATATCGATCTCATTTAGTTTGGCATCACCAGCTAAACTAATTTTTCTTTGATGGTCATTTGAATATTGTAATTTGGCTAACTTAGCTTGAGGACCCCAACCACTAACAGGAGCATTCAATTTAAAAGGCAAAATCCAGTTACTGACGGTTTTAAAATGTTCGCCTAAAGTAGAAAGTTCGTGTATCAAATCTTCAATACAAATACATCCTAAGTCATCACCAAATTTATCTTCAACAACACCATTATTGTCCAACTTAGTAATACGTGGTTGTTTTGTTTCTTCATCTATAACAGAAATACATGCTCTCTTTTGAAATAATTTACGGATAGAATTCAAAGATGGTTTTCCAGCAACAATGTATGGTGAAATCAATTTTAATAAAGGAACAGTAGCAGGAGTTAATTTCACAAATACCCCAGTGTTTGGTCTATTCAAACGTAACAAGTGTAAGACCTTACGAGCTTTCGATGGGATCTTTAATCCCTTTGTATGATCTGGAATTCTAATAATGAATAATAATTTGGCAGACTCGTCATCTTCCTTAGCTTGACTTATTTTATCCGCTTGCAGCTGTTTCTCGAACTTGGTTATATGCTTGATCCTTTTGTTTTCCAATTCATTTGATTTGTAGTTAGAAACCAACGTTTCAGCTCTAACGAATTTTTTAGAACGTTGATCATTTTTCTTCTTTTGTTCAAGCTGTCTTTGTCTAGCTTGTTCTTGCTTCTCTAACCTCTTTCTATCATTATTCTTTCTCTTACGCAAGAGGATCTCTGGGTTCGAGTTTAATACTGCCATCTCTATCTATTTGTATACTGATGGTAAAATATTTTACCCTAAGTGGTACTAAATTCTTCAGATGAGCTTCATTCATAAAAAAAAAAAACCCAAGCCGCACTTCACAAATCACATGACGTGAACTGTGATAAATTCAGATGGGACGAAATCAGGCCAACGATACAAGCAAAATGCAGCATCTAACGGACCTCTGGTATCCATCGTAGGGATGACAAGATCTGCTAGTATAATTGCTTGCTGGGTTTGCTGTTTTACGATTGTAAATTAGGCCCTTGCGGCCACCATGGACCGCACCCATCAATAACGTCCGTCGCTACTGCCCACATGTTTCTACGTAGAATACAATGGATATATGAATCATTGGGTCATTTCTTATAGTTTTTGCATCTTGTAAATATATAAGAAATGATGCTAGCTTAATTTGTAGCGTATGGTGCTCTCAATTTACTACTAATATTATATTTTTCAAGAAAATCTTACAAGAGAGATATGCAAACACAATTAAAGATCAGTATTTTGTAAACAGACGATATAGATACCCAATAGCGACCAGAGAAACATATCGTCTATCAAGATGAACATTCCAGGGTGGCTAAGGTAGTGCCGTCGCACGTACACTTCTCACAAAATTTTTTGATCCAGTTCTCATAAATTTTTTCTCCTCTTCTGATGTTAAGAGTCCACTATTAGTATTCAACATTACTAATTCCCTGGTATTTTGAGCTATAGAAAAAAAAGGAGGTACATTCTAAAGTGATCGTCAATATATTTAGGTTCATTATTCGAAATTTTCTTCTTTTTATTTCGTTTTCAAATTCTAGGTATTTTTTGCATTTCCCTTAGCGGTATAGATAGAGGTATCCATACCTGAGCATTAGAGGGATTTTTAAAGTTTTTGCATAATATTCATAGGTGTCATTATAAATTGGATCATTAAATTGGGCTATTGCATGTTTAACGGTTAGTTAAAAAAATATATACGAAAAATTAATCATATGGATCAAAAATTGGACAGTTCAAATTACGTTTTTCCTAATCAGAATCATTCCAACCAGGGTCAATCGTCGTTGCAGAATCAAGCAATTCGCAACCAAGATTCACGGATGCCATACATTAAGAATGAATCGTCGGAAGGGGGGTTGGGGTCTCCAATCAACCACCCAAGTTTTCAACAATACAAGGGTCAGCCTAATATTCAAAGACCAGAGTTTCCCAACCACGCGGAATTTACGCCACAACAGCAGTCACAGAACATCCAGAATTATAATCAACAAATGCAGCTTCACTTTGAACTCCAGAGACAATATATGGCAGGCAATATGGAGAACCCCCAAGTGTATCCTGATCAATCGGGCGGACATTTATCTCAGGTCTATAGCATGTCATCACCATTCCAAAGTAGATCAGGCAATAACGACTCATCTGCTAATATGAATGCGTTATCTAGGCCGGTGGAAGCAGATGCGGGTATGCTTAATAGCAAGTCACCGATTCCTAGTAGGGCCGCAACACCGGTTGAAAATATTACTGGAATGCAAGAAGTGCCATCAACAGGTAGAAAGAGATATAGGAAGTCCGACCATGCCGTACCAGGTGACGAAGGGGATAACGAGTTGAAGCAATTGGCATTTAAGGCGTCTCAGCTTCCGCTCTCCGAGCTTGCATTAAGAATCAAGTCAGTTGAAAATGATGATTCTATCCCAGAAACCAAAACAAGCTATTCAACGTCTAAGGATACTAGTAAAGAAAGACAACGTCAAATATTTGGCATGGTCTGGTTACTTAATTCTTGTGAATCATCAGCCACTGCAGTGGTTCCAAGAAATAGGATTTACGCGAGATACGTTCAAATTTGTGCAGATAATAGCCTAAAGCCTTTATCACCGGCGAGTTTTGGTAAATTAGTTAGAATATTATTCCCCAATTTGACCACTAGAAGATTAGGTATGAGAGGCCAATCAAAGTACCATTATTGCGGAATCAAATTAGTAGGTGATCAAAATATCCAAGCTGGAAATTCACCCACATCAGCGTCACCATCAATTGGAAACGATTCTCCCCAATCTTTACAGAATCCAAATACCCCTTCGGTATCCAATAGTCCTATTATTTCCGGAGTTTCTGCGTCAAACTCATCAGCTGCATTAAATTCGATTTTGTCAAATGGAGAATTTTTGGTTAATGACCTAAAATACATTCCAAATCTTTTCGGTTTGATAGATCAGTCACTTAATGGAGAGAACTTGAACTCGCCATTAGATTTACCGTCAATTTATCCGTATTTACCTAGAGACGCTGATTATGATATTGCCGATACATTGTACTCGTTATACAAGGTCCATTGCACGTCAGTTTTTGAATTTTTAAGATACATGCAAGTCAGAAAATTATTTTCTTCGTTTGCCAGCTTCAATGGAATTTTAACAGCACCGGTATTTAAATTGTATACTAATGATTTAATTTCTGAATGGGTCAATGAGTGTGATAACATAATGTATAAAACGATGGCTAAAATGTTGACTAAGTTGCATCTTCAAAGCGTTCCAGATGAAGTTTTAAGACAGTTAAAACAAATTTCGAACCAATATGTTGATAAGCTATCATATTCGCTACAGAATAAGGTACCTAAATTTTTTATGGCAATGAAAATGAAGAATGCCAAAAAATTCGTTCTAATTCTTTCTCGATTAATTAAAGTAATCGAGACAGGATACTCTGCATCCAGAATTTTCAATAGTGCTCCGGAGAAACAAGCTATGATTGACGATTGGCTAAAATTGGACGTTAATGAGATTGTTTTAAGGGAAGTACCGTGTTCTAAGGAGAATGTCGAATCATTGTTGCATTTTTTGAATAATGATCTCCTCACCATATTGCATGAGCAATTTGATTCAGAATCAGTTTCAGTGTTGACCAAATCCGCCCATTTTCTTGCAGAATTACCTTCTAAGTTTTCTAAGCTCAATCCTAGATTATTTACGTTAGTTTCTAGTAATTTTCTTACGACATGTCTTAGAGAAATTAGTTTAAACGGCGGTCAAGGTTTTGGTACTTGGTGGATAGTTAGATGCTGGGTTGATGAATATCTCAGCTGGTGTTTTGAATTAGGTGGATACTTTCAGGATGACTTCTCAACCTCGTTCAATGAAGGTTATGTTACAGACAGAGATACAAATGTATTAAAAGCTGAGAAAACGAACCCAAAAGCCGATACCAGCGCAAATAATACCAACACCAGCATGGGTCAATTCGATGACTCCACAAACGATCAATTGCGTCTTTCAAGTATTGTTGATCTTTTAGATGGTGCCTATGGTACAGATTCAGTAAAAGATGATCAAAGTAACAACGAGATGATGTTGAACTACGATTCAGTTGGAGTTGAAAATTTCTTGGGTAGGAATGACGATTTATTAAGTTAAATAATTCAATTTGCATATTTTCATGATTCTCCATTATTGCATTAGCTCTATTAATACATACGTAGTAAATGTGGCATTATAGTATATATTTGATATAGACTTTAAATTATAGCTATGAATATATATTTTGCATTTTTATACTTCTTTTTGTGTATTTCATAGAAAAGCACTTACAATAAGGCTGCAAATTGGATTCAAGAATATATTAAACTGTTTAATAATTATAAATATGGATAGAGTAAATAATCAGGACTTGGAAAAACTAAAAGACGAAGACGGTATTGCAAGATCAGTAACCTTTGAGGCACACGCTCGTAGTTCAATTTCAGAGTTAGGCTTTGGAAATGATGATATCAAATTAATACACGGGAATGAGGGACCAGAAAAAAGAGGAATAGCGGCTAAGCGGTACCTAAGCTTGAACCGATTAGTTAAGGTATTTGAGCCTAAATTGAAAACCATTAACAGCTTACCTCTGGAAAGTTGTAACGATTCGTGCAAAAATGTTTGTCAAAATTGTTTGGCGGCAAGTACGTTCATAGACGATGAAGTGCCAAATTTTGTCGGATATGACGAGTCAAGTCCAGAGGGTATCGAATCATATATAAACTCTAAGATGGTAACTTGTGAAAGTTGTCGTATTTACAAGTATTGTAATCAGGAATGTTATAATGCGCATTGGAATCAGATACACCGATACGAATGCCAATTGTTTAGCCAAATAATGAAAAATAGTCAATTTAAAGACGAAGATAGTCTTTCAGAATTTATTAGACATGGGATTAGATTATATATTCTATGTGATCTTGATCGAAGATACAAATCCCGAGTTTTTGACTTAACGTCGCATAGTAGCCTCATAGACTCTGACGACGAATATTCTTGGTTACACGAGTATACTAAATGCATTGTAAGAGCAATAGATTTGAATATGGATTCCAAATTGTATAGCTATATTTGGAGACTTTTGTGCATTATATTGGTCAATTCCAGTGTGCTTATGAACGAATACCAAGAGGCGATAGGTTTTAGTTTTGATCCAGATTTTTCGTTATTAAACCATTCCTGTATTCCTAACACACTAGTTATACCTCTAACTCACTCAAAGTTTTCTTTGGTAGCTACATTCCCCGTTGCTGAGAACAAGGAAATATTAACCAATTATTGCTTTACAAGCTGCCCTAAGGAATTGAGAAATTTGGAATTGCAAAAGAGGTTTTTCTTCTGCTGCAATTGTTCTTTGTGCAAACAGAAATTCGACTGGTTTTTTTCATACAACTGTTCTGAATGTGGTATGTTACTATGTAGCTTAACTTTCAAAGACTTTTTTTCAGATGATTTAACTAAAGGTTTGGTGTTTAAAAATCAATATAATGTTGATTTTTGCAGCAATTGTGGAAAACTCATCAACAAAGAACTTCTCAAAGAATCAAGAAAAAGTCATCAACAATTACTAGCTATAATCTTATATGATCTTTACAATAATCCTTTGAATTATAAACTGGATGATATTTATATTAGTAAAGAAAAGTTCTATGAAAAAATTAAAAAATTTATGGTTGACGTTGACTTAGTTAATCTTTCTGGGAATCAACTAATCGAATTTATCGATTCGCTTCAACTATCAACATATAAAGTACCATCACATAGCTTGAATAATATCAAAAGCATTTGCATATATCTTCGTCAAAATAAAATCGTCCCAAGCTATTGTTTCCCCTTGAATTATGTAATTTCAGGATTCAATGAATACGAATTAGTTTCATATATTGGGATTTCCAACTTGGACAAAGATTATAACGTTCAATGTCTTGCGATGAAACTCAAGATAGATATACAAACGTATTTTGAAGTCAAAATCCCGGGAGATCTAACAGATCTGAAAATATCAACAATGATATACTTCAAAGATATAAGTCAACAACTACTCACATTAGCAGAAGTTATTATTAAATATTCCATTGATATTTCTATTATGAATGAATGGATTAAAGATAAAGAACAACTTCTTGAAACATTAATAAAATGTGCATCATTTCTTAATTTACAAGCAATTGATGCATATTTACCACTTTCCATAATGAATAACAGCTATACAATGCTTTCTCAATTAATCAATATTGGTAAACAAATAAAGTATTTGAGTACGAGCAAAAATGTCAAGAGCATTCCAAAGGAAGTATCCATATGGTATAACAAAAGTCCACGGAACTTCGATGACAAAATGTTCGTTACACACTTGAAAGAATTATTCAATTTTGCCGATATACCTATTACACACAAAAACTCAAGCTTCAAACTTCAGTTTGCAGATAGGAATAGAAAACCGCTCTTTAAACCTGTCCTTCTATTGAAAAGTAAAGATATGGACTCACTCCAAATAACTGATACGCGTAGCAATGAATAGTTAGATAAGTGTTTATAGTTCATACGTAGCAAAAGAATAATTAAACGTCATTTAAAGCAACACAAACAGCACCTTTATGATGTCCATTGTACTGCCTAACAGTTTCACAATTCGATAAATCCCACAATCTCACATAGTGGTCAGAGCATGCAGTAACTAAATATGCACTGTCAGCACTAAATGCACAATCCCATACCCATCTCTGATGCCCATGTAGTGTTGTCTCCAAACTAAAATTCTGTTCAGTTGACCAGATTCTTGCCGTATGATCAGCGGAACAGGTAGCCAAATGCCTCATATCAGTCAGCAAAACAACTCTTGTGATATATTTCAGATGCGATCTGAATTTTGTTACAGGGGTTAAAGATGTAATATCTTTTTGGTTTTGCATCAGCCAAACATAGCAGTTTCCCTTATTATTGCCAGCGACTAACATGGACCCTTCGCTGGCAACTGATATTGAATTTATCGGGACGTCATCTTCAGGAATTAAATGGTGAGTGCATTGATTTTCGCCTAAGTCCCAAATTCTAATATTTCCGTCTTGATCACAACTAATAAGTTCACCTTGATTTGGATGAATCACTACCTCGTTAACTGGACAATGATGCTTATAATTTCTCTGGACAGATGGCGATCTGACATCCCAGACTTTAACCATACCATCTTCCAGCGACGACACCATCCATTTATTATCGATTTGAAATGCTAAGGAAGTAACGTTATTCGTATGCCCCTCAAACGTCATAACAGGATTCGAATTATTATTACTACTATTGTTACCACCAGCATTCGCTTGTTCAGATGTATTTCCCGAGTTTCCTGCCTGTCTAATATCATATAGCCTAACGTATAAATTACCAGCTGCCGCAAGGTATCGTTTATCTGACGTAATTTCCAATCTATTAACTTGTGAATCTGTGTGTTGAATCGTTCTTGAACAAACACCAGTTAATGCATCCCAGAATCGAATTGTATGATCGTAGCCTGCAGACGCCAATATTACCGACATGATTTGGATTGAAATGATTAGGATTGAAAATGAATCTCCAGTATTAATTAATCACTATATCATTCAAATAAATATGAAAACCACAAATTTACACAAAAGCACAATATCTATCAAACTACAATACAATAGGGAACGAATTATATACATTTATTATATATATTAAAAGTGAAATGCATCTATCTATATGTAACTCTTCATTATATATTTAAACAGGATGAGAAACAATTTGTCATTATTTTCATTATTAATTAAATAAGCTATTAACAAATATCTTCTTAGAAGTATTGATTAATAGCTTGTTTTTGATCAGCGGTTAAGGATACAGGATAATCGACCTTAAATACAATTTCTAAATCGCCTCTAGAGCCCGGCAGTTTACTGATTGGCATACCTAAACCTGGATATGTAGTCGAAGTATTTGGTTGTATTGGGCTGGATCTCAGTAATGGGATTCTTCTACCATCGATAGTGTTCACTTCTTTAGAGAAACCACATAATGATTCCTTGAATGTCAATGGCAAGTTCATCTTCAAGTTGTTACCTTCTCTCTTGAAGATTGGGTGGGGCTTTTCTTCGAGTATGAATTGAACCGTTTGTCTAGCATGGCATTCCTTTTGGTAGTCACCTTCGTTGGCGAAATTAATTTTAGTGCCCACTTTCCACCCGGGTTTTATATTGATAGTCATAACCTTACTTTCTTTGCTACCACTGATACCCTTTCTATTCAATTTCATTTTCTTCACTCCACCGTGATACAAATCTTCCAATGACACTGGCAACGATATGGTGACGGTATCTGGCTCTGGACGCGAGCGGGAAGAATGCCCCTGGCTAAAACCTCCTGGCATACCACCAAAGCCACCACTACCCCCGAATCCACCAAATCCGAAATCATCGCCGCCTCCTCCTCCTCCCATTCCGAAGCCACCCATTTGGGAGAATATATTGAACGCATCGGCCTGAGAAAATCCACCACTAGTGCTAAATCCTCCAAATGGACTAGCTCCTCCTCCAGCTTGACTAGCTCCTGCAAATGGATTACCCCCAGCTGGTGCATTACCTCTCGCGGCTTCTAACCCATAATCATCGTACACCTGTCTCTTGTCTCCGTTGGACAAAATATCAAATGCTTCTGAAATCTCCTTGAACTTTTCTGTATCCCCTGTAGGCTTGTCTGGGTGATATTTCAACGCCAGCTTCCTATATGCCTTCTTCAACTCTTGCTCCGAAGCAGAAGGTTGCACACCCAATAAATCATAAAGTTTTGTCTCTTTAACCATAGTAACTTATAGATTTTTTTTTAACTGAATATTATTTAAACCCTATCTTAATCCTATTAGAATCGACGAAAGAACTAATTGATATATATTAGTGTAAATATATTACCGCCGGTAATGGATTTTTCATCTTCATCTGACTTCGAGACTTTTCTAGAACATTCTTCGTCACGTGATCACATATACAGAGGGTTCCAGTATAACTACGGACATATATATGTGTGTATATTGGAGGGTGGTATGGATATAGTTAGATAAAGATGGGGAAGCTGGCCTAATCGGTCTTTGTAGCGTTTGCACGAGCAGCCTTCTTCAAAGCTCTGACACGGATACTTTTATGCATGCTAAAGTTCAAGGAGTTGGCGAATTTTGAGTAGACACCGACAGTATTTTCGATCCCAAAGTGCATCAATGCATGGGTCCAGTAAGGGGTAGTGGTGGCAAATCTTTCCTGGGCACCACAGCGACGACCAGCAGTGTTCAATACCGCAGTGACAAAGTTCTTTGGGTTTGGAATGGACGCAGAAGAGCGTCTGATCTTGGACATGGCGGAGGTGACCAAGTAGGAGATGACCAATTGGACGTCGATGCCGTGAGGCTTCAATTCACCGGCCAAGGCCGAGGACCACGCTTGTAAGAAGGACTTTGAACCGGAGTATGTAGCCAAGTAAGGGGTTGGTAACAACCCACCGAAGGAGCCCATGGTTAAAATTAAGCCCTTGACCCTCTTGTTTTCCTTGGCGACGGTGTCTGCGATAACAGGGGCGACGACCTGGGTGATTTTCAAAGTGACGGTGTTATTGATGGTGATGATGTCTCTCAATTCCTTATCTTCGGTTTCCAAGAATGGCACTGGGATTGCGTGGGACTGGCCGACATTATTAACCAACACGGTGACAGGCAAGTTGGACACGGTGTGCAAGATCTTAGCATAATTGGCATCATCATCGGTGGAGGCATCGAATGCAATGACTTGGGTGCTTACCTTGTATTTAGTTTCAATTTCAGTAGCAATTAATTCCAATTTCGAGAGAGTTCTTGAAATTAGAACAACGTTCAAACCTCTAGAGGCCAATTGATAAGCATATTCCTTACCAATTCCATCGGACGCACCAGTAACAACAGCCCACTTGCCTTGCTTGGCTCCGTACTTCTTAAAATCGACAGCTGGCAAGACAAAAAGGTCGACTAATAACGAACCAACACTTAAAGTGAATGTGGTAATTTTGTAAACACCAACAAACAAAACACCATATATTAAAGCTTGGGTGACCTTACAATCACTGATTGATGACACGAATTGACAAAGTGACATGATATCTGATAAAAATTAGACAACTTTAAGGAGAAAGAGTTAGCAGTATTTTCACCAATAATATTTTTCACGCGATCCCACCCATACAGCCTTCTTAAAATATCACTAATAATACATTACAATATACAAGACTTATATACATATATACCCAACAAATATCAAACTAAACCATATGCCTTCATAAATAAGTAAACTCTTCGAGTTTTTCATTGGTAATTTGTACGTGCAATTCTTCTCTAAGTGCCTGCCTTTCTAGGTTGGCGACTGAGTTCTCTAACAATAGCTTCGCATGCTGTAATTCGTGCAATTCTTTATCTAGACGACCCAATTCCTCATGAGTGTGTTCGAACGTCTGTTTCGTGGGGTCGTCCTTTATTTGAAGTATAGTAATCCATGGGTTGGCAGGTGCTTTGGGCCCCGGGGCGCTCTTATGCTGGGGTGTCTTTGGTTTTGATGCCGGAGATGACGAAGAATGCTCATTCCATCCCAGATGGCTTCCATAACCGTGTTCTGACTCGTATTGTGACCGCCCATGGTAGCTTCCTCGATCTTTAGACGAATATGTCCCCTTGTATCCTCCCCGATAGCTTCCTCTATACAGCGACTGTGGGTACCCATAACTGCTGTCGTCAGTCCTCGAGCCCGCACTATACCCATCGCCATAACCGTCGTATCCTTCTTGATATCCTTCTTGATAACCCTCTTGGTAAGTGTCGTCTCCCTGCGACGTGGGCCTTGAAGTATCGTAATTGTCGCCCCTGTAGCTGTCTCTCACCTGATACGACGAATACCCGCCTCTTCCTCGACTATTTCCCCCGTAGTATGGGTTATACCGGCTCAGATACCCTCCTCGACCATAATAGCCCCCTCGGTCGTTCGCTCGTCCTCTGTACGCTCCACGAGCTCGTCCTCTATATCCACCTCTGTAGCTGCCCCTGTATCCAGAACTGTCGTCTCCATATCCGCTATCACGATACCCGTCACCCGCCGAGCCGCTGCTCATAGAATAGTTGTTACTCATGATCTTACGGCAAGAATAGTCTTATATATGTTCTCTTAGTAACGTCTTAGTAGTCTCTGGCTCGCTTTAAAAAAAGTTCTAACCTGCAAAAACAACACAACATGTAAAAACCAAACAATCTGCAAAACACAAACAACCTGCAAATTGCAAAAAGCCAAACACCAAATCATATCTCAAACACCCGTACATCAGATTAAAAAAAATGATGATCGTGACACAAAATCAATTTTATCATTTTCGCAATTACATTTCCTAATCGGGATTTATTACCGTCCTAAAAAAAGTCGTGCATTAACCAAAACAATAATACCAGAAATTGATTAGCATTGAGTCTATAGAAGGGACCTTATAGTACAAGAAACTAGAGATAAGTAGAAAAAAAAAGTTCACGGTGGTGAAGAAGCTGAAATAAATATCAGAGACTGCAAATAGTAAAACGAATCATTAATCAAAAATACATTATTGTCGTTTACTAAATGGACGAAATATCAGGCGTAAGTGGTAGTAGGATCGGCGGCAGAATAGGGAGCGATGAGGAAATTTTTGATCGGGTATGGAAAAACATGGGATTTATAGAAAATATGCCGCTTAGTGAGGTGTATGGGTTGTTGAAGAATATTGAAGATGAGAGCTGCAAAAAACGGCGAATGACCAATGATCCGGGGGTGGTGGTGATGGCACAGATGGTGATCAACAGGGTCCAGGATATGTTTGGGGAACAAGCCGAAAGAATCAGTATTCTGAAGGAGGATTCGGTGATGATTTTGGAGTGGATTGTTGACGGAGGGAATGGCGGTGAAGGAGGATACGAGGGGGTAGAAACGGTTCGCCAGGGACTAGCTGGCCGGCGCATTTCCGTATGTGATAGTGACGAGATGAGCGACGACGAGACGGCGTCATTGATGGAATTCGACCGAGTGGGATGCAAGAGGAGTGTGAGTGTGCCCTCGAGTATTTGCGACAGTCATATTGATATGGCATGCAGTCAGAAGGCGAAGGAGTTCAGCCTCGGCGAGATCTTGGATGACTTAGAGGAATACCATCACACTATCGAGATGAACTTCGCATCTCTAGAAAATCGGTTAGTGGGGCTAAAGAGCCAGAATGCATACCACTTACAGTATTTGAAGAATGTGGGCACGATAAACGACGGGCTATTCGAGAAAGTCAGATCTATGAGACACGAGGTGTCTGAGGTTCAACAAGAACTCGCCAAGCTCACAGAAGTGGCTCACCCCAATCCTACTGATCCAACGCCCATAGTGGCCCAAATTGATTTGGTTACTACTAAAATGTCGCCTGAAGATTCTCATGTATACGATCGATTGACCAAGTCAGATGCTGAATCCACTCACGTATCTACACACAATGTCACGCAAAATATGGCCACGAACAACACTACGCATAAAACAGCTACTCTTTTAATTGCATTTATTTCAATCATGATTTTTATGATTTCATTTTTCACTAGCAAATAGCATTTCTACATACTGCATGTTTCAAAATAATATATTTCTTATATGAAAGCCACGAACTAATTTTCAAAACTCGTAGAGAATGGTGCTGAAAAGACGAACTAGCGTATACAAATAGGTATCACGATACAGAGGGATATAGAAAAAGAGCACGCTTCTAACCCATGTTAACAGATCTTGGATAACTATCGTAGTTTTCACCATCTTCCTGAAAATATGGATGAATTAAGGCTCGCTTTGCGCTGATTCTACCACTTGGATCGTAAACAAGCATTTGCTCTAACAAATCGATCCCATCTTCATCTAAAGTAGGCACAAACTCTGCCAAATTTTTCTTGGACCACTTAGGGAAAGTCGACTTGAAATCTGGCAAGTATGAGACATCAGGCCAGGTTTCTTCCGATGGCGTACCTAAAATTCTGAAGATTCTGAAGATTTCGTCGATTTCTGAATCCCCGGGGAAGAGTGGCTTTCTATTACACATCTCTGCAAAAATACAACCAACCGACCACATATCTACCCCAGTTGAATATTGTTTACCACCCAACAAAATCTCTGGTGCTCTATACCATAAAGTTACCACTTCGTGTGTATACGCTCTTAAAGGCACCCCGAATGCTCTTGCGAGACCAAAATCGGCCAATTTTAAATTTCCTTCCTTGTCAATCAATAAGTTCTGGGGCTTCAAGTCTCTATGCAATACCCTGTGACTGTGACAATGCTTAATACCCTTGACCAACTGGTTCAAAAACCTCTTAACCATGTCGGCTCCTAAGCCAACTCCCTGAGGAATCGATTCCATGTATTTCTTCAAATCTAAGTCTAAAAATTCAAACACTAAATACAACTTATGCGAGTCTGAATGTATTATATCGTACAACCGAACGATGTTATCGTCTCTCATTTCCTTTAACAACGAAATTTCTCTTATAGCTGTCGATGGAACTCCTTCATCCTCCGACTCCAATCTGATCTTTTTCAAAGCAACAACCCTATTATTATGCTTGGTATCCAATGCCTTATACACAACTCCATATGTACCTAGTTATATTAGTATTTGCGTGTTTTTGACCTAAACTACCAATAAATTACCCAGTTATTGCTCAATGTACGAAAAAAAAGATGACAATACATACCTTCACCAACTTTCTCTTGACGCTGATAATCCGTTAATTCGACCATTTTTAATTATGTAGAAATCAAATAATCAAAGCGAATGTAACTATTCTATCTAACACCTTAGTTTCAACGTAACTTAAATAATATATCGTTTAGAAGTAATATACTACTCAGCTTAGATCACCATTCAAAAAACTCTACCGCGTTGAGAATGAATGTTTACAATTTTTCTTTGCGGATAAGACTCTCACGTGAAGGTAAGACTTTAGAATCTATTCACAATTAAGATATACCAGTACTATATACGACAAGGGGGCTATATTTCAGGGATTGGGAGATCAGATTTACCTTCACCTGCATCACAAACCTTGATTTCTCTACCCCATTCACTATTCAATATCTGTTTACCGTTAATACGCCTCTCAGGCTTCGGGTCCAAGATGGAGTAAATGACATTTCTACAACGAGCCCTCTTTAACGATTCAATAGGTTCGTAGCCGGAGGCATCCTTTCTTTTCTTTAAATATTCTTCGAAAAACTCGTCCTTTTTGGGGTCGGCCAACTTCCATAACTGCCTACCGGTTCTCATGGCCAAGTAGATGACACCACAAGCCCATATGTCGACGCCTCGAGGATCGAAAGAATGCTGACTGAACTCTTCGGGAGCAATGTACGGCGAGGAGCCACAGACGCCTTCACTATATTGGATTTCGTTTTCCCAGGCCATTTTGAAGCACTCGCCGTTTCCAAAATCGGTGATTTTCAATATCCCATTTTGGGTTAATAGTAAATTTTCGGGTTTCAAGTCTCGATGGCTGACACCCATTTCATGCATGTAGTTGACACCTCTGATCAATTGCTTGAAAAAACAATCGGCTTCGGCGTACTCTAGTTTTCCTGCGGCGATGATCAAGGTGTACAAATCACCACCCGAACAAAATTCCATAACTTCGCAGTAGTCACCCTTCGCATCCTTCAACAAATCCAATGTGTTGATGATGTTCAAGTTCTTCAACGATGATGAGATGCAGAATTCTGACGTGAGTCTTCTATTATACTTTTGATCTGATTCGCTAGGTCTTCGCTTGAATTCTTTCACTGCGTATAATTTTTCCTCCGTGTCGCTATTTTGGCCAATTACTTTCTTATGCGATATCCGTACCACTCCAAACGATCCCTTCCCTATAACTTCCTGACATCTACCGTATTTCTCAACAAAAGATCTGCAATCGGGTTGTTCGCCTGTTCCATTCACCAGCCCATGATATGGGGAGGTTTCGTTTTTGACTTGATGAACTAACCCGGCGAAAAGAGTGGGTGGCTTATCATTAGGTTGTGCTAATTGTGATTGTGATTGTTGTGGAGTTTGCAATATATTAGGTAAGGCTGATTTGGCTTCATCACGTAATTTTTTGGATCCTAACAAGCCTTTCAACATATTCGATAACTTCTCTTGTCTTTTAGCAGAACGTAAATTATGCTCGTGTGAGCCGTTCTCTAACATCCTGAACCTTGGTTTGGCTGGCGTTGGACTTGGGGACTGAACCGACGCATTGAGCTCCTTATCTTTTAGTTGCACTGGCTTAGTCTTCAATGACGATGTTCTCGACACTGGATTTGACCCTGTAGACTTAGCACCAGCACTGATAGGCGCCTTTTTCGTGGGCTGGTTTGTATTTGCTGATGAAACGGACACTGTAGGCGATCGTATATTCATCGGACTCGAAGAGCTCATGGCCTGTAAATTGTTGTTGGAACCCGTATGAAGGTTAAATTCCGACCCCATGGATGTTACCACCTGTGGTTGTGGATGGAACAATATATTATCCTCTGAAGAATTCACTGAATCGGCAGGAGAAGCAATTCTATGCGGATTATTTATTGTGGATACGTTTGTCTTCGACCCTGCTCTCGGTGACACCATCAGCAGCCGGGACGTTGCCGCTTTGCCTTTATTATTACTCATATTTATGTTTCCATTAGTATTCTGCGTGTTGGACCCTACGCTCGTATTAAAATTGCCATCATTCTTGATATTACTGTTATGCTCATTAGTGCTATTTTTACTATTATTGCTATTAATACCGTACAACATATTATTTCTCTGCAACGGCGACCCCCTATCCTCTTCTTGACCCGCCGTTATAATATCCTCCTTACTAGAGAGCGGCGATGCTTTTCTCAGTCCNCCTGCCATATTATCTTTGCCATCAGACCCGTTAGCCGCCTGTTTAGGATCCTCAAACACTGGGCTACTCAATTGATGAAGGTTAGTTTGAGAAACTCCAAAGAGCTTCCCAATCTTCGTCATAGTTTTTTTCGATTTAGAGTCACCCATGGTGAACTATTTTACCTATAATAACTTGTAGATAGCCTACCTGATAATATGGTGATAATTGATATCTTCTATAGGACTATGACAAAGAATTAGAAAATTTTAGTACGCGACATTTTGCCAAAATCCGAGATTATGTCGTATGAAATCCTTTGATTAGTTAACGACATTTTATCTCACCATATTCCAACAGTCACGCAATCGTTAGGGGCTAATACTAGTAGTACCTTAAACTGGCTTAGCAGTCATCGATAAGGACGATAAATTGGAGCTAAGCAATCTGATATCATGAAACTACGTTGTTACAGCGCAAAAATAGAATTTTGCGGACATGGGGGGTCTGGATGCCAGAAACCACGTGTAACGCCACGATGTAATTGTTTCAAACAAACATGAAACTGGTGAATGACGAGGTGTAGTAGGATTGTGTATTAATGTTTTATGTTTTAAAATTTTGTAATTCTATTGTATGCTATACCCATTTTGTAGATCAATGGGGATGGGTTGCATGAGAAACGTTTTTATGCTAGTTACGTGCATAAGAAACTCGTTTATGGCTCGAGTACTCTATTGCAACATTCACTCGAGCACCAATTAAGTTACCCATACGATCCATTAGTTGCATAAGGGGTGAATAGTTACATATAGAATAACAATGAGTTCGGTTGAAAGGTAACATGGCCCGAGAAAAGGACATTATTGAACATTGCACCCATGAGGTACAAGAAAAGAACGAGATGATCCACATGTTCAAGGGAAGCTGAAGAGGGCCAAATAATTGACCGTGTATATATATAGAGATCCATACGCAAGGAATGGGAGGTAGGAGAGAGCTAGATTCATACAATTATTGAGGTGATGAATTGGATAATTTTCGCAGCCGTTTTAGGATCGGTCTTGAGTCAGCAGACATCAGAGCCAAACATTGATGTATTTTTCGGCACAGAAAACGGAGGTAATGTGTTTCCTGGATCAACCAGACCGTTTGGAATGGTTAAGATGGGGGTCGACGTTATCGATTCTTCAGCTGGTGTTGTGTTTTCTGGATATGCCAAAGATGGAAACGTCGCGGGCATATCCATGATGCATGAAAGTGGGACCGGAGGCTCACCAGAATATGGGGTAGTTTCCCAATTGCCATTGATTGGAGATATCGACTATTCGAGTCAGAGCAGTCTTGGTAGATCTTCAGATGATGTGGGGTCGGTGGGTTATTACTCATGCAACTTCAACAACGGAATCCAAGCTGAATTCGCAGCTGCAGATAGGTCTGGTATCTATCAATATAGCTTTCCAGAAAATAACGAACCCAAGGTCATGATCAATGTAACTCATCATTTGGCAAATTCTGATAAACCATACTGGTCACAGTACTTTGTCAACGGATCAATCGAAGCAAATAGCGATAAGAATGGTTACGAAGGTCAAGCAACTTTCACCGGAGGATGGGCCTGTCAAGATCCATGGACTGTTTACTTCTGTGGTGATTTCGAAAATAGTGCCGATCTGGTAGAGAGTTTTATTGGGACTAGCAGCTCTGATTCGATGCAAGCTTCCACTAATGCCAACGAGTCAGTAGGAATTGTATTTACGTTCCCATCAAGCCAATCTACTATAAGAAGCAGAGTGGGTATTTCATTTATTTCAACTGACCAAGCATGTCTGAATATTAAAACTGATTTTAAAGACTATAATCTCAACAGTACTGTGTCCGACACCAAGACTTTGTGGGATGACCAGGTATTTGGTAAAGTGAATGTGAACAATAACAACGAAACCCTTAGTAACTTGTTATACACTGCACTTTATGGTGCCCATTTGTTGCCATCCAACAAGACTGGTGAAAATCCACATTGGGACTCATCTGAGCCATACTATGATGACTTTTTTACTATTTGGGACACGTTTAGATGTTTAAATCCTCTTTTTAACGTCTTAAATCCTAGCAGGGGTGCCGAATTAATCAGAAGCTTGATTGATATTTATAAACACGATGGATATACTCCAGATGGAAGGTCTGCTAACCAAAATGGGAAGACTCAAGGAGGTAGCAATTCAGACATATTGATGGCTGACGCCTATGTAAAAGGTGTACACGATCGTATTAACTGGGATGATGCATTTGCAGCAATGGTTAAAAATGCCGAAGTAACTCCTCCTTACTGGTATGACTTTAAAGCCCAAGACGCTTCTACAAAAGAAGGTAGAGGCGGATTGTCCGACTGGATTGGCCTTGGGTATGTTTCACGTAATTATACAAGATCTGTTACGAGAACAATGGAATTCTCATATGATGATTTTGCGCTTTCGGTTGTGGCTAAAGGAATCGGCAATGACACTGCTCATGACAAGTATTTAAGAAGATCGGAAAACTGGCAGAATATCTGGAACCATAACGCTACGTCTGGTTCTTGTAAATACTCAGGATTTGTACAACCAAAGAATCCTGATGGATCTTGGGCCTACGATGACTATGATCCGCTCTCATGCGGTAACTGCTATTGGGGTGACGACGAATACGAAGGTAAGCCAATTGAATACGGATGGGCCGTTCCACACGATATTGCTACCCTTATTGAGTTCATTGGAGACAATGATACATTCATAGCTCGTCTTGATGACATGTTTGGTCTTAACGGTCAAGCATTTGCTGACATAGGAAATGAACCCAGCTTTTTAACTCCCTATCTCTATAATTTTGTCAACGCCAACTACAAAACCACTGAAACTATAAGATACTTAATCAACACCAAGTATTCTACGGGTCCTTCAGGCTTACCTGGAAACTCAGATGCTGGTGCAATGCAAGCGTGGCTCTTCTTCGGTCTCATGGGATTCTATCCAGTTGCTGGCACAACCACGTATCTTATCTCATCTCCTTTCTTTTCAAGTGCCACTTTGAACTTGGAGAACGACAAAAAGGTGACAATTACCGCTTCTAACTTGAGCAATGATAACATTTACATTCAAAGTGTTGAAATAAATGGTGATTCATGGAACCAAAATTGGTTTACTCATGACGATATTTTCAAAAATGGAGGATCGATCCACTTTGAATTGGGCTCCACTCCTTGTAGATGGGATACTGGTGATGTCCCACCAAGTCCTGGCCATATTATATAACTAGATAGACATTAATATAGAGTATTACTTTAGGCTAGAATGGCTGTGAAATTCCTACGGATTTTGTGTTCCTCACTGTAAAGCAATAGTCTCGAACATGATAAACATTAAAACCTAACATCATTATCTACCATAACTTTAGTAATATTCAAGATGGATAGCAATACTAGCATTGCATTACAATATGTAATGTTGTATACGAGGAAAGTTTTTATGTTTTGTTTATTACCATTGACTCATTTAATCTATCCTTGTCTAAACCTTTCATATCAAATGATAAAGCATACTGTATTTATTCCTCTTGCAATAACAATCAACATATTAATATACGGATTTTTGTTTCTACCTAGCAAGCCATTGTTCTATATACTTGGTATAGATGAGCCTACGAGAGACAATATCAAAGTACTAATTCCTCACATTCAATTTTTTATGGTCAATTTAACCCACTATGTAATGGTGGGGGTTATATTTGGAACTGTGGTTGGAATACTAACAGGATTTAATTTAAGAATAATCCAATACTTATTGACTATTAGTGATATAGAAACAATACCTAATAAGGTAAAGAATGAGAAAAATCAAACAACACCGTATTTGAATGATTTAGTTTCTCAAGTTACACCTAGTGTTTCAAATGAGTTTGCGGACAAAAATACTACTCCAATAGGATATGAAAGTACTCCTGAAGTCCTAGGCTCAGGGAATAGAACAAGCACAGGCAAATACGCTACAAGCCAAGTTAGATCGTCACCTAACGTGTTATCGCTGGGTTCTAGCAATTTTGCTTACGAAGATGACGATGGGTACTATCCAACAACCCAAAGAGGAAAATTCAAGCATTCCGACAAAAACCGTGCCATATCTCGTAGAAAGACTCATCCTTTCACGATTAAAGAAGACAGTTATTCTGAAACAGATGAGAAGCAGCAGCCTTACAAGAGATTGAAGGTCACCGCTGACATATTTGAAGCAGAAGGGAAAGCAAAGGACCAGCAGAAGGAAGATGGTGACCCTGAAGGCCCGGCTTATGAAGTGAATGATGAGAGTTACGTTGATGATGGCCATGATACCACCAGCACTACGAAGAATGATATATTTTCCTTAAGAGGTAAAGACACAGACCTTAGTACGTTGGCCTCGCATGTAACAGTTTCGGATCCTAAAGAATCCAAAAATGGTTAAAATAGGTGCAGAACACCGTGTATCAAGATAGCTTCATTTCATTGACCAATTCCCAAATGGTCGAGGTATATAATTCGGCAAAATGTCTTCTCGAGTTATAATTTCTATGGTGGCAGACAATGAGCTCGCATTATTTAAAAGATACTAAGAGTGTACCTCTTCAATTTGAACATTTTTCGCCTAACGTTTCACAATCTGATCAGACGAAGGAGAATAGAGGGGCAGATAATGAGCCAAAGAAAAGACAATCAGTTCCTAGAGATGATGAAAGTAAGATCAGCAAGACCGTCAAGTTTATTAATCAAACAAACAACGAAAATGTTGATATTCCGTGGCCCAACGTTAGTGTTGATGAAGATGTTGAACCGTCATCAAAAATCAGTGAGTTAGGACGCATACTTATTCACTATCTTAACGAAATTGGCATTATTAAGGCAGACTTGCAAACACCATCAATCGGTGAAAAACCCTCATCGAAGGGAAAGCAGTATATTTGTTGTTTAAAGTTTCAGATTAATTACGCTTTTCAACGATTTCAAGTTATCTTAACTTTAAAATATGGTATTGCAAACAAAAAAGTATTTTGTAACAATTCCTTTTCGAATGATGAGTTGGTGGATTATTTAAAGAATTTGATTATATTCAAAAAGACCGATACAGGCCAGGAAATCAAGTTTAACAATCTTAAATTGTTATGTGTGAGTTGTAATATCAACGGCCTTGAGTTGGAAATTTAGTTTATGTTTAGGAAGATATTGTTTTCAAGCGTAGATATATTTGACTACAAATAAGTAAATATAAAAATACATGCAAATTAACCAAAATCTAAATTCTAGTGAAACTAGATCAACGAACTAAATAGGAAGCACCACCATTAAACAGCAATAAAAAGAAGAAAAAAAATATAACTGGATATAAAAAAAATAAATATAAGCATAAACAAACGTGATATCATGAGGTATTATTATGATAATAATATAAGGTTGAAAATGATGAATTGATGATATGAATTAATAATTTTCGGGATGATGGGATGGGGCATAATTGATATATACAAGAATGATTATTTATTTTCGTTGAAATAATCAGAATAGTAATTACCGAATACACTCCAATGGAACTTGACTAACGTATAAATTCTGCTGGCGATGCTAGACATTTCCGATACGTTCTTATTCGCAATTGCAGATGATGCAGTGGAAGCCTTTGACGAATTGATAACTTCAACGAACAAATCCTTGAAGATTTTCTCTTCCATTAAGCCGTAGACTTCTGAAATTGGTTGAATCTGTTTTATTAACCAGCCATTAGCAAACGTAACCATTGCTTGGGGAAGCTCATCCGATTTGCCGGTAAGTGGGTTTGTAACAGCATTCCTCACCAACTGTAATGCGATAGATTGAATATTTCTAGTCCATTTGACATTGCCATTATCATCTCTAACAATGGCCAAGAGTTCCTCTTGGATTTTGTTGATATTAGCAGGCTTGAAACTTTCTGATCTGTAACTGGATGCTTGTGGATAATTAATGAGAAGTTGCTTGTACAAGACAATACATAACTGAACACAGACCAACTGTCTGACATCAGCTCTCAACAACACCAATCTGGTGTGATCGAACGCCAAAGTAGAAGGGAATTCCGTGGCCATGTTGCGACAGGATAATAAGTCTATGATTGACGATGAAAGCAAAAACTTTTTCTGTTCTTCATCGGATACATCATTAGGTAAAAGTTTGACCAACTTATCGCATTTCTTATGATACAGTTTGTAGAACCACTTCAACAGATCCGAAATATCGATTTTTGAGTTTAGTATTAATTGGTGGAAGTAGTCTTTTTCAAAGTCAACGGCGGTTTCGATGAGGACGGGTCTCAATATTCTGATTTGGTGGTTGGCAACATCCAACTTCATTGCTTCCAAAATCAGAAAGATCATCCGTAAGCCCTGCACCAAGTACTTGACCGAGTTGTCGGTGAAGGCAAGTCTAAACTTGTTGATCATGTCGGCGACCCACTGGTCCCTCATGGGCGCGCAGTGAGATTTGAACACCTCACCCAACCACTGGGACAACGCAACAAAATCAAAAGACCCGTGGGACAACTGCTGGATCAAGAGCTCGATATCCATTACCTCGTTTACGGACGATCGGTCCTTATAAGGAAGTAACGACAACAATATATCGCGTAAGGTGGTGAACAAGATGGGCAAACGCGAGATCTTAATCATGTTGTGCGATTGCGAGGCCGCAAAGAACTGGCTACACTCCTTTTCGATCTCGCCCCAGTACTTGTCAATGATGCTCTTCTTCCTTTTGCCCCTCTCGCCATCGAGATTGGGCCTAAACTGCAACTGCGGGTCAAACACAATATCGTGCCTCAACTGGGGGTTTTTCAATATTTCGTGCAAATCGATCTCCTTCAAGCTCTGCAAGTTGATGGGCGGCAACGGAGGCACCGAAGTGTGGGCGATTTTGGGAAAATTCTGTAAATGCTGTATGTGCCCCGGTTTCGAGTAGTTGATGATGGGCAAGCTCCGCGACCTGAACTTGCGGATGAACTTGGGAGCCTTGCGCTTACTATTACCAAGTCCGAATGGATGTGCATGCTGTTTGGACGTGTTGGACGTGTGTCCAAGAAGATTGTGCGTACGAACTGTGTGTGTACGAGCGAGCGCATTCATATGCGAACTATGAGATTGCTTCCGACCCAACGGATTCATCACCGGTATTTGCTTTGTAGTAGGGGACATATTTTCGTCCTTATTGATGCTAGCGTCTAGTCTGACCCGTTTCTCTTCTGCGGGACCACCGCTGGTGGTGGCTTGCCCACCACCAGATGATTTATCAAAGAAGACCGGTCTAAACTGGTCCTCCTTAAACACCTCTTGGTTATCATTTTGGTTATTTACCTGGGAGTTCATGGATGGAAATAAAATGAGATATGAAATATGAAATATATGAGATGAATAGATGATAAAATTGTCGAAAACTTTTGATAAGAACTAAACCAATAAAAGCCGGAATTTGTAATCCTTTATAAATTAAATATGGTAATTAAAGGCTCCGTGATGAAATTTTTTAACGAAAAGGAATCGACGTAACATGCAAATGCTCGTGAGTGGGATAATTTGCAGGTTATCGAGGTTTCTTTTTCGCAGCTACGGCGATTACGGAGCCGGAGATAGGCGAAGGGTGGCGGGTTCGAGTCGCTGGTGGGAGAAAGAGAAACTACATCGAAGATGCTCATAGACTAATTTACGGATAGACAGATATAGCGAGATAATATGGTGAGGAACAATAGAGAGCAGAATTACAAAAATAGACAGCGATATATATATATAGGTATATGTATCTATGTATATGTATATGTGTACATACACATATATGTAGATAGAGACATCGAAATAGATATGGATATACACATCAGACAGCAATACGAAGCTCATACGACAATGCACCGAAGGCGAGTCCCAGCGATATCGCAATCAGCCGATGGGAAAAAAATTATTTGCGCATGCGCAGAGAAGATTCCCGGAACAACAAAAGCTAATCCAGGCGTCGAAGGCAAGTGCAAATGGAAGCTATGACGGAGTAGAAGATGACGATGAAGAGGATGACGGTGATGGAAGATGAAGTGCAAATGGAAGAGGATGAGATGGTGGCAAAAACTGGACAATAGTGGCAAATCTATATTTCGATGGTGCGATTGGCTAGTATGATAGAAAACCTGACGACATAATATAGTTATGATATACATGACATCCGTGGAACATTACTGCATGGGAGCGGTCTCATCGGAACATCACCAACTGTCGCATTTGTCTGCCATTTGTTAGTGTCATATGCTTAATTACTACATACCAACTATTAACTTCCTACCATCTACAACCTATAACCTACCACATGGCTACATACTTATACATTACCACTGCGATCTACATACTTACTAGCTACAACCTACAACCTACAATCTACAACATACAACCTTCCACCAACCTTCCTCGTCCCACATGACCACTGCGCAACATAAAAGAAACCATACCATCACGCGTTTCACCCTATTGTTCGTCTGTACGGGCTGTATACCAATCTCCTATTATATGTCCTCCGTAATGCTGCACCAGATAATATTCTGGTCCCTGGATGCGGTACGGCATTGCTACCTGTGTACCACATTTAATTCTTCTCTCTGGATCAAAGTTGCTGCATGCATGTCGTCGGCTCCTCCCATTCGTCAATCGCTCCCTCGTACACATTTTCGTCTTCGTCAAATGGCTCCAACTCTACTGCTCCCTCGACAAGGATCCGAAATATCTACATCGTCCACCTACAGCATGGTTATTTTAGCCCACCTGCCTCTTCGGACTCGTTAATCTAGGTAATACGTGCTTGAATGTAGGTAGATACATGAACCTGAAATTCCCTTGTCTTAGATCATCCCGACCGGTTGCAGAGAAACGGCCAACAAGTATCCTATCTCCCAACCACTGCTGCAAGCACTTAAGACCTTCGAATCGTCATCTCTCCTACCTGTCCCCTCCCCACCGTCTGTGGGCTCCGTATAGCCGCCCCAATGTCATCATAGGCTGTTTGTAGAAGATAAAAAGATTTAGAATGCGTCACATGACAAAATGTCTTACTCGAGAGGATTTGTCTTTAACGTAAAATCTTCTTACCGTTTTCTTTATTCTAGGAGTACGATATACACATGATGAACGATAATAAGTCTCCGATAGAGATTCATCTGGCAAAGGAAATGACAAAAGTTCCACGGACTTCTGGTACACCTACGCCGGTGGTGGGTATAACCGGCGGCACCAAACCGCAGACTATATTTATTCATAAACTATACGATATGTTGGAGGACGGTAATATTTCACACCTCATATGGTGGACAGAGAATAGCGAATCGTTCTGCTTGTTGCCGGGAGAAGAGTTTTCCAAGGTTTTGGCGCAGTATTTCAAGCACACGAACATCGCATCGTTCATCAGACAGTTGAACATGTACGGTTTCCACAAGGTGAACGATGCGGGACAGAATGAGAACGGGGGCGACAATAACGTTGCCAGATGGGAATTCCGCCATCTGGCGAACCATTTTCGCAAAGGGGACATCGAGAGCTTGAAGTTGATCAAACGCAGATCATCGAAGAACGTAACCCACACGAGAGACGCGGCTAAGACGGCTGGGGGCACCGAGGACGATATACATGAAGCGGTGAACGAAGGCGACGCTAAAGGGATACATACGAGCGACCAGCACGATCTGAAGGCTCACGAGCAACAGCAGCACTACCATCAAACGTTGCAGCTCCAACAGCAGGACCAGATGCCACAGCCACCAAGTACCGTACAACACCACCATCTTGCACAAATAGACGGGGCCCCGTCACCCAGCGTGCAACCATCGCTCCCGAAACTGCCGCGGCGATATAAGCTGTCCGGCGACCTATCGCTAGAGACCCGTTTAAATGAGGTCACTACCAGTTTGGTTACGCTAGGACACGAACACCACCAGTTGCAAACACAGTTTAACTTGGTGTTCAACGAACAGAAGAAAAGCCAATTTGATTTAATCCAATTGGTAGAGATCATGCAGCGCCATGCTGTGAAGAGTGAAGACGATAAGAAATTAGATTACGAATTAACAAATTTTAAACAAGTCTTATTAAATAAATTCAACAACTTGCATATGCTTTTTTCCCAAGCACAAGGCCACCCAGCGCCAACCATACATCCACAACATCTGTCGGATGCTCATCCCTCGATGAAGCCTCAATATAATTCATCCCATTTGCATTACTCATACAACCAGCCCAGTGCTGATTCCAATACCGACTCGTCCAATATTGAAACCCAAAAATCATCGAAAAATGGCTCCAAACAGCCCGTTCCTGACGGCACTATGGCCAAGGATGCGCAACCTCCATATACATACCCAGAGAAGTTTTTGGACAAAAATAACGTCCCGACTTCTTTACATTCACCCCATACATCTGAAGTGAGAAGAGGCTATCAGCAGTATCCATTTCCCAATATGAACTCTGACCCACGGGCGAGTGCGCCTTCGACGCCTGACCTATTCGGTCATTCTGTGCCCCAAAGAGTCCCATTACCATCCACCAACACGTACGAGCAACGCCCACAATCAATCCCTACTCCAAACTCGTCGCTATCGTTATCGCGACTGGCGTTATCGAATTCCTCGGCCTCGTCAGGATCGTCGTTCTCGAGTAACACATCGCTAGAAACACCTCCCAAGTTGGTTCCATTGCCCTCAGTATCTGAATTAGATAAGCTGATAAAGAACGGTGGTGGTGGATTGCCCCTTTATAGAATGCTCAATTCGTATGGACCCTTGAAGAGAAAAAATTCTACAGAGGACGAAACCCGGAAAAGGCAAGCTTAGCTGTATTTGATACTCTTCATCGAATAGTCGATGATAAATATGATAAATATGATAGTGGTGTTGATTTTTGATATGGTGTTAATTCACAATTTCTCATATGTTCGTATGATTACCTCTCTTTCGAACCCGGAATTATTATTATAGCTCCGGATATCACTAGCAGCTGCATTGGATCATTTCTGCTCTAACCAACGTGTATACTATGAGCTTTGCCTTTATGGTGAATCTTTCAGTTATTTATTAAGTATTTTGTATTAGTATTATAGACCTGTATATAAATATATTAAATTTGATTTATTATTGCAAGTGATTCCCTAGTCATTATATAAACACAGTACTATACACAAGGTATACGATGGTTTCTTCAAACAAGGCATCATATCCTAAGTCGACGTTTAAGAAGGTTTTAAATTCTAAGACAAAATACAAATTTAAGAATGACGAAAGTGACTTATTGATATATTTACTCTATGTGGATTATGTCAACAAACTAATGAACAAAGGCCGTGATATACAAGAAAGAACTGGTAGTGCAGAGATTTCCACGAACCATTTGGAATTGGCTAACAATGAGTTGGTAAAACACTACAGAGGCTAGAATACTTCCTAAATGCGTAAAAAGTTGTTGTCCGCGAGCAAGACGTCACAGATACAATAGTGGTGCTAGTGAATACCTAATAAAAAAAATACATACAAGTCTATTCAATTATATACAAACTTAAAATACAGTGTTGGGGTTTTTTAATGTATCAATCATTTTGATAGCATTGTGGGGGCTTCTTTTGTTATACACAAACAACCCCTGTAATTGGGCAGTACTGATATTTTTCATGTCCAATTGTCTATACTTTTCCAAGAATTGGTCGCATAAGTCGACTTCGTCTTCATAGAATCTCAAGAACATTTTCTTGACCTGGTGCTCCGTGGCATTGTCAATCATTACTTTGAAATCGATTCTTCCTGGTCTTAAAAGAGCCGGATCTAAGCGTTCGGGATGGTTTGTTGTCATAAAAGTTATACATTCCTCGGCACTGGCAACACCATCCAATGCATTCAATAAGCCCGAGAATGTCACTCCTGAGGTATAGCCGCCGTCGTCTGACTGTTCTCTTTTATTGAATGCAGCATCAACGTCTTCCAATAGCAATATCGACCGTTCAGGAATATGGTTCATTAAATGGTTAAGTCTATCATCGGTCAAATTGTTCTCCGACAAATTAAGAATACATATATTATAGTCTAATTCACCCGCTATTGCTTGAATGAACGACGTCTTACCGCTACCTGGTGGTCCGTACAATAAATATCCTCTTCTGTAAGGAATACCTCTTTTGTGATACCAATCTCCACTAGTCAAAAAGTCTTTCACGTCATCAAGGATGGACTCGCCGATTCCTTGATCGAGGATAACCGATCCCAACATTCTCTTCTTTCTAGGCTGTCCGAAGGGCCTCCATTCTGGGCCCCACGACGTAAACAAGACAGTTTTACCCTCGCGAACCTTCAAAGCCAATTTCTTAGCCTCACCCAACAAATCGTGGAATAAGCTCTTATCTCTGTACAATGTAGTTAACGTGACGGTTTCAAATGGACTCCCATTGGTCATATCTAATAGCTTTCCCGACCTTTCTCTACTAACCAACATATACGCACCCTTATATCTGATTAAGTGCTTTCCGGGACCAGGAACCAATGAGAATTTCGTCGTAACAGCCCCATTATCGTGCTGAATATAGTTCGTCTCAACTGACAAGTGTCTGGAAGTTCTATGCTTATATTGGGACATCCATTCCAAAAACCACAAGTACGACTTGTCTTTCGACGGAATCTCCAAATCAACTAACAACTGACGGTAAATAAAACCAGAGGACACCGTTATACCTTTACGTGCAAGCGCTAATGATGTCCCTAACAACATTAATCCACCACCGGCGGCAAAATATGGATTGTTCACCACTACTTCGTTGAACGCCAGCTTAGCAATACCTGACATTGACCCATCGGAATTTTCTTTGATTTTATCCAAATCAAACTTAGCTGGTTGCTGTGCCATCTCAATGCTTTTTCAGGATATTTCTTGTATTCTTATGTGACTTAAGTTGCCAGGCTTCTTTCTTGTATCTTTAGAAAGCCGATTTATGAAAATCAAATATTTCTGATTTTGTGTCACTTTGTGATTTTTCTTAGTATCTTCTTGATTAGAGACACATAATCAATTGATCATTACCATATATATACTAATAGTTACAATTATGGTACAACCTAGTCAGGATCAAGGCCAGGGGAATACCCTGGAGTATTCTTTGCCCTCAGGTATTGACGTCAGGGAGGCTGATGAAATCAATAGTGATATATTGGCCAATAATGATTCCAATCCTGACGTTACTCTCAAGAGTAATAACCCCTTTTTGAATACAGACAGTATAGAAACACCGCTTTCTTATTCACAGACTTCAATTAACTCAGAAGAGCTAAAAAAATATCCGTTCAAAACATTAAATCGTATTTTGGATGATATTCATTGGACAATACCTTACAAGCTACAATGCCCAGATATGAATAATTCGAGTCTTTTGAATAGAAAGGCTATTGATTATTCACATGAACTAGCAAGGATTGCTAGTCTGAATTCACGGTTGACGAAATATGAGATGTTGATACTTAGCAATGCGTTAGAATATTCACCCTCGATTGAGAGAATTATAAGTGAGGATAAGAATCAGACATTAACGTTGTTAAGAGGGTTGATTGTTAATAAGAGTGATGTTAATCACTTCAGGCTTTCGATTCTTGAAAATGATATGAGTCAATCGCCTTCGCAAGTTATTGATAAGCATGAATATCACTTAATACCAAAGCACTTAGTTTCGCAGGATGATTTGGATACTCTTTTAAGCAAGACTGATACCCCCAAATTTCCTGAAAATTTAATAGATGATGCATATTTCAAGAGTCTTAACAGCCCAAATAACCATATACTACGGGTTACTATATTTTCTCCCGAATTTTCGAATGACGATCTATTTCCATTGCACGATCAGGAAACTATTAAGAGGAGGTATTTAAATGAAATTGAAAAACATCCAGATTCAAACTTATCTCCAGATACGATCCCAACATCTGTTCATTGCTTTAAGACTTTAGTAAAAGTGTTAAAAGGCCCAATACTTCTTCCACCGGGTCAATCGATAAAGACAATTAATGTCAACAATTCTTCTTTAAACTCCCAGCTTGATTTGCAGCTATTATTTAATAAGCTTTCATTCAAAGTCAGTGAAAATGAATTGATTCCACCAGATGTGGTATCGAACCCCTACTTGCGTGAATCGTATATTAGAAAGATCCAGGAGATAATTTATGTTGCAAGAATTTATGGATCACAGCCGAATGAATTTAGTTCGGTATATACATTTAGTGATAGTTTATCATTGGTCTATCGAACATTCAATGAGTTTGACAAGCATATGTGTCAGACATTTGGAAGAAATCACGATTCCAATCAATTACCTTTTTGTATTAACCTTAATATTTGTACATTTTTCCAGGATGAACTAATAATTAAGTGTTTTGAAAACACTATTAAATCAGATCCATCAAACAAGTTGTACTACGTTGATTCATTAAAAAATGTGATTAACTATAGAACAAACCTGACGTCATCGAGTGGAAAATTAAGGGCATATTACACAAATCTTTCACAAAAGGGTGAATTGATTGGCTTCAGTGATTATGAAATTGCTTTGAAAGCTTTAGGTATCCAAGCAGGTGCTGCTGATAGTAACCGAATAGACGATGAATTCATAATCGTGATGTATACAACATCATATAAAAATGATCCTAAGAATTATGCTTATTTTAATAATCTTTTAAGAACGATTGGAAAGGTGAGAAACAGTGATACAATTAACGAGTTTTTGAAAAAGGAAATAATTCCTCTAAACTTAGCGATTGATGAATTGAATATAGAAGAACTTACAGAAGATGAAGTGGTAATCACAGCGTATGAATTTAAGATGGATGATACGTTAACTTCTAATGGTTTCAATACTAATTCAAATGAAGTTACGTTCTTGAATAAAGCCTTGTTATCAGTCGCATTCCATAGAAAGAGTTATTTACTAATGAACTATATTGAAGTTAAGTTGCCAAATGTTATAGGAGTCGGTGCCAATTATTCGTTCATGGATTCGTTAGAGGTATTGGATTGTGAATTATCTGCAAATGACTTTGAAATCATAACTAAATTTCAAAATAAACTAACCAACTTGACTGATCCTGGCGATATTAGAGTCTTAAGGCAGTGTCTTAAGACTGTGGCTAAGGAAAGAAAATCAAAAATTTTGTCCAGCTTCTTAGCTTCAGGTAAAATAGACTCATCATTGTTACCTGCAGAAAACTGGCCGGCTGGTTTAGACAACATCGGTAATACGTGTTATTTGAATTCATTATTACAATATTATTTTTGTATAAAACCATTAAGAGATATGATTTTGGCTTTTGACGAACGAAAAATTGATCAAACCAAGCAAAAAAATCGTAAAATTGGTGGTAGGAAGGTAGAAGATGCTGAAATCCAAAGGTCGAACCAATTTATCTATCACTTGAGAAATTTATTCAATGACATGATATACACGGATAAGAGATGCGTTCAACCTAGCAAAGAATTGGCCTACTTATCATTTTTACCACTATCCCAGCCTGTTTCATTTAAATCAGAAAATATAGGAGTTCAGCCCGATAAACAGGATGTAATTGATCTTTCTGATAATCAAGATGAGGTTGAAAATTCAAAGGATTCTCCAATCTTGGTTTCATCTGAATCTTCTAGTACTTCTGGCGAAGTAGAAATGATTGATGAACCATCAATTATTAAAAGTGATGACGATATGACATCGGATTCCATAGAAGACATTTCTACACCTGATAAATCGAATTCGATTCACTCTGATAAGAAGGACGATGAGCCGAGGATTTTGCCTATAAGTACCGACCAGATGGAAAGTACGATTGAAGTCGGTAGACAACAAGATGTTACCGAATGCATTGAGAATGTTACATTTCAAATTGAAACTGCATTGGAACCAGAATCTTTAGAAGACGACAATGAACAGTATGATATGATCAAAGAATTATTCAGCGGTAAAACAAAACAAACTATAACTCCTTTGGATACTCAAGGGAAGGAAAGAATATCATATGAAAGATTTTTCAGTTTGATCATTAACGTTAGTGACCATCCTAAGGATATTTACGATTCCTTGGATAGTTATTTTAGTGAGGATACTGTTAAATTAGAAGAAGGTCTCGTTAAGAAATCCCTCACCATTAGTCAACTACCAAACGTTCTTCAATTCCATGTACAAAGAGTAATGTTTGACAGGGAAAAACTCATGGCCTACAAATCGATTGAGCCAATTCCGTTTGGCGAAAACATCTATCTTGATCGTTATTTGGATACCGAGGATGAAGATATTTTAAGAAAGAGAAATGAAGTTTTCCAATGGAAGTCTGAAATCAAACAGTTAAGATCTCAGAAGGATGAGCTTTTACGTATTGATGGCACCACGAATTTATCAATTATGGATTCATTGATTGCCACTAAGAAATTCTTAGAGGCCAAAGTGATCACTCACGACACATTAAGCGTTAAAGCTGAAACAATAGTTGTTCTCCAAGAGCAAATTGACAATTTAAAGCAAAAATTAGAAACTATAGATACTGATTTGCAAAGTTTAGGTGAAAAAGTCTCCAATCAATTTACGTCATATACCAAAGTTGGCTACTCTATCTTCGCTATTTTTATTCACAGAGGTGAAGCAAGCTATGGCCATTACTGGGTTTATATTAGAGACCCCTCTAAGAACGTCTTTAGAAAGTACAATGACGAAATTGTAACTGAAGTGCCGGCATCTGAAGTATTCAACTTCGTAGAGGGAAATACGGCCACTCCTTATTATATTGTTTATGTCAAGGATGAATTGAAGGAGGAATATATCGAGCCTCTTAAGAGGGTAATCAATAAATGCTAGGCTAAATAGTTATAGTGATCTAAATTTTTGAAGATTATATATACGACATTTTTGTACTTCTTATCAATGCTCTCGCTAAATTTCTTATATAGGATACAATTTTGAATTTAACAGATACAATTGAAAGTATTACAACTCAATTTAGTTAAAGGTCAGATATCATAAGTAGACATAATTATTGAAGTGTTTATTCTGTCGTTGGATTGAGATTGAAGAAGAAAATGAAAGTAAAATTCTCTATTAGCTTATCGCTAAGTTTGCTTGCCACTTTCCCAACCCTTGCCTTCTCAGAAAATAGCAACAACGTTGATAAATACAATTCATTTGACAAAATAAAGAGAGATGCAATCCTTAATGATGTTTTTGATATTAAACAAGCTTTGCTGAACCAAAAACCTGAGGACGATGAAAAATGCCCACCCTGTTTCAATTGTAACTTGCCTAATTTTCAATGCACCCAGTTTTCACAATGCAACCCATTCACGGGTATGTGTGAGTGCCGGGATGGTTACGGTGGTATGGACTGCTCTGAGCCATTATGTGGGGCACTTTCTGATGGAAATAAGAACAGGCCGATGAGAGAAGTAAATGAAACATGTCAATGTAAGAAGGGGTGGAAGGGTATTAATTGTAATATGTGTGTAAGCGACGAATCATGCGATTCTTTTATGCCTGAAGGTTTGAAAGGTACTTGTTATAAGTCTGGAATTATCGTTAATAAGTTCCATCAAATGTGCGATGTTACCAACAAGAAGATTATTTCTATTTTGAAAGGGCAAAAGCCTCAAGCAACATTTAGTTGTAATAAGACAGCTGCAGCTTGTGATTTTCAGTTTTGGATTGATCAAAAGGAATCCTTTTATTGTGACCTTGACGAATGTGAATTCGAGTATGACTTAAATTCAAACAGCACTCATTATAAATGTAATAAGGTCGCATGCAAATGTTTACCTGATAGAATGTTATGCGGTGAAGCAGGATCAATTGATATTTCTGACTTCTTAACTGAAACTATTAAAGGTCCTGGTGATTTTTCTTGTGATATTAACGATAAGAAATGTCGTTTCTCCGAACCAAGCATGAACGATTTGATTTCATCAGTATTTGGTGATCCATATATTACTTTGCAATGCAAATCAGGTGAATGCATTCATAAGAGCGAGATTCCAGGCTATGACTTACCTGATAAAAGTAGGCTCACACTAAGTAACTTATTGATGATCATCGGTGTTGCTTCCTTGTGTGGATTGATGATTGTAACATCACTCTATAACATTTCGAAGACTCCATTGTTTAAGGTCAATGATAGCGATTCTTATGAACCGTTAGATGGAGAATTGAATGCATTAAATGAAAACTTTACGCCGACCACACTTTCTTTCGAAAACATAAGCTATGAAGTAAAAAGTGGTCAACAGGTTTTAGATAACGTGTTCGGATTGGCCCGCCCTCGTGAATGTCTTGCTATTATGGGTGGTTCAGGTGCCGGTAAAACGACTTTATTAGATATTTTAGCGGGAAAGAATAAAAATGGAAATGTTAGAGGTCAAATTTATATTAACGGTAATTCTTTAGATCCAAAAGACTACAAAAAGATGGTAGGATTCGTTGACCAAGAAGATCAGTTGATTTCAACCTTGACTGTTTATGAAACTGTTCTCAATAGTGCGTTACTTAGATTACCAAGAAATATGAGCTTAAGAGCCAAAGAAACTCGAGTTATTGAAGTCCTTAGTGAATTAAGAATTTTGTCGATTAAGGATCACATAATCGGCTCAGATTTCAAAAGGGGAATTTCAGGAGGTGAGAAGAGAAGAGTCTCGATTGCCTGTGAATTAGTTACATCTCCGTCAATTTTATTTTTAGATGAACCCACGTCTGGATTGGACTCGTATAACGCAAGAAATGTTGTTGATTGTTTAGTGAAGTTATCCAGAGATTTTGAAAGAACGATCATTTTTACTATTCATCAGCCTAGAAGTAATATTGTTTCCTTGTTTGATAAGTTACTTTTATTAAGTGAAGGTGATTTGATTTATTCGGGAGATATGATTAAGTGTAACGATTTCTTCTCTAAAAATGGATATAAATGTCCTTTAGGTTATAACATTGCAGATTATTTGATAGATATTACTGTCGATCATAAGAAATTAGTTAAGGTTGAGAAGTCCAAGGCCAATTTGTTAGGTTCTAGTAATGATCTTGAAAATTTACCTGGAGATGCAGAAATTGATCCACATCAAGCTTTTATCAATCCAAATGCAACTGACATAGACACTACAAGAGAATGGGAGCATTTTGCCGTCCATAGAGATGAATACAATTATAGTACAGTTCACCAAAAACAAGATAAATCTGGAGAAGAAGAAACCTACATTCAAATCAGAAATAAGCTACCAACGATCTATAAGGAATCATCTTTGGCAATTGAGTTGAAACAATATATAAACGATTTGAAGGATAATCCTACACAGATCGAATTTAAAAACCAATACCAAAAGGCGACATTTGCAAGTCAATTATTAATTTTGGCATCTAGAACATTAAAGAATTCGTACAGAAATCCTAAATTATTATTAAGTCATTATATTATATCTTTGGCAATGGGAGCATTCTGTGGCTATTTGTATTATGACGTGGAAAATGATATAAGTGGATTTCAAAATAGATTAGGGTTGTTCTTCTTTGTTTTGGCATTATTTGGGTTTTCAGCATTGACTGAGTTACACTCATTTTCTACTGAGCGTATTATTTTCATTCGTGAAAGAGCAAATAATTATTATCATCCACTAAGCTATTATTTGAGTAAGATTATGTGTGACATTATTCCTCTTAGAGTGTTACCACCAATAATCTTGATCAGTATTCTATACCCATTAGTGGGATTGACGATGGAAAATAATGGTTTCTTGAAAACGATCCTAGTATTGGTATTGTTCAATATTTCCATAGCAGCAGAAGTGTTGGTTGTGGGGATTTTACTTAAAGAACCAGGCACTTCCACTATGGTCGGAGTTTTGGTATTATTATTTTCCTTGTTATTTGCCGGTCTTTTCATTAATAGTGAAAATGTTGCTGTACAAATTAAATGGTTAGAATGGGTTTCTATTTTCCATTACGCATATGAAGCATTAGCGATCAATGAAGTGAAAGATTTAATCTTGAGGGAAAAGAAATATGGGTTATCGATCGAGGTTCCAGGTGCAGTGATATTAAGTACATTTGGCTTTAATGTATCTGCTTACTGGAAGGATGTCTCTTGCTTGGCCTCATCTATCATCGCATTTTTGATTCTTGGATACATATTTTTACATTGGTTGATGGTTGAAAAAAGATGATTTTAGAATAGTTTATATAAAAGTACTTTAATATATCAAAACATTATTAGAGGCAAATGTCTAAATAATATAATTGTGGTTATATTAGTTGAATTTATTATTGCCATATTATAACAATCCTCTATTTAAGAAATTTCGTAAGGAAACTGGGGACCAATATGGTACTTACTTATATTCTGTACATTATATATATGTTCTATAGACCAAATAGAACATAACTTCTCATCCTTAGCTAACTGACTTACTTTAACTACCTATAATTAGTTCGTAATTTCCTTCTTTCTTTCGTCTATTTTAAGACTCAGGGAATAATCACCTCTATTTATACACCAACTTAACTTTTGCAACCCTGATGTATAAGTTTTGCAACACATACATATATTGTTAGTATATGTATACTTGTGTTCTCTTACACTATCCCCCGTATGTTAATCTTACATCACCAAATTTTATCTTTCATTCCCTCAAATATCAATAAATTTTGAGACAAGATTAGACAACATACGGATGCCTGCTTTTATAATGGTGAAAAATTTACATGTTGCTTGTATTAGCTACAGGAAATGAGAAAGACGTATATAATGCTTCAATTAAACGCTACTTCGTTGTAGTTGTAGTTTTCGAATCGTGTGACTCGAAACTCATTTCAGCAAGGTCAACCTCAGAGGAAGAATTTGCATCCCCTTCATCATTATGATCAGTTTCAGCTTTGTCATTAACTGCAACTTGGGATATATCTGGATTGACTTGCTCTCCCTCTTCTTTCTTACTCGTAGATCTACTCACCCCAAATATGCTATCAAGTGACTCAAGGTCATCCTGTTTACCTGCTTCACTGCATGGAAACTTCGATAATCCAAAGTCAATTAAGGTAATTTTACCTGATTCTGAAACATGAATGTTGCTCCTCCGTATGTCATTATGCGAGATTCTCAACAGATGAAGTTCCTTGAGCCTTAATCTAATAACCTTATAAATCTTTTTCTCGTCCCACTTTTCCCTTGGTATTTCTTTTCCTAAATATTCAAATATATGCATTGGATGGTCAGTAAGCCCATTCCAATACCCTGAAGCAAAAAGCTTAGGAAAATTCGTAGCAAACTGTGATTTTGCAATTTCTTCATTAATTACAACTTCATTGAAGAACATATCATAGTAACTTTTTCTATCAGGAATACTAAAACATGTCAAATCATTCTGTCTCCATAACCGACTAGAGTAGTAGTACAATTTGACAAACACTGTGTATGGGAGCTGCACTGACAAACTAGGATAACATTTTGCAGAATCGGAAATTACTCGACAATATGTGTTGCCATACATTTTGTCCTGGATTTCATGGACGTTTTCCTTATCAGCTTCTTCAGTCATTGTATCAAATGATCTTCTCGAAGAGTCTCTTAGAGATTTAGGACGCACGACGTGTAACGGGTCCATCTTCTTGGCCGTGTGCGCTATACTAAGAGATTCTTTTAACCTGTTTTGAGTCTCAATTGCATCATCCTCTGTTTGGTAGAAAAAGCCAGCCATTGCCGACCTTAAAGTAATTCCATGTGCAACAGTTTCTGGATCACTAATGATATAGTAATCTACGGCCATTTGACCTTCAACAATATCATATTTAAAAAACCCTGAAAATGATTGATGATTTGAGATTAGAACTCTATTTGTGCCACAGAGGAAAGCATCGTAAAAATATTTACTTAGAACTAAAGCAAATAACATGCTAGGATTCCAATGTGTGTCTTGAAATAAATATTCTGTCTGTCGATTCATTCGTCTGAAGTTCTCTATAGCTACCTTAAATTCCTCAAATCCTTGCGATAAATGGTAATTTTCTGTTTTGTAATCACCTAACCCGAAACAAATTTCAGGAAAATGCCCATCTCTTGATTCGTATTCAGCGAAATGGATAATATCGGGCTCTATAACTATATCTTTATTCAAAGGAGGTCTTAAATATGAACCACTGTCAAAACAGTGGCTTTTACCACAAATATCCTGGTAAAGGCTCTCTATTGGCCCGCATATTGTATGGCTAAAATACTTTTGGATATGATTCTCCACACGCTGAGGATTTCCCAGTGGATAAATATATAGGGCGGCTAAGGGTTTTATGCGATACTTCTGCCCTCTCATAGCAGTGTCAAGAGGAGCAAGATAGCTACTTTTAAATTCCTCACTACTCATCTCTCTGAATTCAGCATTAATCATTGCATCAGTAATATAGGCTAGTGCCGATAAATCAGGTGCCACTCCTACGCCTATGGATGCATGATTCTTGCTCACGAATTTCTCTGGAGCATGCTCTACTAAATCTTCTATACTTCGAATCTTTAACAAGCGGGTATCCAAAAAGACCCTAACATTTTGTTCTTCATCGTTCTGGACCCTAGCAAATAATGTTGAGTCTACCACAAGACGATCCATGGTAGGTTCATCGAATGTAATATCATTGCTGTCTTCACCGGAGAAGTACATACGTGGCATTGCTATTAGTTATGATAACTGTACTTATGGTGTTTATCCTTGAACGTGTTGATAGGGATAACTTCAATTATATGATATAATTGTAAATAAGCATAATAAAGCACTTTTAAATTCATGAAGATTATCTTACATATGCATGCTTTAATTAAGTTTTAAATATGTTCCACTAATTGGAGTAATTAAAGCGTTATAGGTCATTGAAATAATGGCTAATAATACTTTTGGCCACCAAGTTCTCAAAAGTACTGAGTTCAATTTACATTCTTACTTGGATTTAAAACCTTATTGAATTAAAAATCACCAATAACTATACTTTAAAACTTAATAATAACGATAATCAACTTCAGTGCGAAAAAAGCGCCTCAAATTATAAAAGACATACTACTGACTTAGCAAGACACCATTAAGTATTATGACTGCATGAAAAATAGAATTTACGAGACTATGCTTGTAAAAGTGTTTCGTTATTCCTTTTTACGGTGTCGCTCTTATCTTTGCACAATAACAGCAATATCGCATGCAAGGCTCATTTCCATACCTTTTATATGTATATTCCTGTTTTCTTACAGGGGTTGAAAGGAAATTGGGCACTATTATAGTAATTACTTACCTTTGTGGCATATATGTTCTATCGAACTTATAGAATACCCTAACTTACTTGTTAAAGTCACTTAGTTCGGGAATTAGCATATATACCTAATATATGTATACTTGTATTGTCTATTAGGAATGTAAGGAAACTGGGGACCAATATGGTAATTACTTATATTCTGTATATTATATATATGTTCTATAGACCAAATAGAGCTTATCTTCTTATACTTAGCTAACTAACTAACTTTAACCACCTATAATTAGTTCCTAATTTCCTTCCTCCTTCGTCTATCTCAAGACTCGGGGAATAATCACCTCTATTTATACACCAATTTTTGCAACACTGATGTATAAGGTTTGCAACACATACATATATTGTTAATATATGTATACTTGTGTTCTCTTACAATTTTGTTAGAAAGATGATTAAAGTAAAAAGGACTAAGTAGTATATTACTATGTTACTGAACTCTCAGCCTTTCAAGGTCAGAGTAGTTCCTCTAAGTACTCATATTTATAGTAAAATATATGAAACATATGGGTGCATTGTAGTTAGTTTTGAAACATACTAATGCATGATTAAGCATAATATNAGACAATCGGTAATTCTATTAGTGTTGTAGATAAGCATTCGTTTCCTAACAAATTTTATGGACAATCCTTATTAGCTCAGTTGGTAGAGCGTTCGGCTTTTAAGGATTAAAGATTTCGTCAAAGAGTCGACCGAAATGTCCAGGGTTCGAGCCCCTGATGAGGAGTCCATCTTTTTGTTTTTTTTTTGCTTCTTACTGATGTGAAAATGAATATCACTGATTGCTATATTTCTTTTAATGCATCAGATTTTAAAACCCTTGAAGTTGCTACTTAGTCCGATTAAAGCTCTCCCTTGTGGGTTTTTGCTAGATCATCCCCAGTATTGCAGGATTCAGTGCAGTCATCAATTCTATTCACTTTTCTTTATGTGCCTTATAAACTATGGAAAAGTCTACATAATCGAATAACGAATTACAGCAATCATATAGAGATGTATAACATTTCTGTAAAGTAATCAATTTAAGAAACCCATTCATGTAAATAATTAAAGGAAGCATGGTGAAGTGTGTTGCAACCTGTTCAGGATGCGGCTCATTTTTAGCCAACCACAAAGTCAAGAGATTGGAGTTAAGAAGTATACTAATGAACTCTTTATTCGATCAGGGTGGGTATGAATGTAATGTCATCTTAGCGTTAATGAGTTAGCTATTGTCACGTTGATTTGTAGTTCAAGTTGTATTTTAGGATTTTGCGATTTTGTAGATTTTATGCACAAAAACTCCAAATTCAATAATTATATAAAACTGAAAAAGAAGATATTTGTAGGTGAATACGGACGTAGAATAGGGGGACAATAGAAATACCAAAGTAAAACTACTAAAAACAATATTTCGTAACATAGAAATCTTTATTATCATTATAAGATTTACTGAACTATATACCAACAATTGCAATAACAGGTGATATAATAAACATGGATCATTAGAAATTAACAAAACAAACGTAATAATATTAGTAATTAAATGAGACGGAGAGCACCGAAATGCTAATAGAGTGATCGAGTCGTAATTTATTCAGAAATAAACGTAGCTTCGTTGAACCCCACACCGCTTTCCTTAACACCATCGATTTCAATTTCCATATCATTGCAAAATTGATAAATATAAGGCTTTGTTCCAGAAACACCACTAGCAATGTTCTTGATAAATTGAGGAATTTCAGCCATAACATCAACTCTCTCAACCAAAGTAATTAAATCACCGTGGACCTTACCAACGACCTTCTTGTTATCGTCACTTAAGCCATCAAAGTTGAAGGTAATAGCTTTTGGAACAGGCCATCCGGTTTCATCGATTTCGGGGTTTTCATGCACAACTTCATTGTTAATCGAGCACGATAAAATCTTATCATTGGAAGTCAAAATGGCAATGTTGACCTTGGTGTTAGCATACGACATAGGGGTAGTGAACTCCATTTGCACGGCACTGTGTGATTCGGACTGGAAGTCCAAAAAGTTCCATGCCTTGGCGGCGTGATGAGGCTTCATACCTTGCAAAGCCATCACAAACATCGTGTAGCCTTCAATCTCAAATACCTTGTCACCCGACTTCACGGTACCGGTCACGGAACATCTAGGCCAGAACAAATGACGCATCGATCCCCATGGATTTTCTAAATCGTCCCCATAGTACGTGGTACCATTGTCACCAAAAATAACCCCCGGAACCAACTTGACCATGGTCAAGTCAACCACCGAGTCCTTGTTGACCGACGACTTGACCGTGTACAGCTTGTTGTCCTTATCCAACTCGATCGACAATCCATTGGCGTAGAAATTCGACCCTTCGCATCTGAAGTCCTCTAACTTGGTCGAAGTCCACAAGTTGTCCTCATATTTGCCCTTGAAGTTGAAGAACCTGAACGTGAACTGCGCCGTCGTATGCACCCCCATAACGTTTGAGTGAATCACCTGGGCAAATCCAAGGTACCCAGTCTTCAAACACGTAAAATAGAACGTCTGAGTTTCGACATTGGTCGAAGTGGGTTGTTTCCACCCAAAATCTTCAATGGTGGTTTCTCTGTAGCACTTGCTCTTGTCGGTGATAGTATTTGTGATAGGATGGATAGCTTCTCTACCATATTCTGGTTCTGCAGTTCCTGCGACAGCGGAAAGACCGGATTGAACCCACTTTAACATACTGCTTACTGTTTATACTTGTATAACTGTCAAAAAATCAGAAAGAGATGGTGTTGATCTTGGTATAGGCCATATTGGTATAGTGAACATCGCAATTAAGCTGGCTTATGTCAGCGATGTCGTTGCACCCATACACCAAAAAACTATGCACCAGACATCAGACCACCAAGAAGGGATCAGACCAGGATCAGACTAGGATTAGCTAGAATCACGCCGGGATAAGCTAGGATCAGGCTACCATCATCTAGAATCAGACCAGCCATTATATGACTATTGTAGACCATTGCATCTCTATGGTGATGGGTCAATGGTGAAGGCCCAGCCGTGTCCGATGTCGATTAAACCGACTGATTGCTGGTGCACTGGCCCACCGCACAATGCCAACCCTTCCGAAACTACGTAACCATAGGTTCCAAGCCGTTTAGAAGCCCGTATGTGACCACCAACACTTACGCACCGCATTCCGTGCACAACGCTCACCACAAGATTGACGTTGTGTCGGAACCACGGTGTGATTTGGGTGGGACCGAGCAGGATCACGGAGGGACCAGAGAGGAGGAACTAAAAATAATTGTAGACGGGTGTGTTGGGTCAAAGAGTGGAGTAGGCCAGGTGGTTCGTAGTATACTACTAAACATAGTGAACCACTACCTTAACCAAAACCAGTAGAATACACTATAGTGAACTATTGTAAAGTATAGTAAACCAGTAGAGTAGACGAATAGGCCATAATAATATACTAGACTAATACACGAGATAATATGTAAACTAAAAATAACAGATTAATAAGCTCTTAGACAAGTCAATAAATCCAGATACCGCATCGCAGGCTTAGAGAGGTCTCGAAGATGTAGGAGTTCCTCTAAAGAGAAAAAAATAAACTCCGATTTTTTAGGGTGAAAAATTACTCCTAGTTACGAATCAGGCTGTTTTATGGATATACCCCTGTAGAATTTTTTTAGTGAAAAAAATTTATTTAGGGTATAGTGGTAGATAGAGTTGTTTAAACACAATATAGCACGCTCATATACATCCCCAAGCACATCAGCTATCTACAACTCCCAATTATCTGATGGCACCTAGTATATCGATTTTGAAGCGGCCCCCACACAATTATGTCCCACCGGCACTATCGATTAAATTGAATAGCGAGGTGATAAGCCAATTTAAGACATGCTTGGCCAAGGGAACGAGACCTAAGTTGGTTGTAAAAGACGGGAGCTTTGTACGTATAAAACCCGGTCACTGAGAGCCAAATGGCGTGAAAAGGACCTGAAAAAGACCTTAAAATGGCACAATTACTAACGAATCTAGACGATCAAAATTTCAGACGAATTGGCGTTTCCTTGCACCACGATCCCAGACAGACCCACTCTAGATGTCTACAGCGGCAATGACGACGGGTACGTGCTCGACGGACGCATTGATTCCAAGTTGAACGTACTAACGGACCCGAAGCAGATCCGGGATCATTTGAAAACTGTGAGCCATAATACGGCCAAGAAGGGGGCTACCAGCACGACAGCGAAGAAGCTTTCGTCAGAGGTGCCTCAGCTAAGCACATCGGCCCCGTCGAGCCCGTTGAACATGAATCCATATGCGGTGGAAATCAACGATTCTAAGAGTGACATTATGACTAAGTTTGTTCTTCTTCTCGCATTAGGACCAATCACCAAGCAGGCAGTGGTGAGAAAGTTGAAAGTGTCGCTCCAGGACCTTGATCCGTTGTTCACGGCCCATTCACAGATATATAATCCCAACGACAGTTTTATTAGCGACGACAATTTCCCCAACGACGATTTCAAATCCGACGAGGAAGACCGCTATATCTTGAAGGATAAGTCGTACAAGAACTTATTGCCGTGGTCGTGGAACTGGTACTCAGAGAAAGAGAGACATATGATTATAAATAACATCCATAATGCATTAACCAGATTGGGATATCTGGAAACTCATCCTCTCCGAAAGAAGATCTGCGACGAGCCGGTAGGCACCAATAATTCCAACCAGAAGAAATCTACGTTAGGTGGTGGCATATTGATTAGCAAGACCAAAAAATCCCCTATGAAGCGGTCTCATACCGAATCGCCTAGACCTCCACCGGAAGCACCCGCTGCTAAACCGGTAGAAAGACCCAAGCAAAGCGGATCTCCCTTAAAAAACACGCAGAAACGAAAGATAACCACGTCTGCGTCCACGTCGGACGAAGACAGGACTTTCAAGAAGAAGAAAACCGACTCCGACTCGCATACGTCGCCATCGTCTTCGATTAACGATGACGACCCCCAAATATCCATAAACGACGCCATAGACTCAATGGGTAAAAATCGAGCCATCGCGGCCGAGAGTGACGAAGATCACACCAGCCACAAACAGAAACGTTTCCAGTACTACAGTATGTTGGCCGACAAGTTCAAAACCAAGTACAAGGAGTACGAAACGCTCTACAACTCATTAAAATCCAATCCCAAGAACTCCACCAATGACAAAAAGCAATTAGTCCGGTTGTTCGAACTACACAACAGTCTATCCGAATGGAAAAGAAAGTTGTGGGATTTTGATAACGAAAATAAACTGAAACTAAACATCATGAACTTATCCAAGCATAAAAAAATTCCGTCAAAGAGTGCTAATTCTACCATCATTCCCCAGGTGGTTCCATTCGCTTCCGATTCCATTATTAACAGAAGAAATGGATCTAATCACTCAAGAAACACTCCTATTCCAAAACTATCTCTTGATTACTAATTTTTTTTTCTTCAGCAATTTGTTTTCTGGTTTCATAGTCATGACTAGCATATTATACCAATGTCTATTTCTACATATATAATCATTAATACCTATATAGTTATATTATGTTAATATAAATTTTGCATTTTTCTATTGAACGATTTACGCGAACATGATTGTCGAAATATTCGCTATAAAACTTGTCATTAAATATTCAAGGAGATTGTGGGAACAATTACAGTTAAAGCAGATACATTAAGATGACGAACGAAGTCAGTGATTCCCAAGAGATCCCACCTTCAGATGGTGTAAAGGAATTACCACAAATAAGTGGGATTAAGAATGAAGAAACGAATGATGAGGATTCTTCCAATGAAGCTGATTCCCAAGCGAAGAAAAGAAAGAAAGGACCAGCTCCGGGAAAAAAGCCATCCGCTGAGGTATTACAACGTCGTAAAGAAGGTAGAAGAAAAGCTGCGGCTACCATTGCTAACAATATCAAGAAAACAGGTATAGGCAGATTTGAAGAGCAAAATGGATTTACTTTGACCAGTGTTAAGCAGATCCCGTTGATTAACCAGAAGAATTATTACACCGACTATTTGAAGAAGGACGAACAAGTGTCATTTATAAGAAACTGGAGAACCGAAAAGTTGTTGGCGCAGAAGCTCAAGAACTTGAAGAAAGACGAAGAACTCAAGAAGGATGATAGCGATACCAATGAAGCAAAGAACTTTGACAACTTCAACTTGAATGATATCGAGACAGAAATGAACAAGAAGAAATCCGCTACAGTCTTGGTTGAAGAGGAAGAAGAGGAAGAAGAGGAAGAAGATGAAAATGAGAATGAAGAAATTAGCGAAGAGAAGGCCAGATTAGGGTTTGATACCATTATCATCCACCCGGGATCTTCCAATATTAGAATTGGTAGAGCAACTGACGCTTTCCCAAAGACAGTACCAACGGTGATTGCGGTTCCAAATAACTACAAACATAAGCAGATGGATAATACCGTGCCGACGCCAGTGAGGACTGTGAATGAAGAAGGGCAAGTATTCTTCAATGAAGAATTCGACGAGGTTAAAGAAACCGTCACCAAGGATTTCAAAGCTAGGATGAGATATTACAAGAGAAGAATGCTACCAAATTCAAGGGAAACTGCCGCCAACTATAATAAGAGGCAGGAACCCGAAATGATTCCTGACCATAACGATCCCATGAAGAAAGAATGGATTGATTTGAAGGATCCGAAATATAACAAAAATAAATTCTTTGTCGGTGAAGAAGCATTAAGTTTGCCAATATGTGAAAAATTTACAGACTGGAAATTAAGGTATCCAGTAATAAATGGTAGATTCAACGAATCATCCGATGATTATGAATCGTGTCAAGAGATCATGGGTGATTTGAGCAATATAATAGTTGAGTCCTTAAGCGACCTAGATATCAAAAAGCCTCAACTAGCCAACTTGAAGGCTATACTTATCATTCCTGATTTATACGATAAAATGCAAGTTGAAACATGGTGTGATTTGTTGTTTAGGCAAGTTGGATTTGGAAGAATAGGTATAATCCAAGAGTCAGTACTGGCCACATTTGGCGCCGGTGCTACAAGCGCATGTGTGGTAGATGTAGGGTCGCAAACAACATCAATTGCATGCGTTGATGAGGGAATGGTGATAAATGATTCGAGAATCGTGTTGAATTACGGTGGTGATAACGTAACAGAAACATTTATCAAGTTGTTGTTGCAAAGTCAATTTCCCTACAAAGATATCAACTTGAGTAGCAGAAACGAAGATTGGGAATTAGCTCAGACTTTGAAACATAACTTCATAACGTTCCAAGATGCCGATATCGCGGTGCAATTGTATCACTTCTATCAAAGAAAGCCGTACGAAACGACCAAAAAATACGAGTTCAAGGTGTTTGACGAAGTCATGTTGGCACCACTTGGGTTATTCTACCCGGATTTGTTCCAAATCGACAAGACAGCCAATGATACCAAGAAGCTTTTCAGTCCGTCGGTCGACCAATATTCTGGCAAGCCCAACAACCCGTACTCGAAGTCACAAGAAAACATCATGAACAAATTTATCCATTCAGACTTGTCCGACGAAGCGTTGTTGAACAGAATACTCGACGAGAGAAACGACATGAAGTCAGCCAACCCATACTCGAAGCCAAAACCCACCAGAACTTCTGCTACTGAGGACCCGCATCTCAATTGCTCGACTCCTCTAGAAAAAGCCATCATCGAGTCGATCACCAACGCGGGTGTTGTATCCGACTTCTCCAAAACGAAAAAATTCTACGACAACTTGCTCATCGTGGGCGGAGGCTTTGCCAAGGTATCAGGGTTCGACCTGGTGCTTTCAGACAGAATAAATATCTGGAGACCCAAGTTCTTGTCGTCAAGTACTCTCGATGAGATGTTGGACTACGTTTCAACCGAGAGACTGAAGGTCGACGCGTCGAGGTCGCAGTTGATTGCCGACTACAAAGCCAGGAAAAAGGGTCCCGACCAGGCCCTTGACGATGTCGAGCTCACCGACGACGAAATGGCTGAAATCGACTCGCAGACCCAATTGACCCTCGACCTCGACCACATCGATTCTATAAGCGACAAGGGATCCGCGTTGCCCGTCAACGTCCTCCCCCCTCCGCGAGAATTCGACCCCGAGATGCTTACATGGAAGGGTGGGAGTGTCTACGGCAGATTGAAGGTGGTAAACGAAATGTGGGTCACTCAGAAAGACTGGGACTTGTTGCAGAGCAGATGTTTATACTACAAGAGTTTATTTAACTATTAAAGTCCCGTTATATAATTTGCCTTTTCTTCCCGCCGTCTCACTCCGCCATCTCTTTTATACACCTCTAATAAATCCCGTTTATTGTTTATTCCGATACTGTAGCTCAGTAGCCCATATCTGCTGCCGTTCCCACCCATGCACCGCTATTGTGAATACTCCTCCCGGTGCGAATCGGACTCATTTTAGTTGTCCGAGGTAGCTCAATGGGACATAATTAGGTGATGAGATTCGTTTTCACCAGGATATATACAACGTCTACAGGTCTCTCGGAGAAGCATCATACGTAATATACACTTACACGCTTCTATATACCCATATACCCTAGAAACAGACCCATAAACCGATGTAAAGCGTTAGAAAGAACGAATTTTTTGCACAAAAAGACCCCGTAGATGCTCAATTTTTCACCCGGGTATATAGCGCCCGAAAGTTTTTGGAACGACAGGTGTTGAAACAGACCAATTTAAATAAACGGTTTCTTCTTAAATTCATATACAATAAGTTTGAAATAGTTTTTAACGATTGATCTAAGATGATGAACAAGCAATTTATTCGTGGATTTGCTTCCACCAACCCAGCCAAGAACTATGCTTCTACTATCAAGAACCTTAAGGTCAATTCCGACACCAAGGTGATCTACCAAGGGTTCACTGGTAAACAGGGTACCTTCCACGCTGAACAAGCAATTGCTTACGGTACCCAAGTTGTTGGTGGTACCAATCCAAAGAAGGCAGGCAGCAAGCACTTGGACAGACCTGTGTTTGCTACCGTCAAGGATGCCATGAAGGACACCGGTGCCAGTGCTACCGCTATCTTTGTTCCACCATCTATTGCTGCTGGTGCCATCGAAGAAGCCATCGAAGCCGAAATTGCGTTGGCCGTTGCCATCACTGAAGGTATTCCTCAACACGACATGGTCAGAATTGCGCAAATGTTGAAGACTCAATCAAAGACCAGATTAGTGGGTCCAAACTGTCCGGGTATAATTGCCCCAGAACAGTGTAAGATCGGTATCATGCCATCGCACATCCACAAGAGAGGTAAGGTTGGTGTCATCTCCAGATCCGGTACGTTGACTTACGAGGCGGTTTCACAAACCACCCAGGTTGGTTTAGGTCAATCTTTAGTCATTGGTATGGGTGGTGATCCATTCCCAGGTACCAATTTCATTGATGCCTTGACCTTATTCTTGAACGACCCAGAAACCGAAGGTATCATCTTGATTGGTGAAATCGGTGGTACTGCCGAAGAAGAAGCCTCCGAATTCTTGAAACAATACAACTTGACCAGACCAGAAGGTCCAAAGCCAGTTGTTTCCTTCATTGCCGGTGTCTCTGCTCCACCAGGTAGAAGAATGGGTCACGCTGGTGCCATCGTTGCCGGTGGTAAGGGTGATGCCAACTCCAAGATTGCTGCTTTACAATCTGCTGGTGTTGTTGTCGAACAATCCCCAGCCAGATTAGGTAACTCCTTATTACAAGAATTCAAAAACAAGGGTTTATTGTAAGCTAACTTATCCCCAAGTTAACAAGTCTATATACACAAAATAAAAGCTATATATCAGTATATTCCATGTAGTTGTTACTGTAATACCAGAGTTCATTATATATGTCCCATTCCTGCATCCAGCCAAAGGTGTTGAGATTCGATTTTTGATGAAAATTTTATTGATTAGACCTAACTATAGTAGTATTCAGCATACAACACGAATATAGAATGTTTTTCAGATTGTTTGCTAGACCCTTGATACAAATCCCCAAGTTGGCAGCTCCTAGATGCATAAATATCACCCCAATAAGACCAATAAGCGCATCTGCTATATCATTTAAAACCAACACTTCCTCAAGCACCAAAGAGAACGTCCATGACTTGGAAACGTTTTTCAAGTTGATTGGCCGTGACTGCATTGAGCATCTCGACACATTTGAAAGTGACTTGCAAAAATTTTTGAAAACATCGTCCAAGGAAATGAAGAACATGGGTATTGATGTTTCCACCAGACGTTACATGCTCAGATGGATCCACAAGTTCGAGAACGACTTGGAACCATTGAGAGAACACAAGAGAGGCAAGAAGAAGAACGGAGGTGAAAGAAATGCAAAGACGGTTTTGGCCAAGAGAAGCGCATTAAAGAGATTAGAAGAAAAGGAGAGATTCGAGTCCCAAGAATTGGAGGCCGAAAGAAAGGGTGAAAGAGAATTCTAAGATGCTTGTTTCTTGCTATTGCGTGCAAGGATGAGAGTCATCTTGAATCAAGCAGGCATCCTCGTTCGGGATTGTCGTAATCATGTCATAAAAAGTTTTGCAATTGTCGACCAGTTCTCCAATTGCTCTCTGGACGTCAAGTCCATCCTCACAAGACTAGTATATCATTTGTACATAATTAACTACTTGTAACCAGAGTAAATATAACAATATAAGTCTATAATAAATTGTTGAAAGTAGAAACCTTCAATTTTGTGTCATCACTGGGAGTAGTAGGTGTTCTTTTTTGAATCAAGCAAAAGTTTCCATAATATACTGTCAGTATTTAGCATCAAAGATGAAATTATTAACTAGTTTATTTGCAATCTTATCTATTGCTGTGTTATTCTTTGGTAAGTTTATCAATGCTTCCAAGGATTTACCAGAAAATCCCCCAATTACCCACAAGGTCTATTTTGATGTAACTGAAGAAGGTAAGCCAATTGGAAGAATCACCATTGGTTTATTTGGTACTGTTGTTCCTAACACGGCTGAAAACTTCAGACAATTAGCCATTTCAACTGATCCAAAGTTTGGTTACACTGGTTCGATTTTCCACAGAATCATTCCAAAGTTCATGCTTCAAGGGGGTGACTTTGAAACCGGTAAAGGTTACGGTGGTAAGTCAATCTACGGTGGAAAGTTCGACGACGAAAATTTCGAATTGAAGCACGACAGACCATACAGATTATCGATGGCCAATTCTGGTAAGAACACCAACGGATCCCAATTTTTCATCACCACTGTCACCACCAGCTGGTTGAATAATGCTCACGTTGTTTTTGGTGAAGTTGTCGATGGTTTCGATGTAGTTGACTACATGGAAAATGTTTCTACAAGCTATGGTGATCGTCCAGCCAAGGAATTAAAGATTTCTGCTGCTGGGGAGATTGCGGTCGAACAGAACGCTAAGGATGAACTCTAGAGGAAATTAACTATATATCATCCAAGTTTACCTTTACGCCCAACGATTCGACGGTACTTCCCTTGCCATATAAAGGTATATCCTCTAAATAGGTGTCATCATTTGATGAATTAATTACGTTATTTAGTAAATTGTCAAATGCAAGATTCAGTATTTCATTGTTCAACCCAAGATTTGTAGATGAGTGGCCGTTGGAATTGATATTTGACGCGGTAGCCGGAGTATGTAACATCGGCGTGGTCGTATTAACAGAGACAGTGTTAGGAATTGTGTTGGAACTTGATGATATTTCTTTTTCTGCTTGTAACGTGGGATATGAATGGCCCATATCATGGATATTAAATTTACTCATTTTATTCAACAACTCCATCGAACCCTTAATGGATAAAACACTCGAGAGTAACCGTGAAGATAATAGATCGTACACCTTAGGTGCTTGGTATATATTGGCTCCTATTATATAGTAGTCTTGTTCAATATTCACCTGCTTTGGACTTAATCTTGTTTGTTTCCTTATGATCCAAAAATCAGGTTCTCTCGATGCAGCAATAATAAACTCTATACCTGTCATTTCTACTAGTTTCAGCTGTAAATACTTTTGGGGATTTATGTTAGGAGGGATTTGTTGGAATTGAAATTGCATTCGTAACACCTGGTTATTGGACGTTCTATCATAAAATGGCGACTCACTAAAGTAGTCTAATACATTACCAGTGAATAATCCGAATTGCTGGATCCATTCAGGGTTTTTCCATTGTATTTCATCAAGTGGTTCCTTCGACATGTCTTATAATGAATAAATACACTAATGAATAAATACAACTTATATATTATCGTTTGAATTTACCTTATTTTTCATATTGCAGCGCACTCACGACTCTAAGCCGTATACAGCTATATCTACAGATTGTTGGTCAACAGGATTGATAAATACATATATTAGATGCATATGCTGTCTAGATTCGTTTATATAGGTTAACATTCTCCTTCATTGATTCATATACTTTTCGAGTTCGTCTTTAAGCCAGATTGCCTCGTTGGATAATACTTCATCTGATCGGGGCAGTCTACCTTCATCTGGGACAGGCTGGAATCCTCCAGTCTTCTGGTAAGATTGTTGCCTTTCAAAAAACTCAATTAACGTGTCATTTAGGTCCAACCTATCTAATTTTTCATATATTCCGTCCCCGAAACCATCGGTCTTGTAACGAGGAATTAGATGCGTGTGTAGATGTGGTATGGATTGTCCAGATTCGGGCCCGTCTTGAATAGCTATATTCAACGCGTCGGCCTTGTATAAGTATATTATAAACTTGTGGATAAGCTGCAATGTCAGCATGTAATCCTGGGATTCTTCGACCGATAAATCTGCAAACCTCAAAATGCTCGTTCTTAATGGTACAACAAGAACATGTCCCGGTACCAAGGGCTTAATGTTGACCAAAGCATAAGTATACTTAGACCTGAAGAATACTTGATGATTGACTAGGTACTTATAGAAATATACATCAGACATTGTGATAAAGCGAGTAGCTAACAGAGAGTACAGAAATAATTCTTAGAATCGCGAGATATTTTCAGCCAATTTTTTTTCATGTAGCCAAGGACCGACACAATGTTTGTACTACATTTAGAGATAATGGGGAGATTAAGTAGGAAATACGGCAGTGTATTAGCATTTATTTACATACCAATAGAGCAAAATGCATTTTGGATGTTCAATGGGTAGAATATATATTGAATCGGGGCTTCTGAAAATTTTTGTGGCTTCACACAGTCAGACCCACCACGGTGCAAAAAAGCCAGTATCCCCTTTCCATTAAATCTACATGGACTGCCGCCATACTAATTTCTGTAATAAATATATTGATACCATCTAGTGTAGTGTATATATATAATGTATATCTAAATCTATTTGTTGACCTTACCGAAGTATTCCTTGGAAGAGGAAACTTCTGGCTTGATGGTTTCGGAACCTGGTTGCCAGTTGGCTGGGCAAACTTCACCGTGCTTTTCGGTGAATTGGAATGCTTCAACCAATCTTAAGGATTCTTCAACCGATCTACCAACTGGTAAGTCGTTGACGGTAATTTGTCTCAAGACACCCTTTGGGTCAATCAAGAAAATACCTCTTAATGCAACACCATCATCTTCTAATAAAACACCATAGTCCTTGGCTAAAGAGTGGTTGGTGTCGGCAATCAATGGAAGGTTAATTGGTCCTAAACCACCGTCCTTTCTGGCGACATTGGTCCAGGCCAATAACGAGTATTCGGAGTCGGTGGAGGCAAACAAAACTTCAGTGTCCTTTTCAGCAAACTTCTTGACGGCTTCAGAGTAAGCAATGATTTCAGTAGGACAAACGAATGTGAAAGCCAATGGGAAGAAGGCTAAAAGAACCCACTTACCCTTGTATTGTTCCAAAGAAACATCTTCGAAAACACCGTCAACAACGGCAGTTTTTTTAAATGATGGAGCTGGCTTTTGTACTTGTGCGACCATTGTGTGTATTAATATAGTTTATAATGTCAATTGACTAATGTATAATAAATATAAATGAACAAAATCTATCTGGAAAACTGTGGAAAATGGTTCCATTTATATACCGATGATTTTCGTCCGACAAATTCTAGAAGACCCGATTAATTACTAATTGCGGAAAGTGTTCCGGGTAAACTCTAATAAACTTCGATCTCGGTTATCTGATCTCTTGGACTACTGACTAATACTCCCGATCCATATCAAGATGATAGGCTGCATTGGCGTCTCCGAAGGACATCCAGGCATTTTCGACCTAAAATGCTGTATAATCTGCTGAGTAACTACTATGGAAGCAATTGCAAAATCCATAGTTCCACAGATTATCATAAGCAAACTGTGGCGCGATTAATAAGTCGGGTAAATCTGGCCACATCGTTATCAGTGCTCGCCACGACGGGATCTGGAAACCGAGGCTCATCATAATGACCCGACGAATCTGTCATTATGGTTGGTACACGGAATGACAGAAACATCGGGTTAATAGGCCCCAAATCTGCCAAATGCAAATTTTGGTTGTATGCACGACCATGATTTCTAGCGATAGCTAAACAGAACAGCAGACCTGTTTCGAGGGCTATAAGAGATTAATTTATTATTAGACGCTAGAACTCCAATCAAAGACACACATATGATGGAAAAGCTAGGATTTCATAAGGTATCAAATCACCCGGGCCCTGGGAACCCGTTGATCACTCACAACCAACCAATTGTGCCTGAAAGAAAGGCGCCAGTGAGACACTTCCAGAAGCAGTTCAAGGTGGATAATTGCCCTTCGAACGCGGTGGCATTGTCGAATTGTATCGGGGTTAATCCAAGGGACTTTCAGGAGATGGGAAACAGAGAGCCGGTTATATTGGATGGGAATTTCGTGTATTCGATTTACAAGGATGAATCGGTGGCACCGGGAGTAGTTGGACTTGCAGGGAATATGAGACTGTGGGGGAAGTGGTCTTTACAACAGCCGGTGGTGGTCGAGCCATTCAACATCTTTGATGGGAACAAACAGAGCTATTTGGGAAGTGCAGATTTGGTGGTTGAGTTCAGATCAAAGTTGAAGGCGCACTCGGCCCCTATTAACCACGATGAGTTGGTGCAACACTTTTTGAAGATGTACGAGAACCAAATCTTGCAGCCAACGCAATCTATTGTCATGGACTTCAAGGCGAATATTTTCCTCATCACGGTGACGGGTATCCAGGTTCTTGACATCAACAACTTGGGCGATGTGCCAGAGTTGCAGACGTTGAGCGACTTGAATGCCAAGGGGATTTTGATCAAACAGACACAGCTTAACATGTACGCAAAAGAGGGTACATCGATCAATATTGTAGCTGCTAGTGGCTCGAGACAGCTTAGAAAGCCTCAGGGTAAGCCTATCATCAACCCTGACTTTAAGTTGGAACAAATGGGTATTGGTGGGTTAGACGAGGAGTTCTCGCAGATTTTCAGAAGAGCATTTGCCAGTAGAATTATTTCGCCTGACTTGGTAGAAAAATTAGCGTTGAGACATGTTAAGGGGTTGTTGTTGTTCGGTCCTCCAGGTACAGGTAAGACATTAATTGCTAGACAGATTGGTAAAATGTTGAATGTTAAGGAACCAAAGGTTGTGAATGGGCCGGAAATGTTGTCAAAGTATGTTGGTGCATCCGAAGAAAATATCAGAAAGTTGTTTCTGGACGCCGAAACCGAATACAAGCAGAAGGGAGAAAACTCGCAATTACATATCATCATCTTTGATGAATTGGATTCTGTTTTCAAGCAAAGAGGATCTGCTAAGTCCGACGGTACTGGCGTTGGTGACAATGTGGTTAATCAATTGTTAGCCAAGATGGATGGTGTTGACCAATTGAACAACATTTTGATTATCGGTATGACCAACAGATTGGATTTGATTGATAATGCGTTATTAAGGCCTGGTAGATTTGAGATCCAGATTGAAATCTCGTTACCTGACGAGAAGGGCCGTAAGGACATTCTTTTGATTCACACCAAGAACATGAAGGAAAATGACTTGTTAGAAAAAGACGTGGACTTCGACGAATTGTCTGCCTTAACCAAAAATTTCACTGGTGCCGAATTAGAAGGGTTGTGTAATTCGGCAACGTCGTTCGCGATCAATAAATACACTAAGAGTGACTCGATGGCACAGGTAGATGCCAATATTGCCAAGATGAAATTAACCAGAAACGATTTTTTGTTGGCATTAAATGAAGTCAAACCGGCGTTTGGGGTTAATGAAGAAGACTTGACCAAGAACGCTCCACATGGAATTATCCAATACTCTCCTAAGATCAAGACTATCTTTGACAAAGGCCAATCGTTTATTGATGAAGTTAAGTCTTCAGAAACAGAGAGATTGATCAGTATTTTGTTACATGGACCCCCAGGGAGCGGTAAAACTGCCATCGCTTCTACTTTGGCGCTAAACTCGGATTTCCCATTTATAAAAATGCTTTCAGCCGAAAGCTTGGTAGGAATGTCAGAAGGTATGAAGATAACTACTATCGACAATATTTTTAGAGATATCTATAAGTCTCCATTGAACATTTTGGTGATTGACAAGATCGAGAATTTGATCAATTATGTCCCTATTGGTCCTAGGTTCTCCAACGACATCTTACAGATATTGATGGTCAACTTGAACAAGCAGCCACCCAACGGAAGAAGGCTCTTGATCATTGGAACAACATCGCAGTACTCGGTTTTGAAACACATGAACTTGGTGGACTGTTTCACCAAGACCATTGGTGTGGGTCAAGTCACCAGCACTGACGAATTAATGATAATTATGACCAAAATCGGTTTTATGAATGAACACGATAGACATGCCATTGTAGACCAATTAAACAACATGGAGAACCCATTGGGTATTGGTATCAAGAAGCTTTTGCAAGTATTGATGAATTCGAAATACTTGAAGGCTGATGTCAATGGCGTCGTGGAAAATATCATAGAAGCACATTTATCCTAGTGGTGCTGTACACTAAATAATATACTATATAGTCAATTAACGTTACTCCTTGCTTTTGCATTTAGAAATAATTGATTCGCTCAATAATTGTAGTCTAGGTGATGAACCAATAACCTGTATTACATCAATTAATATCTATAATCTTTATTATACTCTCTGCAAATCAATAGCTATACGGTCCATATACATATTCTCATCCTTAATTAAAGCCCAAACGCTCTAGATTGCAATTCTTCTACACAACTCAATTTAGTCACAGACTTATGACATAGATAATATGCATTGTAACACATGCATCTATTATTCGCCTTACCCTTTACCTCAGAACCAATATTTTCTATATATTTTTGTATTTATTTTCTGTTACAGACGAATTTCCAATGCTCTCTTTGCCAGCTATGTTTCGAATCAATTCAAACAATTAAAAAACATCTCCCACACCGGGTTCGAACTGGTGACTTAATCCCCGAACATCTCGCCTACGCGCGTAGATTATGTATGTATCTTATTGTGGTGTATCGCATATAGTGTACTATTGATATATGCTTGTAATATAACCTATTTAAGCCAAAGTATCGATTTATATGCTAATAAAACACATAGCGTAAGAGTATATGGATCCAAACTACATGTAAAGGATTATACTGTATAACAGAATTGTTATAGAATCGGAGATATCTATTATTAGTGGTAATGCGTAACTTTCGTATCGAAGGGTGTGCAGATTTGTTTACGTTCGCTAAACGGGATCTTATGATACATTTCTTTAGATTTAATGTATAACTCTAGAGATATATACCAAGTTATTGATATGTATATAGAGCTAGGACAAAGGGTAGTATATATTAGTATATTACATTACATTTATATGTACGTAGAGTTATTAGTACAGCCAAACAGGCCAATTTGGTGTTGGCATATTTTAAGGTATCATCTATGCGCCCGCGCCGAGCCTAGATGATCTCCGCCAATAATACAGTTACTATGTTACCGATAGTTAGATTGTGGAACACCTGGAAATATAAATAGACCAGAAATCCGCCCGTAAATAGTAGTTAGAAGAGATAGGACAGTAATAGGACAATATGGACCCTATGGACTGTTTTGTTATTCCTAGCAGCATTAACCGGTGCACTTTCAACCGGCAAATATCAATAGAGCCTACTATATTTGCATTTGATGATTTAAGTCCCACAGAGGGGATTAGAACCCATGACGACTTTTTATTTGACAGCTACACCGGCATGGACGACCTGGCGTCGCCGCTTACATCGAGCGAGTCGAGCGTTCAATGCACGAAGGATATATTTGGGTTAGTTGGAGACGAGTATTCGTTTGACATGATTGACACGATAGATACATATTCAGAGTTCAATGGAGGGTCAATAGTTGACCAATTAGGCTTGATAAACGATATTTCAGACGGAACGATCCATCAAGAAAAAACAGAGGCGGCGTGGAACGTTGTAATAAGATTCAGAGGAATGAAATACAAATACCAACAGGTAGTTCTCGAAGGGGAGAACGTAATGGAAATAAAGCTCAAAGGGGGAACGGGTGACAAGTCAGGATGCTTGCGTGAGGGATCATCCAAGGATCTGGGTCTCAAGAAGGCCAAGGACAAGGCGAAATACATCAAACCCGAAAGGTTCAGCAGCGATATAGACAAATCGATAGAAGAGTTTAGTTCCCCCAGGTCAAATTTGGAACTAGATACCAGGATCCACCTGGAACCCAATTTTTTCGGCCTTGTACCTCTTCACACAATGAAACGCGACCCCAAATATCGCATTGTCGGTGCAAAACCCCAGGCCACTCCAGAAGACTATGTCAACAAGATGAACAAGATTTCCAAGATCGACAATGATAAGTACTTTTCCCGCATAAATATCCACGAATTATCGCATATCCTCGAACTCGACCACTACAACATCTCGCTAACTCGCGAAATCGAGCTCAAGGTGTTGAAAGTGTTCCAGCTCTACTGCAAGTTTGAGCTCGGTCACAAAACGTGGATTCGCGACACAAATAAGCCCCAGCGCAAGGACCTCATTGCAAAACTTCGCAATTACATTTCCACCTGGTATCCTGAATTGAATAAGTTCAAGCTCGAGGTCATCATAAGACGGGGCAGCTACAGCATAATGCAGCGAAGATTAAGACGAGAGCGCCGGAAACGATGCTCTGCTGCATCCAAAAGCCCTTCAATCACATAAAGTGTATTTCAATCGTTATAATATATCTTTAGTTTGCACCTTTTGCACCTTTTGCACATTTTTCAGGTTCACTTCACTTGTCCAATTATGTACCAAAAGGCCGAAATTACAGATATTCACCTCTTCAGACCCCCAACTCTTCACAGAACACCATTATCCGCCTATACCCATCCAATAAAGTATGTATAATGTATAAAATGTATGTCATAGTGTTTAAGTGGACTCTTGTCCCCCCTTGTCGTAATAACGCAGTATATTGGGTATATTGGCAATATCCCGCAGATAACCGAAAGTTTCACAGAAACCCGGTCTAGATTCACATCCCCTCCATTTTATCAAGTTGGACAACTCTACATAGCTACATGGTTCAAGCTGCTAAAATCCTAAAACCCTGTTTTCAGCCTTTGTTAGATCATATCTGGGAAATATGCGGAAATGCGCGGCAGGTTCGTGTTTCACTGATCTCTAGAGGCTGTCTTCATCTACTAAGCTGCTATACGAGCCCCCAGAACAATATCAGCCACACGCCCAAAAAAAAATGTGGCAGTCTGGAACAATGTCGGGGGAGGGGCTCGTATCGTATATTAAATTACGGATGAATGTCGCGATGTCGTGAGTGTTGCTCTTCTATCAAACTGTCTTGAGTACCACAATACAATATACGTCAATTTCAGACTTTTTGACTTGCACCACCATTTGGACTGCTTATTGGTGAACTATGTCAAGGATGAGAGTAATGTGGTCTCGGATTGTGCTTCTTTCTACATTCTTTAGAGGTTTAAGGTACATTGGTCTACATTACAAAACCCCAATTGGTAGGGCTGGTCGTATGTAAGAAGGTATCCTGCACATAAATGTAATTGATCTTTTTTGGTATTGCTCCAAAACTGCAGAAAAGGATACACAAGACTGAACATAGTAGAGTTTTTCTTCTTCCATCAAAGTAGCTTGAATCGATACGGAATACACGAGATCACGATACATGAAAGATTATTGGAAGGGTAGTTTATTGTACGAGTTATTTATTAGAAATTGATCATGGGTAATAACACTTCTAGTACTAGAAAATCAACTGCCAACAACCGGTATAATCTGGGCAATATTCGAAAATCGTCGACTTCGACCAACAACTACCACAATTTGGACGAGGAGTTCAGCGACTTGATATTGCACCAGGTAAAGCGCAAGCAGGATGCGAAACACGGAAAGCAGAATGAGCAGCAAGACGAACACACAGGGATCCACACCCAGAATAGCTCCGGCACAGATGGGTCCAACAAGAGCATGCAGCAGCAATACCATCAGTTTTCGAATGGGTTAATTGAAGATGAGTTCAATGAATTAAATGCGGGATTGCTAGATGCAGACTGTACGGAGGTGACACGGAACATTTTACCCAATAACGATTACAACAGCGACGCAATGGATACGTCCGAAGATCACTCATTATCGAGTGGGCTGTCATTACCCCAGAGAGGCGAAACCCCGACGCCTAATTTGAGCAAAGTGGACTTCACTAAGATTGCGGTGGCGGCGTCAGACGCTGAGGATGCAAACATGAACTCGTATCTGGCATCACCGATGAGCAGAAGCAACATTTCCAACAAGTCCAAGAACGGTAGACGTATCCCAGTCGAGATCAAATGGGTGAATACAAACAAGGAGAATATTCTGAAGATATCGATAATTGGGTCGTTTTCGAGTTGGAGGAAAATCATTCACTTATCGCAGTCATCCCAACACGATAACGAATTTGTAACCACTATCAAGTTACCGTTGGGGGTCCACAAATTGCTCTATATAATAAACAACGAATATAGAGTCAGTGACCAATTACCCACTGCCACTGACCACGAAGGTATATTTTTCAACTGGTTCGAAGTGTTGGACGAAGTTCACCTTTTCAACCATTCTCAAAATCAACCAAACCATATTGGTGCGTCTTCAGATTATGATGCCAATATTATTCCTTCACTTTTAGAGGGTGAAACTCAAACTGCTGGCAGGTATGAAGTTGACAAAATCAGAAAGAAACTGAACAGCTTCTTAGCCAAGGTGAGTAAAAGTGAAGGATTTCCGGATGTTGAACATGTGGAATATATGAATGAAGATTCACCCGCTCCTGCGGTAACACCACATCACGCTGACGATTTGGCAACACAGAGACCCCACGCTGAGCGCATGCAATCAGATTGCTCCACCAATACTAATGAATCGAATAAATACGTGCCTTACCACGAACAACTATCGACATCATTCTTGACGGAATATCAAAAGTCAGCCTTGAGTTACTCAAGCGATATTCCGGAGATGTTTGTGAACTACGATTACTTCAAGAACAAGGGCCCAGACTACGAGTTACCGGAACCACCTCAATTACCAGCACATTTAAACAATGTGTTGCTAAACAAGATGTCATCCAACCACCAACAGAATCACGCTCAGAACATTCCTGTGGTTCCACCTACAATCACCAACCATCAACATTACCAACAAGTGCAACAGATACAGCCTAACCAATATCCGTATGATTACCAAACCCCATCTGTAGCGCCCAATAATTCTTCCAAGAGACCTCCATTGAGAAGAGCAGACAGTTCATATTATGCTTCGAATCAAGAGGCATATCACTTGTCCATCCCTAACCATGTAATATTAAACCATCTTATGACTACATCCATAAGAAATGATGTTTTAATAGTGGCATGTATTACAAGGTATTCAGGTAAATTCGTTACTCAAATAATGCATTCACCTGCGGATACTTGAATGTTCGTCTTCAAAGCTGGTGATGTGGGAAAGTTTACAAGTCCGTATTTTAGTATTTGTTGATATTTACGTTCAGTTCTTTAATTTATGCTTGTTGTTAATTATACATTTTATTTAATCTTTATTTATAATATATTAATATAAATACATTTATTTAATATGAAGCTCATTTGTGGTTATGGAAAGATCGGCTTCTCGAATATCGATTGTGAAACAATTTTCAAACCATTTGTAATCAGTATATAGTATTGCAATAATATATATATATATATAATTGACACAGTCTATAGATTGATATATACAATAGCATATGGGGTTTAACTTATAGATAAATATGTCTTGGACGGGTATAAAAAAGGCTATTAATAGAGCTGGTGCTCAAGTAATGTTAAAGACTGGACATATTGAGGAAACGGTCGATAAAGATTATGAATTTGAAGAGAAACGTTTCAAGTATATGGAGTCGACATCTACCAAGTTACAGAAGGAACTTAAGCATTATTTAGACTCCTTGAGAATATTAACAAATGCTCAGGTCAATGTAAGTGAAGTATTGAGTGAGTTTTACGGGTCCAATAAGAATGAAGACAAGGAGTACAAAAGTATGAGTCAGGAATACCATGGAGTAATGAAGCTTCTAAATGACCAAACTGTGGGTGACTTGGAACAACCATTCAATCAAACGGTGCTCAATCCGGTAGCTAGATTTAACTCGTACTATATTGAGATTAATGAGGCCATAAAGAAGAGAAACCACAAGAAACTCGATTACGATGCTATGAAGAACAAGGTGCGGAAACTCATCGAAAAACCAGGGGAAGACCCACTGTACGAGGCCAAATTGAGTCAAACTCAAAGCCAATTGACTCAATTGGAGACTACATATGAAACTATAAACGATCAACTAAAAGATGAATTACCAAAGTTGATTGACCTTCGAATTCCTTTCTTGGATCCGTCATTCGAGTCGTTTGTTAAGTTGCAATTGCGCTTTTTCAACGAAAACTACAATCATTTGAATAACTTGCAGGTAAAGTTGGATGCTCAAACGAGACAAGATTATATCAATGGTGCTTTGGACGAAAAAATAGATGATGTACTCATTAAAATGAGGGAGTTGAACATAACAGGGACAAGCTAACATCTTTGCTAACGTATTCAATAGCTTTTTACTATAATTTGTTTACTGTATTTATGTATTTCTGCCATAATTAATTATTTTAGGTGTTTTTGGGTATGTTTTGTGCAATTTGTAGTCTAGAGAAAAAACATCTACAGATCGGGATCTTACGCTATTTCTACGAGGTACAGCTGCTTTGTATAACGCATTCATAGTCTTATGTTTAGAAAGAAGATATCTAATTATTCTTCGAAGCATAATCAAGAGGTTCAGAAATCAGCTTTTGATGAATCTTTCTGGCAATGGTACGTCGATAGTTATGGTAAACCTCAACCCGCCGAGAAGGATAATGCCTCGCATAATACCAAAAAATATCACCATAATTCTTCGGCAGTCACTACTCTAACAAAGTACTTTGACGCTTTAAAGTTACCAACACCATCGGTGAACGAAATCATCTCTTTGCTAAAGTCGCCATTTACGCAAGGCGACATAGTTAAGACGTTCCATCTTATTCGGTTTTTCCAGCTAAGTAGCGAAGGGTTATTCTTGACTAATGTGCCGTATGACAAAGCCGGGTGTTCTATTCAATATGTTGGGGCAGAGAATTGGGAAAATGTGATGTGTTATCTTGATGCGTTATTGTATTCGATGTTTTCTAGCTTGGAGAGTTTTGAACCGATATTGTTCATCTCAAATCACGAAAACATGTATGTCAATCAATTGGCAGCAATATTGAGGGTTTATGTCAGTTTAATTCGTTCTGGAAACATGGTTACAACTGATTTGACTACAAGACTTTGCGAAATTTTAATGAAGCTTGGATTTCACGAAGCCATGTCTCATAAACAACAAGATTCTGCTGCATTATTTCAATTTTTAACTGATACGCTATCAATGCCTATGTTAACGTTCAAGATTGATATAAAACATGGTGGAAAGCGTGATAAGGATGATCAAAAGTATTCTAATGAAAGAATTCTTTTTGTCAGTATACCCGAGGATGATGAAGATACTAAACTGCAAGCGTCAGAAAATTCCGATGCTGAAGAGGGAATTTTACTTGAAGAATGTTTAGAGCATTATTTTAATAATTCAATAAGCGTGAAGCGAGAGTTGGAGCGAAGAGCTACACTTGAAAGCTTAAGGAGGGAAAGTAACCCAGGTGGTGAAATCTCTTACCAGCCCTCTGCATCTGACCGCAACTTATCCAGAGTAGATACTGATGTTTCTAGATCGCAACCAATCATGGAGAATGTGAACATAGATGACCAAGAGAAAAACAATTCAGTCAGTGGTGGTACAAGTAGAAGGTTTAGGTCTGATAGTAAGAACAGTGTTAGACAAAGTATAAGGACTAGATCATCCACTCTTTCTATATGGTCTTTAAATGACAATGATGTATCTACATCGAAAGAGGTTAGTTTACCAGCATGGATGTTTTTGAGATTATTGCCTTTTTATACTGATATAAACGAAATGCACACCGCAGATGGAAATATTCAGAGCATCGCAAAGAATTCTAAGGAATTTGTCAATAGAAGACCTATTTTACCAATATGTTTAAAAAGGTACTCATATAATGATTCTAAGGCTCAAAGATCGCAGAAACGAATCATTATACCACCAATCATTAATATTCCTCGCTTTATAGCTGATGATGATGATGATGATGCTCCTGGAGATTTTAAATTGATCTTAGAAAGTGCGGTTTGCCATAAAGGAACAACGATTACACTGGGACATTTCATATCTGTAACCCGTAAAAATACCTACAGGCTTGATGAAACTGATGAGGAAGCATATAATGCTCCTTGGTATTTGTACGATGATATGAAGAAGAAAGCGAGAGTAGTCGAGAAGTCTTTTAAAGATATATTCAATACTGAATGGCCATACATGCTATTTTATAGATTGGTTTCTAATGATGATTCTAATTCCATTGCAAATAGCCCAAATGGAGGCGGCATACGCTCTAAAAGTCTTCATGAGAACATTAAGCCAATAGTTGTACCTCACGGTGCAAAAGGTCAATGGCTAGATCATACTAATTTGCTGCCAATAATATCTGCCACACCTTCTTATGACGACCTTGCATTATCATCTAGGAAACAAAGTGTTATAAGTACTACATCAAGTACGCCTATACCGGATATAGCTCCAACTGATCCAAGATTCGTCGATATTAGAGATAAATATTTTTGGTATGTTACTGACAAAGATAAGAATTATTATAAAGAAGAATGCATTCACTCAAAAGGTAGTCAGGAAACAACAGTGAGTTTAAGTCCATATTATCGTCGGAATAGTCAATGGAGTGAGACATCTAATATTAGTAGTATCAATCCATTACCCAATAAAAAAGATGAGCTGTCCGACATTAATAATGTGGTAGATGACTTGAATAAATTAACGTTGACTTCGACAGCTAGTTCTGGAAATATTTCTTATTGGAAACGAGCGAAGAAAACGAAAGCAGACGAGAAAGACGTTTCTGATAACATCAATGACAAGAAAAGTCCCGTAGAGTCTATTAACTTTGATAATATGTCAAGTAAATCTTCATTGAAGTCTAATCCAAATACAGGAGACAATAACCATAAGCATCTTTCGCGACCACAAGTACTGCATCGTCCCGACTCTGCTGATATGAGTGATGCAGATGAATACAAGAAATCAAGACTATTTGGTAAAAAATATAAAAGAAAGAGAGAAGAATATAAGAAGGAAAAATGTATAATAATGTAGTACATACTGCATGTTTTATATTTAAATAATAAACGTTAATCACAATAATATATATGCCCATTCATCCCAGCCATTGCAACCTTACTAGCTTCTTGGGGATGGGATTTTATGCATGTAATGGGTTTATCACTTACCTTTAGCTTATTCACTAATTTACAAGTTTTCCAATCCCAGAAATATCCGAACCCTTTTGAATCACCACTCATAATAATCTTACCATCAGGCGAAATCTCAACATCAATACCATAGCCTGCTACGTTATGACCATCAAACCATTTGTTTTTGTTGAATTTAAATTTACCATGTCCTTGAATCACCTGTATTGAATTGTCCATACTTTGAAGTGCAATGTATTTTCCTCCAGGATACAAAGCAGCTGATGGCATTGAATGTTGTGATGGATCGGATATAAATTTAATTGGAATATTAATTTGCCAATCCCAGAATCTCACCGTCTTATCATCAGACGTAGACATAAACCTATTATTATTGTCAATAGTGGTTAAAGAATTGATAGCCCCTAGGTGATGGTCGTATGTCTGTATTGGTATTTCAAAATTTGGTACGCTTAAATCGTAATGCTCAATTTTATGATTAGTTAGCCCAACAATAAATTCGTTTTCATTGTTAGGGTTGAATTTGATGACGTTTGGAATTGCTTTCAATTTAATAGTCTTTTCTATATCCCCAGTCTCTGTGTTCCAAAGGATTATTTTTTTATCAAATGAACAACTCAAAAACTTTTTTCCGGTGCTATTAAAGGTTACATCTTTGACAGCAAGTCTATGTCCATAATATGCTCTTAACAATTCCCTCATGTGATAAACGTCCCATAGCATAATCTTGCCATCATTACCGCAAGACAACAATAAATGACCAGATTTTGGAAAAAATTCCAATTTATTAACACCTTTTGCATGTCCCTCAAACGTATGAATAACCTTTTTGGGAACAAAACATTCCTGCGATCCAGGCTCGTTAGTAAGACTAACATTAAGGTCCCGTGGTACGTGCATGTATGTTCTGCCTAAATAATCCTTTTCCTTCAGACCAAAAAATTCCGTAAAAACTTCAGGCTCAGCTTCTTCGTTATTTGCATCATGATCCACTGCTTCATCTCCTTCATTTGCATCTTCATCCGTATCCGATTTATCTCCACCACCAGGAATAGTAGCATCAGATTCAGAACTAGCTTTGTAATCGGCCCACGGACCTAAATAATCAATGTCTTCTGGCTCATCCTGCTTACGTCTCTTTTTCCTCAATTTCTTGGACTCTTGTTTTGAAGAATTCCCCAGCTTCCTCTTGCTCTTCATCGTTTGAAGTTTCCAAGTAGCATCATCGTAATAATTCCTTTCTATACCACCACCAAAATTTCGTGTTTCCTTAGTACTTGTTATTTGGAAATTATCAATCGGTACTAATTCGTGGGTTGAAATATCAACATTCGGTACTGTTACTATATTATATTTCGAATCTTTAGGCAAAGCCGGAATATTATGCAATTCTTCATCGCTATCGGAACCTGATGAATATCCTTGAACCAACGACATTAGTACAGTCTATTAAGTTGATAATGCCAGTAATAGCGTATATCAGTTTATGAGATGGCACAAAATTATGTCATCGCAACTTCCTGAAAAAAGTTGAAATATTCACCAATCTTCATGTTGATATAATTAATTAACTATATAATTGATATAATGGCAAAGAGAAGAGCAGACGAACCAGAAGATTCTGACATTGATGTCAGTTCCACCGATTCAGAAAATGAATTGGAAGATGAACAACAGCAAGGTGAAGAAGGTGAAGATATAATCAATGTCGATTTTGATTACTTTGATTTAAATCCAGATGTTGATTTCCATGCAATTAAGAATTTCCTTCGTCAATTGTTCGGAGACGATGCCACAACATTTGATTTTTCATCGTTGGCTGATTTGATTTTGACCAAGAATTCAGTCGGTACAACTATCAAGACTGAGGGTATTGAAAGTGATCCATTTGCAATTTTGTCGGTAATAAATATGACGGAGAACATCAATAAGCCATGCCTTAAAACCGTAGTTGACTATGTGCTTCAAAAAACTAGCAAGAACTTAGAATTTAACTTAATGTTGAGAAAGTTGTTGGAAGCCAAGGACCAAAAAGCCACCGGATCGTCGAAATCTTTAAAGGTTGGCTTGATTATTAGTGAACGAATGATCAACATGCCTGTGGAAGTTGTTCCACCTATGTATAAGATGTTATTGGAGGAGATGACCAAGGCAGAAGATGCCCACGAGAAATACGAGTTTGACTACTTTTTAGTCATTTCCAAAGTTTACAAGCTTGTGTCTGCCAAGGTTCAAGATGATGAAGCTCCACAAAAGTCCAAGAAGAAGAAGGTTGCTACCAATGAACCAGTTCCAGTAGAGATGGACTACTTTCATTATGAGGATATGATTTTGGAAGAAAACGCTAAATATTTTGCCACGTATGATTACAATGAAGCCAGGCAAGATACAGATTCGAGAAGAGTATTCACTGATTACGGTATAGACCCCAAGTTGAGCTTAATCTTAATTGACAAGAATAAGCTTGCTGAATCTATTCCTCAAATGGAAGAGAAATTCCCTCCATTTTAGGTAAAAACTTTAGACAAAAAATCGGGTTTTTATATAGATTGAAACGCCGTGATAAAACACTATTTGCCACGAATCCAGTAGCACCCATGTATATTATACTTTAGTTAATAGTTATCTCTATGTCTCTTATAATAGATATTGCAATGATATTTATCATCACACGACCGGCATTCGATGAAATTTTTTTTGGTGCACGATGTTGATTTGAAAAATCTTTATGTCCAATATATATAAGATTTTGAATCACAACTACTAAGAGGTATATAATAAGGTTAATATGGCTCCACCTCACAGACATCACAATTTTCGTCCAGAAAATGTGTACAAGCGTGCAGAAGATTTGATTGCTGTTGGGCAAAGAAATGCAGCATTAGAAACATTGTACGAATTGATCACCTCTAAGAGAATTCGTTACTTAGCAGTTCAAGATTTAGAACCAATTGCGTTGTTACTTATTGAATTAGCAGTTGACTTAAGAAAGGGTAAATTAGCCAAGGATGCTTTACATCAATATAAGAAGAATGTTCAGATGTCCGAAAATGGTCTTGAATCCGTCCAAGTTATCGTTCGTAAGTTCATCGAATTGGCAGAAAAGAAGTTAGAAGAAGCTCAAGCTAAGGCTGATGTTAAGATAGACCAAGAAGAGGATGAAGACTTGGAAGTAGCGCAAACACCAGAAAGTATTTTATTGTCGGCAGTTTCTAATGCTGATTCTGCGGACCGTACTGAACGTGAATTGGTCAACCCATGGTTGAGATTTTTGTGGGAAGCTTTAAGAGCAGTTTTGGATATTTTAAGAAACAACTCTAAATTGGAAGTTACCTATTCTGCTATTGTCAACCAAGCATTCCAATTCTGTTTGAAATTCAACAGAAAGGCTGAATTCAGAAGATTATGTGAATTATTGAGAGGACACATGCAGTCAGTTACTACTCAAACCAAGCCAGTCGGAAGTATGAATGCTATTGACTTATCTGATTCCGAAACTGTTCAACGTTACTTAGATCAACGTTTTGCTCAATTGAACATTTCGGTTAAATTAGAATTATGGCAAGAGTCATTCCGTTCTGTTGATGACGTCCACACTTTGATAACCGCTTCCAAGAAGGCTCCAAGACCAGTCATGATGGCTAACTATTACGAAAACTTGGGTAGAATCTTTGCTGTCTCAGGTAATTCTTTATACCACGCTGCTGCTTGGAATAAATTTTTCAATTTGTACTGTCAATCTCCAAATGCTACTGATGACGAATTAAGTCATTACGCCTCGATCCTTGTTTTGGCCACTTTGTCTGTTCCTCAAAAATCTCTTAATAGTAACGAAACTGTTGTTGATGATCACAGGGCAAAGAATGCTAAATTAACTTCTTTATTGAACTTAAACCAGGTCCCAACTAGAGACACTTTATTGAAGTCTATTGTTAGCAGATCTATTTTGAGTTTTGTTGATCCAGCTGTAAAGCAATTGTTCACCGTCTTAGAAGAAGATGAATTCCATCCATTAACCATCAAGAAAAAGGTGTCCGAAGTTTTCCAACTTATCGAATCCGACAAGGACTATAAGCAATATATTCCAACTTTAACTGAAGCAATCTTGATTAGATTATATCAACAAGTTTCCCAAGTCTATGAAACTGTTAAATTAGATTTCTTAGTTTCTTTGGGTGTCATTGAAGGCACTGAATTTTCTTTAAGCGCATTAGAAGTTGAAAATTTAATTGTAAATGGTGTTAAAGATGGCCACTTATCATTGACTATTGACCATGAAACTGATGTCGTCACATTGAAATCTAAGCCATTCGAAGACGCTTTCACTGATTCATTAACTTCTAAATTACAAATTTCTCCATCTGAGTTAGTTAGATCTCAATTATCAAAGTTGGCTCAAACTTTGTCTTCTTCTGCTAAGGTTATTGACCCAGAATATGAAGTTCGTATCCAGAAGACCCGTGACGAAGCCTTAAAGAATGCTATTGCGGATATGGCAAGAGAACAACAAGAAATTGCCGACCGTGTCAATGTTATGGAAGAACGTAAACGTATTGCTGACAAGGCTAAGCGTGAACAAGACGAAGAAGCAGCTAGATTAAGACAAGAGGCCAATGTTGCTGAACAAAAGGCTGAACAAGAAAGAATATTAGCTGAACAAGAAAGAAGAAACTTAGAGAAGTTAGAGAAAGAAAGACAATTGGTCAAGGAAAAAGAAAAATTGAAGATTGCCGAAGAAATTAATGCCAAGGGTATCATTAAGCTTGACTTAAATAACTTAGATGATTTGGATACTGAAAAGTTGAGGATTATGCAAATCGAACAGTTGAATAAGGATAAAAAGGACTTAGAAGAACGTTTGAAGGTTTTGTCTAAGAAGACCGACCATACTGAAAGAGCATTCAGACGTTATGAATTACAATATTTAGAAAAGGATGCGGAAAAACAACAAGAAGACGATATCAAGAACTACGAAGCCTTAAAGGAACTTAAAATTAGCAAAGCTAAGAAAGAACATGAAGAATCTTTGGCTTTGAAGGATCGTTTACAACGTATGATTCCTGACTTTGAACCATTCAAGAAAATCATTGACGAAAAGCATTCGAGCAGATTAGCTGAATTAAGAAAGGAAGCCCAAGCTGCTTTAGAACAAGCAAAGAGAGAACGTACTGAACGTGTTAAGCATCAACGTATGGATGAATTAATGGAAAGACGTGAATATGAACGTAAAGAAGCTGAACAAGAAGAAATAAAGAGAAAGCGTCAAGAGGAAATGGATAAGTTTAAGGAAGAACTTAGAATTCAAAAGGAAAAGGATGCAGATTCATTAAGAAGAAGACAAGAAATGGCTAATGAAAGTGCTAAGCCAGCTATCCCAGAACCTGTACCAGCCCCAGTCCCAGCCCCAGCAGCAGCAGCAGAAAAGCCTAGCGCACCTTTGACTTTCGCTGAAAAGATGAGATTGAAGAGACTTGGAAAGCCTGGTAATTGATTTTTAGTTACGTTTATTTGTAGTTTACTTATAGTATTAAATTTATTATCCTTTAAATGTATTTGGTGTGTAGCTACTCACAGACACGAAAATCTTCCCGAATTTCTCTGTTCGAGAAAAGCTAACTGGTACGTAAAATTTCATAGAAAGAATATTAAGATTATAGAAGCAAACAGATAATAGAAATGACATCTAGTACCATTTCAATCATTGGATCATTAAACTATGACTTAGTTACTTATACCAAAGCAGTTCCAGAAGGTGGTGAGACCTACCAAGCAAGTTCTTTCGAGAATCATATTGGCGGTAAGGGACTTAATGAAGCAATTGCAACTTCTAGATTATCTGGCAAATTATCAAAATGTCATGTTCGTATGATCGGTAATGTGGGTAATGATTCATTCGGTAAGGAATTAAAGCAGGCATTAATGGATTCTGGAGTTGATACGAAGTATGTTAAAACTTTGGAAAAGCAATCGTCTGGGGTAGCAGTAATTATTGTCGAAGAAGAAAGTGGAGAGAATAGAATCCTAATTACTGCAGGTGCCAATGGAGAATTATGTCCAACTCCGGAGGAATATGAAACATACTTTCCAAGAGACGTCGATGGAGCACAATTCGTTATTCTACAGAATGAATATCCTGATACTGTTAAATCTATTGAATGGCTTAAAGCGAACCGTCCAAAAATCAATATTGCCTATAATCCTTCTCCATTTAAACCTGAGTTTATCAATCAGCAATTCTGGTCTAAGATTGACTTCCTAATTATCAATGAGGGAGAAGCATTGAGTGTTGCATCAAAATTACTCACGGAAGAAGAAAATGCTAACTTCAATAAAACTATCAAGCTGGACAAAATAGAAGGTTTCAGCGACTTAGCAGACAAGTTACAAGAGTTAATTAACCCAGATAATGTAAGTACGGTCGTAATCACTATGGGAAGTAAGGGGTCAATCTTTACATCTAGGAATACCAAATCTACGTTTGTCAAATCCCATAAAGTTGAAAACGTTGTTGATACCACAGGTGCTGGCGACACATTTTTTGGTGGTGTTGTTCTGCAGTTAGCGAGTGGATCAAGCATTGAGAAGGCCGTTGAATTTGCAACTAAAGCAAGTAGCTTAGTTATTCAAAAGAAGGGAGCAGCAGAAAGTATTCCAACCTTAGAAGAAATCACTAAATACATATGAATATTCATTACAAACATATATAAGATAAATATAGATAGGTTCTAAGTGATATATAAAGTCATTTACATGGAAACATGTTCAATTGGAATACTGATAATAGTAACCGATGTCCAGATCGTATCGAAGTAGAAATCTAAAATCAAACTAGCGCACAAGGTAATTAAAGATTAAGCGGCTTTTCTAGAGCGAATTTGGGCCTCTGGTACAGGTGTTGGTGTATCGTTTCTTCCTGTAGCATGGACGTATTCGTTAACTTGAGCAGCAACCCCACCTTGAACAGCCTTTATTTTCTTAGACTTCTTCGATTTCTTCTTATAGACTTCCATATAGAAAGCGATAAACAAAACTAAGTACGACGACAAAATAGCGCAACCTGAATATGCTGCTAACATAGTACCAGCACAATCACCACAAACTGGCAAGATATCTCTATAATTGGAGAAATATGTGAAAACAATCTTTTGATAAGTTGCGAAATAAACAAAACCTAAATCCAAAACGAATTGAATGATTTGGAATCTAGTGACCCATTCCTTCCACCAGACCCTGATACCTCTTGCGGCCAAGAAGTAGTACCAGTACATCACACAGTGCACTCCCAAGTTAAGTGTGATTGGAACCCACGAGATTGGAGTCAAGCCAATCAATTGAGTATAACATAAAAGCGCAGTAGCACCATGGTGGTAGGTATGTAAAAATGTTAATTTCTTTTGCTTAACCACTAAAAACACGGTATCAAGAAATTCAGTGAACTTAGTCAAGTAATTCAAGTAGTACAAGCAAACCAATTCTTGGGACCATGCTTGAGGGTGACAAATAGCAAAGAATAACCCATGGTGGTAAATCATAGGAATTAACTGTTCAGCCATTAACACAAGCAAAGTAAACGACAAAGTAGTCAAAACTAGATTGTGAAGTTGAAATAATCCGTTCAACACAAATGGCTTAATTTGAAACTTTTTGAACAAATAGTTTCCTCCAAAAATGACAATGTAATATGTACTGATTATAAAGAATACCGGTGGAAACGTAGAAAAAGGTAATTCTCCGTGAACAAAAGCAAATTGTGATGGAACAAATTTACCTTGACTGCCCTTTGCAATAGCAGCATCAAAAAGAGGCCATAATTTTATCCCAAACGGGACATCGAAACTTGGAATTTGAATAGCAGACATTTATTTGATATAATTAAAGTCTTTAGTTAATATTTCTATATGATGTCAACTATTTTATATAAGAAAGATGTATTTTTGTTATGTTTGTTGATGAAAAAAAATTAGACTGATAAAACGCGCTGAAAAAAAATGTCAGTGCCGTCTCCAGCTTAGTTAATGAACCTTTGTTCTATGAATATATAGGGGAAATTAGGAGCAAATTGAACATGAGTGACATGGAATCATCTAGTGACGCTAGCGGATCAGATTCAGAGTCTTACGAATCGTCTTCTAGCGAAGAGGCAGCCTTGAAGCCGGTATTTGTTTCAAAAACCCAGAGAAAATCACATGTAAACCAGCAAAACAGCAAGCCGAACGACACGAATAGGAGTACACAAACAGAGATTGTCATCGACAAAGAGATAGGGGAAACAGATAGAAAAAAAGAAATAGCGTTGAACAAGGCAACTCATGAGGTGAAGGTGGAGAAAACTGATGGCGATGAGTTCGATGGCACCGATGATGCCGACGATATATATCCTGAAAAGGAGTACGACGAGTGGAAGATACGAGAAAAAGACAGATACAAACGAGATAGAGAACGTATAATGCAAGAAGAACAGATGAAGGACGAAATAGTGAGGCGTGGTAACTTGACAGAACAAGAATTGATAGATGATTTCAAGAAAAGACGTCAGGATAAAGATTCACCTGCTTCTTTGAAGCCGAAGGATTACCATAAAGGTGCATTTTTTAATGATAACGAAGACATCGACAGGTTATTGAAGAGAACATACGAACATGTTGGTGGTGATGATGATGATAATGATAAAGATCATTCAAGACCTACAAAGTTGAAATTTAACTAGTTATATAGAGCACGATTAATGACAATGATAGGGGCCTAGTTAACAGGCTGTGACGACATAAACCATAATACGTAGATGTAAGCCTGCAATAGTAAGCCAAATTGGACATACTCTTATTGGCTTGTACTTCGACCGCATCGAAAATCGATCGGAGATCAATTTGAAGTTTATGGCATATTCTCCAATTTGATAAGACTTCTAGCATATATGTCCCTTTTACCGCTCACACCATCATTGAAGCCATTTCTCGAGGAGTACCTCCCAAGGCCATGCTCCAACAGACCATTTATAACACTCACATATGCACAGTCGTTAGATTCTCGCATAGCTGCTAAACCTGGTGAACAGACCAAAATATCACACCTTGAAACTAAAACAATGACACATTATATTCGTTCGAGACATGACGGTATAATGGTGGGAATAGGCACTGTGTTAGCCGATGATCCAAAATTAAATTGTCGTTTTGAAGCTGAAGATGGAAATATTTCTACACCGAGACCCATTATCTTAGATCCTACCGGGAAATGGACATATCATAAATCACAATTGCGTTCTGTATGTGACGATAATAAAGGCTTAGCCCCTTTCATTATAATAGACGAAACCGTGACACCGAGAAATGAAGACCTTGAAGTTCTAGATCAGCAGGATGGTGCATTTGTCAAGCTTCCCTTACTTTGCAATGCGGACAGGGTTGGAAATTGGAGTATTATATTAGAAAAATTGTTCCAATTGGGTATCAAATCTATCATGGTCGAAGGAGGTGCCAATATCATTAATGATTTGTTGATTTATAGTAAGATTATTGATAGTTTGATCATTACAATAGGCCCTGTATTCTTGGGTAAAGAGGGAGTTGAAGTAAGCCCTTCGGGACATGCCGACTTGACTGATGTCAAATGGTGGCAAGGCATCCAGGATAGCGTATTATGCGCCAGGCTTACATAGATACCGATACTTTACGAATAAAACTATATTACAAAACTACTTAATGCTATTCAAATTATTCTCTGAACCAAATTAAAGTAACGATGATAAAAACAATTAAAATAGGCACATAACCTTACAAACAAATTCTATAGGAAGCATAACGACCCGAGGTTTCAGATCTCCTAATAATTTTGACTACTTCACCCCTTTTCAATCCCAAGTATCGAGCGACTGGGTCTTCTCTTTGAATTCTAGGCAATTGTGATTCCTTCAATCTATATCTTTCTAACAATTCTTTCTTTTCATCTCTGGCTAACTTGATATGCTTTGGAACCAAATCGTGATGTGTGATGTTAACCACTAAATCACCCTCTTGGAAAGTCTCAATCGATGCTGGTGAAACGGTAGGAATCAACTTGTTGGCACTAGGGGTGATGGATGATTGGTAAATGAAGATCCCTGTGCTGAAGTTCTTTTCACTGATGTGGATACAGAAATTTCTCATGGTCTTAATACCAACGGAAGCTTCGTCACAGAATTCAACCCATAATGATCCTAAATCTGGAAATTTTTCCAATGATTCAGCAGTTGGGTTTGCTTGGAAACACATCAACTTTCTTTGTGGAACGTTCATACTATCACAAATTCTAGATCTGAATTCAGCTAATGACATATCGATTTCTTCTTGTGTGATGTAGTATCCCTAGTTTATATTAGTATACTTCTTTACAATCAATACAAACAAATTAATCTTGTGTACATACTCTGTCCCTGACCATTTCCTTGACGGTTTTAAATGATCTCCATAAACGGGAGATGGTTCTATCGGTGTCCTCCATGTTTTATAGTTGATACAGATTTTGTATTTATGTAGTACTAAACCTTACCTCTAATATACTAGGTACATACTAGATGGCCTATTTTCAGTTCATCAAATTTCGTGAAAAAAAAATCCTATCACGTGATTTATATCATAGTAGATGTTCATATATTATATGATTCTATGTAGTTATAACGAGTCTATGTAGAGCATAATACTAGGGAATATATGCCTAATCATACTTTCTTCTAAATCTCAATTCGATTTCGGAGCTGCTTTTCCAGATTTTTGTTTTAATTGTTTGTAGAGTAAAATTATAAGGCAATTCTTGACCTTTGCATTCAAGAGCCAACCACTCAGATGGGTTCCTCAGATCTTTCATTTCTGGGGTACGGCCGTCAAAACGTTCGGTGATATAGGTTAAGATCTTCAGAACCCGTAACATATTGTGCGATGTCAATTTAATCATGTTGTCGCTCATTGGTAAGCGTTTAATTTTTTTCTGTGATTTTCCTCCGATTGTCGTACTAGGTGGTAATAAGGTATAATCAACTTCCTGTAGCTTGAACTCAATCTTTGGATTCTCCTTGACAGGAAATTTGCTGTATAAAACAGGTTTGCCTATCCACACGGGTAAGTGGTTTCTCAAGTCGTTTACCAAAGGCTCATTAGTGCTTGAATTGTCCAGAAGCTTGGTGATGTCATCTAGATGGAAGCTACACAAGTCCCTCATATTACCCAATTCCGGTGAGTGTTCAAATATTATGATTAGCAAATTCGAAGGAAGTCTATGAGGGTAAAAGTGTGGTTTATATTCGTTGTTATCTTCTGGCATGCTATACTTAGGATCATTTGAATATATTCTAAGTATAGAGTCGACTGTTCTGTTGATACCAAACGATCCATACTTTTCCCAGTATCTTTTCTTGTTATATTGTAACATGCTCATTATTGAATCTTCATTTGATGAATCTTGTGATATCGATATAAGGCCATCACTGTTAATAAAATTTGACATTAGTGTAGTATCATTTATGCTAATAGGATAGTCGATCACGCTGCTAGCAGCAGAGCTTATAGACGCGAGTGTTTGACGGTCGTCTTGATGAATATTAGTCTTAGACGATTTTTTAGTGAACATTTTTATTCTTTTAGCTGTATTAGTTGAGCTTGATCCATCTATAGAGCTTGCGTTTGAAATTGACGAGTTGCTAGTTATAGCAACTGAGCGATCATTTGTGAATCTTTCATACGATGATGAAAGAGGAATTTTCCGATTATCTCTTTTGTATGCCTTTAATTCTTCCCGCAATTGATTGTCAAATTCCCATTCATAGATGGCATATTGATGGAACAATGAGTTTATCAAGATCTTTGCAAGGGGCAACCTATCATCAATAGAGGGTTTAACTTCGTTATTTTTTAAACCTTCGATATTGTCGGGATGTTTGTAAGATAAATAAGGATAAGACTTGCATAACTCGTCATAGTATATTTCTACATTGTTAAACATAGACTCCTTTAAGGTGACCAAAAGCTTTCCAGATTTGATGTCCACCTCACACCACGTATTTAAGGTATCCTCTGTTTGGTATTTATGGAAAATATTCTCCATTTCTTTCAGTCTATTCTCTATTAAATCTTTTGTTAATTCAGTAGACGTAGACGACTCATACGGAAATGTCTTGATCTCTGCACAGGCAAATATATCCCAAATTTTCAAATCTCCGTTCAAATATAATACAAGTATGTGTCTTCTATTATTGAATAGCCTTTTTGCAATGATGCTTTTTCGAGTTAACGGAAATTTATTATATGGTTCCTTATTAAATGGAACTTGGGTTACTTGTTCCGACGGAATTGGATTTAATAGTATTTCAACGGGAATATTATCAATGGTGGTATCACCATTCAGGGTATCCTTACTTGACAAACCTTCCTTATATGTATTAACGTACTCCATAGACGGTCCACCATCAGTATTGAGGAACATGGAATTATAATCATTCATATCGACTACTTCATTAGTATTGTCGACGTTATGTACTGATAAGGGATAATTATTACCCGAAAATGAAGATTGAATATCGAAATTATTTGTGTCGATAGACAAATGACTTACAATATCATAAAAGTCAGAATTTAGATCATTTGGTTCGCCAGTAACTTCACCCAATCCTGAAGTAAGTTCATCATTTACCTGATTGTCATGATTCAAAATATAGTCTAAGCAATTTCTAGAATACTGATATTTGGATAATTGGTCAGTGTCCGGAATAATATATCTGTTTAACGACAGCTCTGTGGATGCTAAAAGTGTGGTTGAAGAAAGAGTGGAGTTCGGTTGAACGTCAGTTTCACAACACAACGAAATTATGGGCGAATTTGTCTTTGCAATAATGGTAGATACTCCTAGTTTTTCATCCATCAAGTCATCTGAACCAGTGAACGTTTCAAATCCCAGATTATCTTTCCTTAGATTTGTCGACAAATATGATAAATCTGTCTTGACAATTTTACCACCTTTATCACCAGAATAAAATACCTTGAAATCAGTGTTATAGAAGTCATCGCATTGATTGACTATTCCTGGTGATGAAGAGATAGAAGTACTTAAACTCCAAATCGCATCGTCATGAATATCAAAGTTTTTGTAAACCTTGAAATTCCTCAAATCCCATAATTTGATAGTAGTGTCAGAAGAACCACTCAAAATAAAATTGTCATTCATTAAGAGACATCTTATGTTATCTTGATGACCGATTAACTTTTTAATGTTGTTCGAATTATTTGGTAATCTCTTGTCGTATAAATTGATAGTATTACTTGGTCCACCAGTACTGATCAAATTTGAATTATTGTTTGCTAGGGAATAAATTGAATTAGGCAATGCGGTGTTCAGACTATGAGTCTGAATTTCTTGAATTGGGTTTAATGTTCCTAAATCCCAAAGAACAACTTTGCCGTCTAGCCCACCACTAACTATTGTTTTCTCTGGTACAACGTACGATAATTTCTTGATGTAATCAGTGTGAACATTAGAAAATTTATGGACATGTGCTTTCTCTGAAGGGTCAGAATTATGCAAATTGATTAATTTTAATGACAAATCAGACGAGCATGAAACTAAGTCTCTATCATTATTGACTAGCTTCAAATCATTAATCCAGTCAAAGTGGATATTATAGTTATTGGTAATATTATAGTCTTCATATGGTGTAGTACAATATGGTAGCGGGTTTGACGAAATAGCAGTTTCTAGCTTCAAAACCCGTTCATCTATATCTTGATCAATATCTTGATCTCTATTATCTGAACCTTCAAAGGTTTCATTGAAATTGAATTGACTTGGTGTACCTTGTCGCGAATGCTCCCAGCCATTCTTACAACACCATGTTTTCACTGTACCGTCTCTACCACCTGTGTAAAAATTATTTGTTACTGCAGAATATTGAATGGCATTAATAGGCAAAATATGATTCTCGTTATCGTTGGAATCCCCCAACACGTATGATAATCCTTTTTTAATTTTACAACTCATACTATTCTTTCATCTAACAACCAATACTTTTATGGTAGGGTCTTAGTTATTTTCAAAATAATTGTTGATACGAGTTAAATTAAGGACCTTCTCCTGAATAATAACCCTTACAGACAAGTTGTGCAATATACTTCTAGTTATATCTGAATCTTTAAATAAGTTTATATTTAATGAACAACCTTATTAAAAACTTAATCTTTCTCGAACGGAAATCAAATACCCAGCACTAACAAATTATTGACCTCAATAATATTTACAACGAATGCAAGTCCTCTAAAATATAATTATAGTTATAATGACGCAAAAATGATCTCCACAACGATCGTTTATACTTCTTAGCGTCAATTATAATACTCAGTTATTGTTACTGGAGATCTAAATATTTCCTGGAATAATTTACGGGGCAGAACAACGAGCGACATTTTCGGCCGCTGGAGAAAAATGGGATTAGCCTAACAACAACCCCAGAATATCGTCAAATTAAGCGAAAACATGGCACCAACAACCCAAATGGACTCCGACATTGAGTCCCAATTGAAATCTGCCATCTACTTGATGGTTTCCAAAATGGTAGAACAAGACTTGACCAATATTGACAAAGATATTTCCGCAACGCCTACCTTCGTAGCATCGCTTGTGGAATTGGTCTACAATCAGCTTTTAAACCTTGGAGAAGACTTAGAGCTTTTCGCCAATCATGCTGGAAGATCTACTATCAAGCCGGCTGACTTATACATGGTTACTAGGAAGAATGATATATTGACAAAGGTATTACGGGAATTCGAAGAGAACGAAATGGAAAAATAGTAACTTTACAGATTTCACAGGCCAGAACTCAAGCATACATAAGAGCAACGACATCCTGCGTCCAACTACCGAAAAATGACTTCGGGATGCAGTTTATAACGTATTTGAATTATTGATATAGCATGTTGAAGCAGTGGATAAAAACTCAACAATGGTAATGCGAAATGCACTTGCTACCATTTTGGGAAGTCATACACGGAAATCGCGATTCTCAATTAGATTGCCTAATTAGGATTAATTTAATATTCGAGAAACGCGTAGAACCTGAAAATTATATATAGTAGGAGAAGACCAGTTTGATTAAAGGTGATTTGATCTACAAGCAATTGAAGAAGAATGCAGGTAAGAAGTGGGATGAAGAGACCATTACAGGATATTGAGCTTCCATCTGCTAAAAGAAATGGAAAGGGCCCAATTGATAAATACAATGTGCTTTCCGACAGATCAAATATTATGCTTCAATCTCCACCGGTGACTCCAGAAAAAGAGAGGGTAGTTGATATATCTCAAGACTTGAAGGCCAGCAATGATGGTATTAAAAAGCTCACGTTCTTGACGCCACCAAGTACACCTACCAAAGGAAAAGGAACATCCGTGTACTCAAAGGCGAAGGCGTTGTTTCAGAGAAGTGCTAATAATGACGGGATCAATACCACGCACTTAACTACAAGAGATGAGGAAGCAGAGCTGTTGAACAGATTTCTCGTAGGTAACATTAACAACAATACTTCCGACAGTTTATACATATCAGGACCACCAGGGACCGGCAAAACGGCGCAAATAGAAATATCGTTGAACCATGTGATGAAGGAGATTGGAAAAGCCGTGAGTGTTAACGTCTCACAGGTGGGTCTGTATAGGGCTAGATTGGTGAAGATGAACTGCATGTCCATTTCGAAACCAGAAAACGTATTCCACGAGATATTCTGTGCTATGGAATCACATGAAGGACAACCTAAGAAGTCGTACAATAAAAAGAAGACTGCTGACGATGTGTTCCTGTTACTTACAACTAAATGTGATATTGACACTACAATCTTGTTGCTTGATGAGATGGATTACTTAATTACCAAAGATCAACAAGTGTTATTCCAATTATTTAATTTTGCATCGAAGCAGAAGTCTCATATTTTGACAAACAAGTTGGTACTTATTGGTATTTCGAATGCGTTGGATCTTACCGATAAGTTCTTGCCAAGATTGAAACGAAACTGCTTGAACCCCCAATCATTACAATTCATGCCTTACACTTCAGACCAAATCAAAACCATCATCATAACCAAATTGAAGTCTCTAGTCTATGATGAATCAACCAAAGAAAATCAGCCTCCTATGGCCTCGATCCCCATTATACACCCAGCTGCCATACAGCTCTGTTGTAAGAAATCTGCATCAGTTACCGGTGACCTTCGTAAAGCGTTCGATATATGCTACAAAAGTATAGAAATGGTCGAATACAACGTCAGAGAAGCGAATCCGTCCGCAACACATACCTTCTACACAGCTCCCAAAGTCTTAATTTCCCATATTGCAAAGATATGTGAAAACTCATACAAGGACAACTCGTTGACCAAGTTGCATAACCTTAACCTATTACAGAAGGCAGTATTATGCTGTTTGTTCAACCACCAGATAAATCTCGCCTTCCCTTCGACCGCCAAGAAAGATCTCACGGTCAATTCCTTTTACGACTTCTACGTGAAGCATTCGCTTGATAACGTCGATAAATTATTAGGGAGATTAAAAAAGGGCGAGTTCTTGGAAATTATAGGGGCCTTGGAAGCTGGCTCGGTCATCAATTTATCTGAAACAAAATCCATGAAGTCAAGTATGGAAATTGGTAACAAGTTTATCAAGTCCAACGTCCCTTACGATGATTTATTAAAATCTCTAGGTGACATCGGTGTTTTGAAAAAGGTGTTGCACGGTAACAATTAATTATAGAGCTATAAAGCGCAATAAAGCATTTAATATATATTAATATCATAATTTACACTCCACTCGTAAAATAATCCTCTTTCTTCTACTACAACTTCTACTATAAACTGCTTAGTGTTGGCCTAGTCTACTACTCTTACAACTACCTACTTAATACTGGCTTAATGAGTGTCTTACTCATAAATTACTTTTGTAACACAAAAACAAAAAAATCTTTAAAATGTTTAACTGGCGCACTTTAATGAAATTATAGGTTTATAAATATGTATATAAAGAAAGTATTATAGTTAGCGGTTAATAATAAAAAGATAATTCGCTAATCCATTTGGAATGGGAAATTAGAGAACGTATATTATAACCTAGGAACTTATTAAAAGTATTAAAGTAAATATTAGATTAGACTTTACTTTTAATATCAAAGGTTAGTTGAAATACTTATTATTCTATAGTGTATTATACGAATTAGAATATTGGTGAATACAGATACCTCGAGCTATCATCTAAGAAGAATAAATAGGTAATATGTCATCCTCTGGGTCTAGAGGGCCACCTATCAATCGATATAGTGATAGAGGAGAGTATGATTATAACAAGCAGAGGAGGAAAAATTTTTATAGTGGGTCGTCTAGAAGAGGAGGACCAGGGTCGTCGTCTCTAACGAGGTCGAAGTTACCAAGTAAGGCGACTGATGGAAGCATGGGGCCTAGTGAAACGCATTATTCGAGTGCTGGAAGAGCAAGATACGGAGGTAGTAGCGGATCGAATTTACTATCACGGAGTTTTGGACCCAATGTGCGAGATAATAGAGGTTCTTACGGTTCTTATGGATCGTCTAAGGGTGCTTACTCGTCATATAATCAAAATTCTGGCTCTTATTATTCAGGATATGGGAATTATGGAAATTTTGGTGGTAAGAGTGGAGACTATCTGTCGACTAATTCATCTAATTTCTATAACTCTAGAGGCGATACTTGGAGGGGGGATAGAACTGGTTCTTCTGGAGATTCGAGGCTCACATCCTCAAAACCATTATCATTATCAGCATCATCATATAACGGCAGGCTTTCAAATGGAGCCACTAGTAATCCAAAGTCATTAAGTGCTACATCAACAGGCGAGTATAGAAAGGATAGATATGGTCTGTATAATCAGACTGAACCAAACGGCAGCAAATGGAAGAGTAATTATAATTCGGGCAAACCAACCTTGAATAATAGAAATTCTTTTCCAAGTTCTGCGGGAAGCAGATCTTTTTCAGCCAAGGATAGGATGAAGGGCTCGCTTAGTGGTAGCTCATCACTTGTTAATACTGGTAAAAGAGGCGACACATACTATCCGCCCAGATCTTCTTACTCGGCAAATATTTCAAGTCAAACATTCAATAAGTCTCAGGTCGATCGCTATTCTAGTAAGACGAAATCATCTCCACAACTGGACTATTACAAAACTAGAAACCTAAGTGGAGAAGATGAGGACAACACGTATAATAAGAGAACATATAGTGATCATTATTCACCTAGCCCGACTAACGACTATGAACAAGGGGACGATACAAAGGAATCTGAAGATGACTATGAACCGGATATATCACACCATAATATAGCAAAAGAAATACATGACGAGATGCAGAACGATGATCATGGGGGTGAAAATGATAATGAAGACGATGAGGAAGATGACGAAGATGAAGATATGGAGACAGAAACTAGAGAAAATCTTATTGAACGGGATAATAATCTAAAGTATAGTCATGAACAGAACGATGAGAATGATATGGGAATTGAAACTGAAGTGGTCAAGCCTCAGGTCAATGTAATCCCGGTTGCTAAGGTTGATCTTTCCAATGAAATATGCTATCCCGATGGATGTGATTTCCCTGTTGATAGATTAGAATCTGACTTTAAGAATTTACAAGCAGAGTTTAAAAAATTTAGCAAAACAGACGGCAATTATTTGAAATATTCATTAGCAACGCCGATAGATAACTTGCATGATTATCCATTTTTTGCAAACAATTTAAAATTGTTTACTCGTAGAAGAGAAAAATTATCTATAACTTTATCGCACAACAAACGATTACTACAGCGTAAAAAACTTTCTTTATGGAAAGATTATTCAAGAGGTCTTGATGAATGGGAATTACAAAGGGAGAAAATTGATCAGCAATTGAAATTAATTCATCCAGCTGATGACGAAATGAAAAAGGAATTGGACGCAATAGACATTAGAATCAAAGAAGACTTCAATGTTGAGCCTACAAGTGCTAAGGATATTCTACCTCCTCCAAGTAGTAACCGTCGAAATCGTAGACACGGTGATTTGGTCACTACAGAAGCAGAATTTCAAGAGATATTACAATCATTAGGTAAAGAACAAGAAGAAGATCCTATGATTAGAGCTCAAAAGGTATCTGCATCGATTCCCGATTTTATACTTGATCCAATTGAAAGAAATGTTGTAAAGTTTATGGATTCGAATAACATTGTTGATGATAAGTTACAATGGACTACTAGGGTTAAAACTGACTTTCATAATAACTTTTCAACTCAAGAGCATGCCTTATTTTGTGAAGGGTTTTGCATGTTTCCAAAGCGATTTGGAGCGATCTCTAGACATATGGGTGGTTTGAGAACTGCCGAAGATTGTGTTGTTCATTATTACATGACTAAAAAAGAAGTCAATTATAAGCAATTGGTTCTCACTTTCAAAAAGAAGGCAAATAGGAAAAATCGCCGTGGAAAGATCTCAAAATCAAGAAATGTTTCTCAGAATGGTACCCCTATCTCAACCCCAACAACAGAAACCGCCATCGAAAATGGCGTATTAGAATCTTATAATAACACACCTACATCTACTGAGAACTCCACAGAATATTTTGGAGAAGAAGTTTTCACAGAGACAGGGAGAAGAAAACGAACTGCAGCACCCCTGTTTGAAGGTAACGTGTCTGAAAAGAAGAAGACTGATTCGCCTACTGAGGTTAAGACCAGTGATTCATCAAGTCTGTTACAGAAGAAAAAGGCAAGAAAACAGAAGAAAGAAGATACACCAACAACTGCTGTTAATGAGATCATTGAAGCCAATGCGGATATTGTACCTGTCAGTGTACCAATGCCAGATACCAATGACACCGAATTGGAGGCGAAGGGAAGTGAGTCTGAAAATGTCCAAAATTCAGAACAAAACGATTTGGAATCAAAGGAGCGCCGTAAAACAATTTCAAGTTATTGGAGTATTACGGAAGCCAATATGTTCCCATCTTTGTTGATGGAACATGGTACTAAGTGGACCACTATTGCAGATAAGTTGACTACAAAATCGGCAACAATGGTACGTAACTACTTCCAACGTAACGCCGAAAGGCATGGATGGAATGAGGTTGCCGAAAAGGCGGATGAACGATTACAAGCTAAATTTGCAGCGGTGTTAAATACACCTTCAGAACCGAATGCGACACAAGATCTGATCGCAGAGAAGTATCCTATTCATCCATCTCAGCCTCCTGTTATCAGTACTTCTATAACTCCAACTGCAGCGCAATCCGCTTATATCCCAATAGGAACTTTCCAACATGTGCAGTCAACCCCACAGAATCACTCGTCAGCTTCACCTTCTCTCCCTCCACCTTCCCTGGTGCCATTGAATTCAATCAACAATAAACCAATTTATAGTAACGTCTCAAATGACCCCAATGCTAACGGGAATCATGGTAATGTTCTCAACAATTCTGAAATAAAAAAAGAAATGAATGACAGGTCTCAACATCCTTCTACTATAACTTCAATGGTAACCAAACCAGTCGGTCCTCATTCGCAATTACCACGTTCATCAATAATGAGTTTACTTAATTCTGACTCAAGTCCAGTCAAGTCTGAACCACCAAGAGCCGTTAATGACTTGAAATCCTTACTTAATTCCCCATCGAATAATAGCTTACCGTCGCTTAATAAGTATAGCACTCCTCCATCAGGAAATGGTTTGAATGCTTTACTTTCTGCGACTACATCATCTAAACCAGATGGAAACGATGATAAGGATGAAAAGCAATGATTTTTTTCTCATCATTATTTAATCTTTTTTATTTCCGTTGCAAATGTATTATATTTAGTTAGTTACAGCCTGATATACCTAATACTTGTACAATAGTATAGCAAGGTTGAATATATTTATTCATATTGATCATAGTAGGGAACAGACATGATTACATAATGTGTCGCTTTTTTTTGTAAACTACGTCGTGTGATGGCCAAGAAATTTTTCATAATAATGTTCATAAACTTCAGTATATATATTAACCTTTATCGAGTAATATTACAGTTGAACTAGTTCATAACGTAGCATAATGTCGGTAAGGCTGTTATATGGTATAAGTGGATTGAGAGTCTCCACTAGGGCATTCTCTAGAACCGCATTTAGATTACAAGAACAAGTCAATCAAACACAAGAATCCATTGACACTGAAATCAATGGAAGACCATTAGTTCCTGCCAACTTGAAAAATGCAAAAGGTGAAAGACTTATGATTCCTTCTAAATTACAGGAGAATGCGTTAAGGAACTATGAATTAGAAAGATTAAGAATCATTCCTAAATTGAATACTTTCTATGGTGGTAACCCAGTACACGAAGAGAACTTAAACACTTTGAATGCACTTATCAGAAAATACATCAACCTTCCAACTAGAATTGTTGATGACAAGGAGATACAAAACACTAAGTTTGTGTCTTTTGAAGAATATAAGACAAGAATCCAGTCTGGTACTAGACTTAAACCTATTCACCACAAAGAATTGACCCAGTTATTACATAGGTTAAGAAGTATCGATCCGGAATTAATGCCAAGGGAAGTTTCTGATGCATTGGCAAAATTTGCAAACACCTCTAGTGAATCAGCCAAAGCTGCGCAGAAATTGAAGACTTTGGATGAGTTTGGTAGAGCTATAAGTCTTGGTAAGAGAAAGAGATCAGTCGCTAAGGTGTACTTAACCAAAGGTGACGGTCAAGTTATGGTCAACGGTAAGTCTTTACTTGAATACTTTCCAAAGGAAGCTGACCGTCGTAGAATTGCATATCCATTTCAAGTTGTTTCACAAGAAGGTCAATATAATGTATTTGCCGAAGTTCAAAGTGGAGGATCTACAGGTCAAGCTGAAGCAGTAATGTACGGTATTGCCAAAGATTTAGTTATTTTTAACCCATTATTGAAATCAAGATTACATAAGTCTGGATTAATGACTAGAGATGCAAGAAAGGTCGAAAGAAAGAAGCCAGGTAAGGTCAAAGCAAGAAAATCGCCAACGTGGGTTAAGCGTTAGGTTTCGTTATATAATAGGCTTACTATGTCCTTATATTCATGTACATATCATATAATCAATAAATACGTGTATTCATTATTTATCACACAAATCCTCTAAATAGTTTAAAACTGATTCTAATTCGCCCTTTTCATATTTAGGTACTTTACCTTGAAATGAACTACCTTTACCACCACCCTTCAATCCAGAGATTCTCTGTTTTAATTCGGCCTGTATCTCGGTCGCTTTGGGTCCCATTATCTTAATCATTCCTCCTGTACCAGATTGATAGTCACCATTGATCAATACCACAGTTTGAATTTTGTCTAAATCTATCCCACAATGTTTATTGTCTTTTATTAATGTGCTTAATTCCTTTTGAAAAGCAGTAATGTATTCCGGGCTATTGTCAGACCTATAAATAAATTCCGTTTTTTCGTTCTTTTCTTTGAAAGCATTGAATGTTCTATTAGCTTCGATTCCAGCTAATTCTTTTAACAAATTTGATTCTTTAGCAGTAGATTTCTTATAATTCAAATTTAAGACACCAACTTTTTCTGCCACTTCTTCTATTTGACATGACAATTGACCACCTGAAACAGCCTTTAAAATTTGATGTTGTTTTATCAAATACTTATAAACTCTTGAACCACAAATAAAATGTAAACGAGAATTGCCTCCTCTGACGTTAACCTGATGTAACAAGGAGATCGCCTGAATCTGTGAAGTAGACGACAAATGGGTACCACAGCATGGATTTGAATCTAATTCTCCAATCTTAACAATTCTAATAATACCTTTAGACGTGTCATAATCATCAGGTATATGGGATGTATCGATCTCTTCGCCATGCTCATCAGGTGTAACTACTTTAATTGGCAATCCTTCTAAAATATAGTCGTTCACCTTTTTATTAATCTCTTCAACAATCTCATCACTAACCTTCCTTGGAAGCTCAATGTAGTTAATCATTTCATTTAAAGACCAGCTCAAGGTTTCCAAGTCATATGTGTCTAACACCGCAGACAATAAATGCTGACCAGTATGCTGTTGCATAAGATCTATCCTTCTATCCCAGTCTACCAGTAAAGTAACTTTCGTCCCTGGATCTATCGGAGAAGGAACTATATGAAGTGCTGTTAGTTGATTTCTTAAGACCATTTGCACTGGAAGTATATTATTATTTGGTAAAACAATAGAGCCAGTATCAAATGGTTGTCCACCACCCTCAGGAAATAGAATAGTATCAGCTAACTCGACAGCATATAATTCCTTTTCTGGTTCAATATTTTCATTTCCTTTCTTTTTATTCTTGTTTTGTTTATCTTGGGAATTCTGGGGTTTATGTTCAAAGCATGAAATTACAACAGTTTGTAAATTTTTCAAAAATGAATTTTTTTGGCAAGCCAAAGCACCAACAATAGTGGATGAACTAACGGTCATATCTAGTGGAAGTATGAGATATATGTGTACTAGTGTATGTCTTTGAAATTTTTTTTGTATTTATGAGTAATCTCGATTATCTGCTTTCTGGTTGATCAATGCGCTATATACTTTTCAAACGTAATTCCACAATATTCTTTCAATCCTTCAATTCTACAAATACCATGACAAAATTTGAAATCACTCCCGCATTAAGAGAGTTTATTGATAAATCAGAGATACCTGTTGAGTTAGCAAGTAATCTATTGTCAAATTCATATATATCCCATCAAAATTTAGTGCTGTTCTATAAAGATTATAAACCAACTCCTACTTTAATTGCACTCATTAAAAGTACAAAACTCTATACTCCTAACCTCAATGTAAGTAACAAATCGACACCCAAGTCAAAGGAATTCATCAAGTCAATGGAACGACTCAGACTAAAGGATAAGGAAGAAGAATATCAAAAATTAATTAGACCAAAACTAGAATTTAATACCTTGTACGATAACAGTCTGGAAGAGATGATAACACCAGCCCAGGCACACAAGGAGTTAAAGAGTCATTTGACTACAATTGTCAATATTTTAATAAGTGTTGGTAGTGTGGTTTATGCTATTTGGTACTGGACAGATAGCTCAATGAAGTTACAAGATGGTTATAGGGTTTTATTATGTTTATTCTTTGGCGTGTTAGTATTAGTCGCTGAGGTTGTGGTCTACATGAGTTATTTGAATAAAATTGAGGAAGCAAAAGTTAAAGAACGAAATAAGTTAGAGGTTAAAAAACTTGTAAGGACTCTTGAATGAGAATATAGGTATAAACTTCAGTCAATGCTGAGTTATCGAAGCAAATGGTGGATGAGGTGGCAATTCTTTTAGTATATCTGTCATTACTTTTTGGTCTTCACTTTTCTTATTGCTCATAATTCGCTGCTGTTCGAGTTGCAAAGTTCTGTAATAACTCCACTTCATTATAATTGTCATTATATCCCAAGATCTAAAATCGGGCCACAAAGTATCAACAAATTCGATCATACAGTTATAATTACATTGCCACAACATAAAATCACTTAGTCTGGTATGACCACTCGTTCTGATTAATATGTCTAATGGTGGAGTGTTTGGACCCATGTACATGTTATTAGTTAACGTTTCCAAGGTGATATGTTCATTAGATTCTATTTCTTTTGATTCAATCTTCTCAGCAATACTTTGAATTGAATGAACTATATCATCACGCGAAGTGTATGGAAAACAAACATTCAATACTTTAGCGGAAGGTGCGTTCTTAGTTCGGTCTTCTATATCTTCTAAGTCTTTCAATATGTCGCTTGGTATCATTGTCCTATTTCCGATTATTCGAATTCTAATATTGTTAAACCTAGCATATGATTCTTCTTTCTCGGATATAAATTTTAATCTATCTCTTAATAAAGCAAACAATGTATCGACCTCTTCTTTAGATCGATTGAAATTCTCAATAGAAAAAGCATAAACCGTAACATGGAGAATCCCAAGCTTATAGCAAGTATTCAATACCTATATGTGTTAGTAATTTCTTTCTATATCCTTTCTTGATATCTTGACATACCTGAATCAAAGAATCAGCCCCCGCGCTATGGCCGTCTTTTAGCTCTATATCTTTGGATTTTGCGTATCGTCTATTCCCATCCATAATTAGGCCGATATGCTTAGGAATTGGTGAAGTTCTCATCATGGAAACGATAAAATCCTTCACTAATTCTATAGCATACGTGAATAAAGGGAACGTGAACACCAATGATGTAACTTTGCTAGACATTTTTATCCAAATGAAAACAATAGGAAGAGTATTTTAATAAACAGAAATAGCCGCCAATTAGAAGCGAGATTTCACTATTTATATATCCCTTTCTATGTGGTTGCAAACTATTTCTCACCATACTAATTTATGCCTTCATTATAATTATTCACATTGTAAGTTTTTACCACTAATCCACTAACAAACTTTACTCAGGTATATCTGCTGAGTACTCCAATATACTTGAATAGTGGGTGTTATCAATTTTAATATTTAAGTCTTTTTTTATTCGAATATGTCAAGGTCTCTATGGTTCAAAATTCAGGCCTGCGCACTTAGACCAGATAAGAAGAGGGTTTGATGGAATTTACTACGTTCATTCTATTTCAATATTATGAGGCAAGGCCTTCTCTTCTAGAAAGATTTCAGAAGGGTAAGTAATAAGGATAAATACAAAGAACCCAAAAATAGAACTGCACGCTTGTACTGAATATTTATTGACATATATAGGCTCTGCAAATCTTGGAATGCAATTAAATGCCAAGTTGGTAGATACTACAGCTTGCTAGAAATTAATTGACACTTTTCAGATTAAACAGGTAATTCACAGCATATACATAAACTCCTTCAGTTATTCTATATTAGATCCCATCCACTATTAGAGTGAAAAATTATTCTGTATATAAGTTTTCCCCCTCCCCCCATTACTTATCCACAAAATCAATGTTTACAATTTGGCTCTGTTAAGAACTAATTGATAAAACTTTTCTTTTATTTAAAAGATATCGATTAATAACTACTACATAAACAGATCGTAGCAGCTATGTCATCATATAGAAATACAAAGAAAACTTCGTTCAATGGAGATGCGGATCCATTTATCGATGTTTCTGAATCCAGAAGAAGACAATCCAAAAGGGACGATGCTATAAGAAGAAAAATTGAGAATGATTTAAGTAAGAAAAAGAAGAGTGGAACTAGGACAACAAGACATAAGAAGGGGGTTCCAGGTACAGTGTTATCGTTGAAGCCATCCGAGCCAATCATTTGTAAAACAAGTTCGACGGTTTATGAAGTGTCGCAATTGATGTCAGCCAAGAGAGAAAATTGTATATTGGTAGTGAATGATATTGGAGAATTATTGGGTATTTTCACAGCCAAGGATTTAGCCTTTAGAATAGTCGGAGCTGGATTGAGTGCCACTCTGGTGACAATAGATCAAATTATGACGCCAAACCCAATGTGTGCTAACTCTGATACCCCTGCCTCAGAAGCGTTGAATTTAATGGTGCATAAAGGTTTCAGGCACTTGCCAGTTTTGGACGAAAATAACCAAATAGTTGGGGTGTTGGATATCACAAAATGTTACGCCCAGCAGATGGAAAAATTAGAAAGAATGCATGCTTCTTCCAAAAAGTTGTACGAAGCATTGGATAATGTTCATTCGGAGATGGGAATGATGCAGCAACCTTTACATGTTTTTCAATATTTTGAAAACTTGAAGAATAAAATGAATGGGCCTACTTTGGAAAGTGTACTAGATGTTACCACCACCCCAGTATACACCACTGTCAAAACGACTGTGTATGATGCCACAGTATTGATGAAAGAAAACAAAACTACTGCAGTGTTAATAAAAGATACCAACGAAGAGGTGGCAGGAATTTTCACTTCCAAAGATGTTGTATTAAGAGTTATCGCTGCTGGGTTGGATCCAAAAAAATGCTCAATCGTGAGAGTGATGACTCCGCAGCCTGATATTGCTAAACAAGATTTATCTATTCAAGAAGCTTTGAGACAAATGTTTGAAGGTCGTTATTTGAATTTGCCGATTATCGGAAATGAGAATGACATTGTCGGTATAGTTGATGTTTTGAAATTGACATATGCCACTTTGAACCAAATCAAACAAACTGAAAGTAATGATCTTATCAACAGCGATGGAAAATCTGGTAGCGAAACTGCAATCAACAGCGAAGGTCCTGCTTGGAACAAATTTTGGACTTCTTTGGATAATGATGATTCAGATTCTGTCCATTCAGACTCCGTTACGGGTACCGGAAGTGCTCCTCCTGATGTGACTCCTTCTGAATTTCATTCGTTTAACGTTGATATCAAACCCTCTGATTCAATTTCGCACACTGAATCTCCTAAGAAATCATCAAATTTGAACAATTCTACATCTGATTTATCGTATACGTTTAAATTCAAGTCGCCTGCAGTAGAGGGACGTGTCCATCGGATTTCATTAAAACCAAGTGAAGGTGTAACTAAATTAAGAAGTTTAATGGATAGCAAATTGTACGCCAATGACTTTGAGTTTTTGAGAGTGGTTAAAAATGATCAAGATGGTGAAAGCTATGCTATAAGTTATGTTGACGATGAAGGTGATATCGTTTCTATCACTTCTGATACTGACCTTTTAGACTGTGTCAGAATCAACCAACAACTTAATAACGATAAAGCAGATTTATACATACATAATCCACATGAATCTGCACCAGTCAACGAAAAGAAAAAAAACAAACAACCTAAGCAAGAAAAACAAGAAATCTTGAAGGGAATACCCAATGAAGTTTTAATTCCTGGTGCCTTAGCGGTATTAGCCACCTCTATTATTGTCGGCTTTACAATGGGCAAAAAATAATTGCTAGTTTCTATAATTTAACTATTATTTATTTAAATATTATATACATGTGTACCTATTCGGTTAGTTAAGAGAAGCCTCCTTAGCCTTTTCGAGGAGTTCATTATATACGGTTTCTTGTTCTTCTTTGGATAATTCTTCATTTAAGTAAACATTAGGAGCAGTGAAATCTTCACGGCGAAGAACAATAGCATTTGGATTCCTTTCATCGGTCCATCTCGTGGAAATTAAATCACATAATTCGTTATATAAAGCATCTAAAGTATGCGATTTGGTCAAGACGTAGTCATTGATATCAAACCCTAAGTTCTGCTGTAAAAGCTTAGAAAATTTAAATCTAAATTCCAAGTCATTCAAACTAATTGATGAATAATCACCATTTAATTCTATACCGTTTACTTCTTGATATGTCTTGTTGATGACGTTTTGTAATAATTCAGGTGAGTAAGTATTCTCGATATCTTTATTTCTCACAATTTGGTTTTTCCATTGTGAAACTTGGAAATCTGGCATCTCTTCACTGGCAATAAATGGCTTGAATTCAGGAGAATTTTCTTCATCCAATATCACAATTTTTGAGTCTTGGTCTGTTTCATAGTTATCTTGATTCTGAATTATATCTTCTCTCTGTTTCAATTGTTTTGAACCAAAAAAGTTACTGATGAATGGCCTTTGAACACTTTGGGATAATGGCCTTATGCTTATATGACGCGATACAATACAACGTGTTTGTCTGAATAATAATGATGACATTCTATACTAATCTGATCTATGTGTTGAAGTTATGATTAGTGGTAGTAGTATGAAAAATTATTGAAAATTTAGGAATAGAGGTTACACAAAATATAAGTATTTACCCGGATACCTGGGATATTTTAACTGCAAAATATATGGCTATAAAACAACTACTTTAAATGATTGAATATAACAAGGTCTTCTATTGAGTTACGTTTGCCAGTATAGATATCTCAAAGATTGCATAGTTTAAAAAGTATTTAAAAAATTACAATATTTCAAACATCTCACTTTAATCTCTAATGCAAAGAGAGTAAACTATGCTTATTGTTGATATCTTATACAAAGAGAAATACATGCTGAATCTGTATAAAGGTGGCATATACCGTGTTAGTTATTCTATTATTAATTTGCTAGAATGATCATCGGCATCTTAGATTAACGATCGTTCTCATTAAAACTAATTGCGTTGGGGTGTTCAACAAATATGTTTTATGTTTCTACAAGTTTAGAAGTGAAGTAAACGGATGTTTATTCAATATGTAGGATATTTAGGTCGACATAACAACATTGATAATGAACTATAGTCACTATTGAAATAAATTTCAAAGTAACTTGTCAGACAGCCACTTACACCCACCCAAGTTTAAAACATCCGAAGAAGTATATAAAAAAGGGTAAAGATCATCGCTCCTTTTGTAAAAATGAGGAATAAATTCCAAATCTTCAAGATAAAAGGCAAACAAATAATAGATGACCGAATCGCTAAGGATTACAGACAAGCTAAATATAGTTCTCACTTTGAGGGTATAAGGGTATCTCACTCATCAACCAAGTTGGATTCAGTGGCTCTTTTGAAGAGTCAAAGAGGGACGTGACCTATAGAAATGATCCTATGAAGTACGTCGACAAAGAAAAAAAGAGAAAACATTAAATAAAATTTTATTCGATGCCCTTTTATAGTATTCTCGCGGACTCTGAGCCATACGGTATACACATATATGCAGTCCATACAGAATTATTATGAATTATGAATTATTATGGGATTACTGATATAGTAAAATATATATGCTAGGCTATTTAATCGTATGATGTTCATTTGTCTTCTGATGTCGATCATTCGAGTAGTACAATTCACCGGATTAAATTTATCGTAAATGTAACAATCGTCCTTTTAAATATCATAATGTGTTATGCTATAGCCCTAATTTAAAAGATTTTTCTCATGCGTGTATGGTTTCACAAGTGTCATTGAATAATGCATCTTTATCAAGTTTGTTCTTTAAATATATGCAAAAATTAAATCCGTTTCTTGGATTTATAAAATTTGAGAGTCATTAATCCAAGTACACAGCAGAATAGTAACCCTGCACTTGAATTTTGATACTCAAAAAATGAGCCATCAGCTGAAATTTGACTATTCTTTCCTTGGATTAGATGCTGAGTATTCCCAAGTACTTCTAGGTTTTCCATTTTTGTCTCTGAAAACAACATTTCAGAGTCAATTGTTCTTTTAGAATTAGAAGAATCCTCTGTCTCTACGGTTACTTCACCGATATCACACCATCCATTAACAGGAAGACAATTGATATATTTGCACCAAGAACAATTATTGTCTATAGGATTTTCACCACCATTAAAAAAGTTCTTTACTAACAAGGCAATATAAACTATAGCCAATACTAAGCTCATTACTCTTATACCACACCAAATATAAAATTTGGACGGTATTTTGTCTTCCCAGTTGTACATCGGGTTCCAATTATTCCTAAATTGTTGCATTGTATCATCTCGTGCGTGATAGGTAATGATTCCATCGACATATACAAAAAATGGATCTGGTAACAAAAGGATAGCCATGAGAATACCCATTGCAAACCCCCCTATATGACTGAAATTGTCCATTCCCGGCAAGAGCCCTAATACTAATGATATGACAATTTCCATAATCATGATAAATATGAACAACCCATACTTTTTAGTTCCATATATATTAGTGTTCTTCTTCCCACAGTAAACAAACATTATTATATTCGTTGCCACCACCCCAAATAAGGCACCAGAAGCACCTGTTGATGCGATACCATTTGGCGAGAAGTTAGCCCCCAAAAGAAAGCCTGATATACCACACATCAAATATATGATGGCATACTTTATAAACCCTATACTTCTCTCAATGGAAGCCCCCATTGTGACTTGTAATAATAGGTTAAACAATATATGCAAAAAACCAGCATGTAGAAACATTGGTGTTATAACCCTATACCATTGGTGAGGTTTGTAAACATCATCCTTTACCGGTATACCACTTAATCCACACAACTCATTTAATGAACACACATTTGTTTCAGTGGTAGTCGAATTAGGGCATGGGAAATTAATAGTCGTATCATTGGTTATACCCTTAATAGGTTGCATACATGGTGCATAACGAGCACCCATATTTATCATCAAGTATGTAGATGGACCCAACATCGGATTAAAATAAGGTTTGGTTTGAAATGCTGAACCTGTCAAACTAGACATCTTGGCTAATTCTGCAATAAATACACTCACTTGAATTAATGTCACTAGCATCGTAAAATATGGTAACTTTGTATAATGAAATCTTGGCTTTCTTCTCAACTGTCTCAACCTGGCTTTCTCATTCTTTCTCATCTTCTCGTATTCGTCGTCAACGGGTATGGGAGGCTGTTCTCTATGTGGTTCAAAAAGATTGTATTCTTGTTGTGGAAATTCAGGTACTGACTGATCTCTAAACGGATTTTCTTTCGGCCTATCATAGCTATTATATGGATAGCCTCCTTGGCTTGGATTAAACGGATTCTCGGCTGAGCTGTTATTAATGCTGTATGATGATTGCAATCTGTCTAGTTCATATTCATGCGTATTTGCGTTCGAAGTGTCTGAATTTTTTGAAATGCCAGAATAACCCTTAGACTTTGGGTACGGTGCTAAATTAGTGGTATCACCAAATACAAATGAGCTATCGTCTTCGTCCGTAACGTAGCTGCCGTTACCTCTTAAATTGTCCTTAGAATGATGGGGATTTGCATTCGATACAAATTGATTCCTCAACTCCTCTGATCCCATCCGATCATGAAAATGATTTGTATTAGAAAACATATTTTGCTTTATGCAATCACGAATTCCAACTCCTGTTGTCAAATCTGTCTAATCGGAGTACAGGATTTAAGATCAAGATGTTGTCCGTAAATACTGATTATACATTAATGTCGCGTACCTCCCTGAGACAAGGCTATGATACTATATACAAACCTCATTTGTGTTCAATACAAAATATAGCCTTACACAGTAGTTTACGTCCTATTATAAGTGAACATATAGTAGCTTGACGATAAAGTTAGTATATTATATATCTCTATATACCCTATGTTACAATTATTCCTTAAATAAACTATCGTTAGCTAAAGGATCTTTCTTCAACACTTGATCTCTTCTCTTCAACTTCTTTTCCAAAGCAGCAGAAGCTCTGGACTTGGCTTGTTCTGCGGCTTGTTGTTTCAATTGAGCTCTAACAAAGTTAGGAGAAACGTATTCCTTGTTTTCGTAGATCTTTGGGCCACCAAATGAACCTTCTAAAATGGTGATTAAGGTCAAGACAAATCTTGGACCGATTTCGACTAAAGATAATTCTTCAGGGTTCAATTCACCAGCATCTTTAGAATCGACAGTTTCGTTGATCTGGTAGTTACGGATCCAGATTTTGTTATCGACTATAGAGAAGGTCATAACGTGGTCAACGAAAGGCTTCGATTTCCTGGCATTAGGAGGAACCCCAAAAGTATGCGTGAATAATTCTTTTAATAATTTATGGTGGTCGGTGTTTTCGAACGACTTGTCGAAACTCAATATTGGTCTGGAACCTTTCAAGCAGTTACCGGTGAAGTTTAATTCATCTAAGGTGTGCAAGTTTTGAATGTGAAATTTTAATGTAGGACCATTTGGAGGCTTCGAAATCCATAAGTATAAATCTTGATGTTTTCTAGACTCGAAAAAAAAGATGTTATTACAATTGTACAACTCAGCAACTTCGTTCAACTGATACAAGTTCTTTTTGGAATCGAATTTAGGCTCTTTTCTAGCGTGTGGTAAAAGTGCAACCAAATCACTAATCAAATGACGATGTCTGTAAGTAACACCACGGGATGATATCACCAACAATCTTTGTCTATTTATATGCTTGGCCTTTTCAGACGTCTCCTTGGACGACTTGGATTGTAATGCTTTGTAAATAGCTGACATTCTATGTGGAGCTATGGGAGATAAGTACTTGATGGGTTTTTTCAGATATCTCTGCTCATCGGTATTTTTTTTTACTATACAATCAAAAAAATATTACACAAATCTCAAAAAGTTCGTACCATAAATATTAGTTTACCCGGACCATCTGACTATTTACTATGGCTAACTAGCCTAGATAAACGATAATATGTGTCTTATATTTACAACAAAAGCCAATTTTATGCTACCACAGGCTACTGAATGACGGATACATCCCGGTGACAAAATCTTAATCGAATGATATGTCTGTATCTTCGCTCTACACAACCTTCTTGAACACACTACATTTCACTATCAACTGAACTTTTATTTTCATCCTTGGAAGTAAATAAATAACCTATACCTTTGTACACAGACGGAAAACAGATACCGATAAAAAAACTTCAATAAAACGTAGAACTCTTTGTCGTACAGCAGACCCAACCATCATGTACAAAAGCTATCGTCAAAAGAAACAAATATATGGAAACAACGAAATAAAGCAAAAAAAATGTATCTTCTAGAATCTAGCATCCACTGTCTAATGTTTTTCTTCTGCTGAGTGCTTGGCTAACCACTCTTGGACAAATTTTTCTTCTTCCTTGGAGGAGGCATTAATTTGAGGGTGATTTGGTGCTGGTGGACCCCATGGCTTTGGTGCAACAACCAAAACAACAGATCCTAAAGTAGCCAAAGCTAATTGATGAGATGCAACAGATTTACCGAGAATAGAATAAGCACCCATTTTATGTTATTTAACGAATTATTTGAATGTAATCACTAGTAGTTGAATATATATCTGGTGGATCGCCGGTTATTCTCAAATGAAAAACTTCAATTGGTTGACACACATTGGTCGAGATTCTGTTATGTAATCTGGTTCGGGTATTCGGGTGTGTGGATGTCATCTTGCTTTTGGTGTAAGGATGTTAACCTAACTTTGGTGTAAGGATGTAAGGTACCACCGGTTCCCCCAATACTAGGGAGGCATCGATTTAATTGTTCAGTATACTTTTCTAGTTTGCGTTTGCACTGCGTTATGCGTTTGTGATATGTATCCTATGTTATATTTTTTTGTTTAGTGGGGGATATTTGTGGCTTTTTGGTTGCATTCGGAGACTACAACTATGTTCCAGCGTTACAATTATGATATTAATCATCCAGTGAAAATACCAGAATTATGAGTCTACGGGGAGCTAATTATGGGATTGAGTGTACAACTATACGTCAGAGTCTCCAGGACCTGCGAGAACCAGTCTGTGAGCAGTATCATGACCACTTTTACAAAAATTCCCAATTTCCACAAATCGAATCTGAAATCAATTTTTCTACATCTGCATCCGTAGTTTCTGGTGGACCCAGGTCTAGGAATAACTTACATAAATTATATAGAAGACTAAAGTTATTCAGTCGAAGGGACAATAAAAATAGACCTGCGAAGGACAGAAGCAACCGCGTGTTCCCTAGCAAGACATTTCGCATTAAAGAGGATACGGCAGAGGAGATAACAAAAACCCGGTGGCATGTTTGGAATACATTTACCAAAAAAATGCGGGTAAATTCATCGTTATTCTCCCCATCACTTACTCTATTTGACTACGCTGATAATTCATTAAGCTATTCCCCACCTCCACCAGCCGGAGGTAGTTCCGTTAATCTAGATCAAATGTTTCACTCACTAGACCCTAGAGCTGAGGATAAAAGCCCAACTAACAGTGCGGGTTTCACATCTGCACATCCTTAGTTTTTTTCGGATGGTCAAAGTTTCTTTATACCCGACCCCTCAGCCGTCGGTTCCCATTTTTCGCTGACCTCTGCAATGGAATAGGGGCTGCAACCAATTTAGATAACGGTCACTAATCTATCGTTTAATAACTGCCAGTGCTTCATGTCGGGCATGCATACTTTTGCCCCATCCTACCTATTGGCTCGCGCAACAACTAATCGCTAACTAGTTAAATACTATAATATTAATCTTTGGCCAGTCCGTTCTTGCGGACTTTTTTATCCGGGTTAACAATTTCTGGGAAAGATCACGGCTGAGCTAACCCGATATCCACAGATCGCATTTATTCGGGAACCTGACTGGCTTAATACATGCATTATTTGCATCAGACATACTATATGTTTCTTAGACAATCAGAGCCCCATTTAAGCGTATTCTTTTGTTGCTTAAGTTAACGGTGCATATGTATAGTAACAATACAGAACGGCTTTGTGTTAAAACAGTCCTAAATAAAAAAAAAAGAAATTTGTGGTTCCGATTACATAATCATCCACAACAGCAAAGAATTAGACAGATTAAATTCCTACTATCTAAGAGAGATTGATACTGAGAATAACGACCTTTAAAAGCATTAGCATACGGGAAAATAGTAGATTCTAGGCCCATTATATCACAACGAACCGGCAAGGACAAATTCAGTTTGAATAAAGTACATATTGATATACAAAGAATACATTATTAAGTTAAGTAAAGAACATAGCATACATAACCGCCATAGTTGTGAGTAAGAGAAAAGAAAATACATAAGACTTCCACCATGGATGGCATAGCAGTAATCAAAGATAGTTTGCTGTACGAATATGTCGAGTCGCTATGTAGGAGGCTACAATCACTTCTTCCGAATAGGACTGGGTATACCATAGCAGAAGTGGAGTTGAACCCACAGTTTGTGATTACCAAGAACTTGCTAGACAAGGGCAACATAAACCCGACGTTAGATAGCAACAACGATACGGTATTTGTGTCAAACGTATTTGATTGTTTTTGCGGGATGCTTAACAATATCAACAAGGAGTCCAACTTGATAAAGTTACGAGATAGAGATGAAAAATCGTTGTCATCAACACTCATCATATTGAAACTTTTGGCAGACATTATAGAACATAACTGGCGCCTGAAAAAGGCTATCAACGACTTCAAGAATGAAATTTTTTCGTCTAATTGTGAGTTGGCCTCAAATTATGCAATATTCTATCATTACTCACCTCCTCCTCCATTAAATACACCGATAATACATCCAACCATAGATACGTTATTATCTTTACTTTCTCCACTGGTAGTACGGAAGGTATTGACTCTTCTAAGATCAAATCAAGCTGAAGGAATGGACTTGAATCATTTTTATAGAAGTCTCAATAATAATCATTCCCATCATTATAATTATGCAACAGAAAGTACAAGCTCGAATATTGGCACATCGACAGGTGATAATGATTCCGTAGGTAGCGGTAATACAGAGGCCCCTACAGGTGGCCGTGAATTTATCACGAACTATGTTAATGATATTGACAATTACATAGAGATTGCTCTTAAATTTATCGCAGCTTCAAATCCGGAGGAATATTTTGACTATATCGATGCAAAGCTTTTTAAGTATTCCAGAATGGGTGAGTTGGTTCCATTGCCAGCTTTGCAAAAATATTCCCCATTAATGAAGCACATATTTTACCAAGCCTCAGTTGGAGAAAAGACTTCACGAGAAATTTACAAAGTTTTACCATATATTAAATCTCATTATTGGAAATTGGCCTTTATGGTTTTCTTTGCAACAAGTATCAAGGATCAATGTTTTTCAAGACCAGAGGATTACCAAGCATTATTAACCCCTGGCTGTGAAATAGAGCTTGGTATACGAGTTTTATTTGATTACATCCACACGATTATAGAGGAATCGCCATATTCAGGCTGTAGTTCGATTATTCAAAGTTGGTTAGGAGTTCTTTGCGTAAGTGATTTTATTGAATTGGAGAATAAGCCAAATAAATTGAGAATTGCATTTAATAAAAGGTTGAAGTTTTTGAATACTACTTTAAAAGATGCATCGTCAATGACCAATTTAGATTCTTTTGATTCATTAATCAATATTTTTCACTTAGGGGCAGCCTTGACTAATACAAGCGGTTTCACAAGTGAGCATTCAGTGTACAAATTTTCGTTAGCTCATTTGGATGAAACTCATGATAACTTGAATAAATTAATAAGCAGAACTAAAAATGATGATTTGAAACAATTACAAGATAATCTATTGATCAATTTTTATATTGCAGCATTAATGATCAAGCCAAAGAAATATATGAATATCTTGGTTGCTAAGTTTAATGAATCAATGACGGATATGAGACAAGCAAGAATATTAATTAAAACGATTAAAGGGATATCTGAATTTGAAAGAACTACAGATATATTTAGACAGTTAATTACTAAATTAGCGGTGTTTTTGAAATCTATGATATTCTATTTAACTAGGTTTTTGACGCTTCATGGCCATTCAGAAGAGTTTTCCACCGAATTCCATCTGAATGATAGCACGAGTGCCGTACAAAGTAACGAAGAATGTGGCAATCAAGGTGGCAAGTATGATGAGGATGTGCACATTGACTCGAATCAATCTTCAATATTGAATCTTGATCGTTATATCACAGAATTATCACCATCTTCAACTATACGAGAATCACTCAACTCAATTGACAATATTATAACAAATATGAGTATGGACATATCTACATATATGCAACCGTCTCTTGCATGTTTTGAAGAATCTCAATTAATGTTCAGTGCAGAAAGAATGTTATCTGACTTGTTTGCGATATTTATTGGTGCTCCAGAACTTTATTTCAATGACTTTGAATTAATGAATGACATACACTTGGCTAATACAGACAAAGATGAAATTCGTAGAAGAATTCGTATATTTGCATACGAAGTTACTATTCCTTTGCAGCACGCATTCCAGACTAAGAGTTCACTCGAAGGCACAATGCTATTTGATTCCGCGTGTGCTTTAACTATGACGTTATTTGATAGGGAGAATAAGATTTCAAAGAATTATACAATAACTTCGGCGTATGGTAACTACCTAATTTGTATTAATATCATTCAGTCTATCTGCGAAGCGTGCTTACATTTATCGCTTACCGATTCAAAATTCAAATCATGTTTTTTATTTTTGAATAGATTTATGCAAGCAAGGAAAGGTTACGATGAAATTGTAAATGCAAATGAATTAATAAATGATACCTCCAGTCATTTGAGTTGTGCAAATGTGTTTCATTCATTCGAGAAAATACTACTTTTATCTTTGTGCACTCATGATATTCAATTTTACAATATTGCCAAGGATTCTATGCGGTGGTATTGCAAGGAAATAAACTCTAGTCTTCATTACAATGAATGCTGCTGTCCAGAAAACCTAAGTGAAACATTTGAAAAGGTAATTAATGATGATGCGGTATTCACTGGATTTGTTTCATTGCATAAGAGATTTAGAAATATTTTGAGAGAATCAAAACCAACTAAGTCTCTCTATGAGATTTGGTTGATAATCTACAGAAGATGGTTGGAAAAATTGGAAAGCAAGAGCACTGTTAATGATCAAAATTTAGTTTTCCGTCATTTTACTGGATTCTTAGTGTCAACCTCTGGATGCTTCTTACAAAAGGAGTTTTCATCTAATGACCCAGAGCAAAAATTAAAGCTGCAGGAGTATATTTCTGAATTTTTTGATAAATGTACCAACTTGCTAACTTCAAATGACTTGGTAATTAGGGTTATTATTAAGGATGCGTTGTCTATGGAGTCGCACTCAGCTGTTTTCCATTTAATATGTATCAAACTTATGAGCATCGCTGGCTCGTATTCGGACAAGAAAATCGCTAACGAAGAAAGTATTTTATTTATGGAACAAGTTCTTGCAATTTTGGCCACTATGGTTGGACTAAAGAATGATGGGGCTTTTGTATTAGCTTCGTTACTTCCAGAAGTTTGTGGGTTTATAATTGATTTTATTAACTTAGTTAAAAATGTACCTGATAACTTAAGATTAAAGCTAAGGTTTTGCAAACTAGGTACTGCCTTAGAAAGTGATAAAGAGTGTGTTGGTCTCCGAGGCGCATATAAGCTAAGGAATTTTTTTGCTAAAGCATCAGCTGAATGGCTTGAGCTGGCAGTTTTTTTTGATGAAAATACCAACGAGGAACCTCCGCTCTCGCAGTCTTTTTCTTTGGATAGTCTGATAAGTTCTAACAAAGACTCTGAGAATGCATACTTAAATATTGATTTAGCAACTGAGTGCTCAAAATGCCTATCATTACAGCTAGAAGATTTACTTCTTGAAATTCCAGATGGTACAAAAGATAAGGATATTCGTAAAAACAAGGATTTGGCATTTGTAAATTATTTATCCTTATTCTACAGGATTCTTCAAAAATATACCTCGTCAGAATTGACTTCAAAACTCACTAAATCAAAGTATAAAGTTAACTTGATTACAGAAAATGTTTTGAAAAGTATATCTAATATTCTACAATATGATACTGATATCGGTATGCAATTCGTATTACCATTGGGATATCATGATAATCCTAAGATTAGAGCAATCTTTTTAAACGTTTTTGCGAATATGTTGGCTGTAAGGAAACTAAGCAAATCGAAGGAGGAATATCCTGATAAACTTTTGACTAATTTGTCTGAATTATATGAGATATGTGGTATAACTGCTGAAGTTGCACCGTTAAATGAGCATAATCTACTAGCGTCATCATTATTTCAATTTTTTGGTTATACCAGAAACTTAGATAAGCTTTTTAGAACTCTTTTAGAACGTGAAATTGATCATGTGTCGAGATCGAGTGAAATTTTTAGAAGGAATAGCACGTTGACAAAGCTATTGTCTAATTTCGCTAAAGATTATGGATTAGATTACCTATCAGAAACTTTGCGCCCATTCATCCAAGAATTAGATTTCAACAAAGTTATTTTCGAAGTTGAGAAATGCGAGCTGGGAGCCGAAGATGCAGAACTATTTATGAAATATTTAAGGAAATTGGTAGACGTAATTCTAAGTTCGATTGACTTGATTCCCTCATCCTTCAAGTACATTTGCGCTGAGATTTATTACTGCGTTAAAGAAAAATTTGAAAATGCTGCATTGATTGCAGTAGGTTCATTCATATTTTTGAGATTTTTCTGTCCAGCTATTATTAGCCCTGAAGCATTTTTTGATATTTCGGTAGAAGACATGAAAGTTAAAAGAACATTAATGCAGTTAGTTAAAGTAATTCAAAATATGGCTAATGGCTCGTTAGGATTGATCAAATGGCCAAGTTTGCATGGTTATCTGGACGAATTAAACATTATAAATCAAAGAATTTTTGACTTTTTAAAAGACATTATAACTTGTCCCCAGGACACTTATCCGTTTCAGGAAATTACTGAGAAGCCAATTCCTGAATTAAGATACTTGCACAGGTTTTTTTATACCTATTTTGTAAAAATTAAGCATCATTATATTTTATCAGATCCGTTAGCAAATATTCAAAATTTACATCAGAAGGTTGAGACTTACAGGCAATTTGATAATTTAGTTAAAGAGTTGGGTCAACCTAAAGCATTGATTTCATTATCAGTATCTTCACCATATAAAAGCTTTGATCCAAATAATAATAGTAGTAATCAGTATAACGAATTCATGGCCAAAATGTCGGCTAACTATACCGAATCTACTGTTGACTGCCCAGTTGTTCATAACTCGATCTTCCATGATGGAACACCTGTTGTAGTGTTGAATTTTGGCTATTTGAAATCGATGAATAATGATATTTACTTATTCACTTACAGGTTATTCGAATTAGTAAGCCAAGTTTGGGATAATAAATACTACTTGGTTATTGACTTCACGTCGTCTCTCCTTGATACACAGGCGCTAGCACTATACGTGTCACTTTTGAATACTTACGCTCCAAACCAATTTTTTAAGAATTGCAGTCGTATTTATTACTTCAATATTCCACAAGTTGAAAGTGGCTGTATCTTAGAGACTATGCGAGCCCTAAGACTCAAAGAAAATAGATCTAGTGCTAGACTCTACACTTATTCACAAGCAGATAGCCCAAGAATCGTCAATAGTTTGTGTTTAAATGAAGAAACGCTTTCTATTTCGAGAGATAATAAATTGGTTTTTAGCGACGTCTTATTTTACGATAAAAGTGCGGAGCAGTTTGTGCCTGTTACACTCAGAATTGGTAGACAATGGTTGCAGGTTTGTTTCAATGATTATTTTTCATTCAATGGACCTGCTTGTGTTACCGAGGGTTTTATGCCAATTGAAATATATAAACTTTCTGACATTACTCGATGTGAAGTTACAAAGTCATCTAATGGACCAACTGATGAATTTATAATATGTTTTAATTATGGTAATACGGTAATTTTAAGATCACAAGAAAGGCTGGAGATTTTGAATTCATTGTATTTCACTACATCAAGAATCCCTAAACAATTGCTTTCAGAAGACAAAGATATTGCTAACCATGAAACAAGACCATATCACTGGTTTAGTAGATTGTACAACGTCACCTTTCAAGGATTATTAAGTCAAGATGAAGAAGTTAAATCTGCTGCTGCAATGTTATTTGCATCATTAGCTACCTATTTTGATATAGACTTGGCGATTCCAAATGGATACTCCAGAAATATCTCGTTTCCGTCAAATATTACTGATTTCATTGTTTCAACCTCGCAATTTCTTGCTAAGAAAATGCCTACAGTGTCTCACAGGTTTTTTAAAGCATTCTTCGATCACTATGAAAAGTTGCCTGTTGAAAATCGGTTAAATGCTACTTTATATATATCACCATGGATTGATAATGTGTGTGATTATATCTATTTAGAGAATGATATAAGTGGACCAGATAGAGTGGCGGATATCATTAGGCAATTTTGCAGGATTTCGTGTCTCAACAAAGAGCAAAGTGCATATTTGAACGATTACATTTGGAAGAAATTATTTAACGACAGCAGACTCACGCCTATTCTAGTAGATGAGATTGTTGCTTACATTATCGATAATAAGAATGAGGGCCCTGATTGGTACTTCATAACGTCATTCATCTCACCATCTGTTGAAGTTTGCAGCGAAGTTATATACAGATTGATTCTGTGTGTGAGTAAAGCAAGCACTACAGATTCAGCAATTGCATCTCAAAGTAAATTATTTGAAATTAAGGTTTTAATAAAGATCTGTGCATCGTTGTTTTTCAATTCTTATGCTTTGGGTCAATTATTTTTGGCCGATGTATTCTTTTTCTGTACACTTTTTATCGATAACCCTGCATTAGATTTTGGTGCTGATTTACAAAAATTATTCATCAACACAATACAGTCATTTTTTCAAAAGCCGGGTTTAACTGAAACGCAACAAACCACAGTTGATGACACACTTTCCTATTTCAGTGGTCAACGAGCTAAAATGTTATTTGGCTTAACAGGGGACAAAAATATTTCTAGGTCCGATTTAAGCCAGTCTTATAATAGAGCAACAAGTTTTGAAGTTTTGTGCCAATATTTGAATGATTTTATGAGAGTATTAGGATCGTCTCATGAGAGGTCAAACTGGAAATCACGTTGGTGTTCTTATGCTATAGATGTTGCCTTTAGTAGCACTTCGATATTTCAAATTAGGGCAATACTTGTGGTTGGAATTTTATCCCAAAATGGAATTAATGATTCTACAGTTTCGAGAATTTTCAAGCTAGTCTGTCAACAGCCAATTACTTCCTTGGATCACCTAAATGGTCTTACAATCAGTTGTGCTCGTATCTGTGAAGGATTGTCGCCAGATTCAGTATTTCCGCATGTAATGGTTTGGCCTCATCTTTGTTATTCATTACTCAGTTATTCTGCGTTGTACCAATCTTCGATTCAATGTCTTTTAAACTCTATGAGTAAAGCAGTTCTTCAAGGACCAGACTACTTGGATAGAATTTTTGAACAACGTGTTTATTTGGAACCATTTGTTACTGAATTTGGACATATGCATAGTATCCAAATTGATAAATCAAATTTCGAGTATTATACCCTTTTCACATTTTCACATGGCTTGAGACTTCCGCATATAAGACACACATCTTTGAGTTGCATGAAGAAATATTTTAAGTTGAGATATAGTATAAGAGTTGATGATGAGATGGAAGAGCTTTCACCTTTGAATATTTGTTTGCCTTATTTGTTGATTATCTTCTTAAGCTCTTCAGATTCGGCATTTGATAGTTTTTTGCGTGAAGTTGACTTTAGAACAGAGCACTTTGTATATATTGAAAATGAAAGAGTTCCAAGAGTCATATTAGATTTTATATTGAGTGATACAAAAGATTCTAATATTGCTTTGATATATTTGGCACATATGTTTGCAAATGAATCTGTTGATACCGTATTCAAACGAAAATTTTTACATTTATATTATCATTTGATCAAGATTTGCAAACCTTTGGGTTTCATGGTTTACCATATAATAAAATCTGAGTTGGAAGATATTTTGATAAATTCCAATTCGACGGATACTGTGAATACTATATCTGAGATACTGCTTTTTGCAATATCTGATGCAACTTATACCATTGAGCGTTACCAACACGAGGTTAATGCAATATTGGACTTGAATCACATAACAATTATAAGGGATCATATACTAGTTAAACAGATGGATGATCTACAAACCGACGATGGATTAAAATTAGACTTGAGTAGAGATGTTAGAATTCTACAAGAAATGATGTATAGAAGTTCGTGCATCTATATCGAGGGCCAAAAATTGGAAGAGTGAGTGTGCCTTTATAGATCTTGCTCATTGATGTGTTGTTAACACCTATTGTATATTTCGTATTATGACTTGATGAAATTTGTATATTAATTACTGTTATATATACTGTAAATTTTATATTACTTAATGTATATAAATTTTTACCTTTAGCCTGTTTTCTCGGCTTTTCTGTTTTGAGTTCTAATGCTTTGTTCAAATTCCTTTCTATGTAATCTGAATAATAACATAGTCGCTCTCGCATCTTCAACTGAAGAATGAGCGGAGCCTTGAATGTCTATTTTTAAGAAATGCAGTGATAATTTTTTTAAACTTGGAGTCTTGCCCATTGAAATGCTTCTGAATGGCTTATATTGAGATGTATCCCTTATTCTTGATTTCGGATGTGATAAAAACAATGCATCCAAATCATGATGTATTGCATGTCCAACCAATATCCTACTTTCTAAAAGTTTAGACGTTTCATTTTGGGCTTCTTGGAAACTTATAGCTTCATTCATGTGCTTCGGAGTCACACCACTAACCCACGTTCTCCAGTCTGTAACTCTTTCTCTTGGCTTCACAAATTTATCAAAAACAGTGTGGCCGTAGAAGTTCACTATTGAGACCCTTGCTAAGGCAGATTCTGTTCCTTCTGGTCCAACTCCTACGAACTCACAGTCCATGGCTAAATATTTGCCTGGTTCCTTTTTTCTAATATCGTTGCCCTGGGGTATTAACGTAATTTTCTCGGTTTCTACTGGTATATCACTTACATTTATGTCATTCTCTTTTGTCCATAATGCTAATTCTATTGGAGAAAGTGTTGATTTTTGTAATGTTGGAGTTACGCTGAGTGAGTTTACAAGCTCTGCTTTTTTTATCTTGTTTTTATCATTTTTTCCTTTCACGGGCTTTTTTGTAACCTTAGATCCCTGGTTAAGTCTGGAGCTTAATTTCTTCCAATTCAGAGATAGGGTGGCAGTCATAATCAATTTTTCTAACAGTAAGCCAAGTCCCTTTTATCGAAATTATCTCAAACTTCTATGCGATGCGATGAGATAAAAACTGGTTCGCGTAGAAACCCGCAAAATACGTATTTACGACTATTAGCTAATAATAATATATGCATTATTACACTGTCAAATTCAAGTCGAATTCAAATTCGACATACTATACACTTGTAAAACCCATTTAATTTTCTTGATGATTTCTTCACACTCATCAACATTTGCAGCTTCCAAATCATATTTCTTTTTGATGGACGAATCTTTGGCATTTGTAGAACCATCCACATGCTTCTTTATAACAATCTTGAAATGGTTTGGATTTTTACTGTTCTTGTATTGTTTTAACTTGGTTATTTGTGTGATATGAAATGAACTTGTTTTCATCATCAGACTGTTGTAATAGTTCGAATAATTATAATGATGCAAATAATGATGATAGTGATGCGATTGACTATGATTCTGTTGATTCGATAGAAACGGATTCTCACTTGGATTCTTCTTCCAAACCATGACATCTGATGGCGTTAGATGAATGTAGTCACCATCTATAATTAATGTTTTTTCGATTTTGTTTAAAATAGTTGGCTTTTTTCTCCATACTTTCCATGTAAAATAGATTGTATTGATATTTGTAGGAAGTAGCGGGTTCTTACCTCTGATAATGTCATCCAAGTATTTGTTTGAGTTGATGGTGCGCCTAATACTTTCGGTCGTATTTCTACGTGGTTCTTTGCGAGGACGTGTTGAAGTATTCAGTTTCCCTTCACTCGCGATGTTTAACGACTGGAACTTATCCTCCATTTGCTTGGCTGGCGGTGTTATTAGAGGTAAGGTATTGGTTGATTCTGACGGAGTAATTGCCATATTCGCCAATGAATGATCATTAACAGATTCTTGTGCAACCATAGGTCGCATTACATCCGAAGGCACTAATTCTAGTGTATTGCTTTCTAGCTCAAGCACGGAGTCTGTGTTTTTCAATATTCCCTTCGGCTCCAAAACTGTAGGACCCATATCTGTCCCAAGGTTACCTTGCAATAAAGTATTTTCTGGTTGTAAATGTTTGTGGGTAACATGATTATGTCCCGGTACTTCATGTAATAATATCTCTCTTAATTTATACCTAGAAGAATCAAGTCCGTTTTCTGCGCAAAATTCATCTAGTACTTGGCCCATCAGCGCTCTTGCTGAAATAAAAATTAGTGAATAATCAGAAGTTGGCAATGTGTCATTAAAGTTTCTTAATATTTTTAGCTCGATTGTTTCATCTTTTCCATTAACTAGTAAAGAATTCCTATTACTGTTGACACTTGAATTTGTTTGCTTTTTCTCATGCGCCAATAGGTTCTGTCTGAATTCCATTGGTAATGGAGCTTGTTTTTCGTTCTTGATTATCTCTGCTTCATCGGTGATCTTACATAATGCTATATCTCGCGGGTTGTTATATGATGATAAGAGTCTTGTCCTATCCAAAATACCGAACGATCCGTAATTTTCACCATCTTCATCAACTAATTCAAGTCTCCATCTATTTGGGTTCATTAATGAGGAATCATTTTTATTGCTAAACTCAGACATGGTAGATAGTTTTAATAAAATGTAACCAATGCAATCTGAAACGGCGACATTATCATTAATATTAAGATTGGTAATTACTGGACTATTGCTTGGAGGTACGTATATATTGAGGCTAGCCTTATGAATTGAGTCAATATATGACGATGCGAATGTATAATAATTTAACGGATTTATGTTGGACGATTTATACCTTGATTGAATGAGCATGCTTAATTTCGAATTCCTTGGTTGGTTGATATTCTCATTTTGTTTAGAGACGTCAACTTTACCAAACGTAAAAGAATTTTTCCTGCTATTTGCAAGCCTATTCGAACTATACGACATGCTGGAATTAGGAAGTGTTTTTGAGTTAGTCATACTATTAATTTGTTCACCATTAGAGTCTGAATTAAGCAAAGTTTGTGAAGCACTTCGTTTTATATTCCCTGTGTTTTTCGAAAGACTTTGACTATCGAACGAATTGAGTCTGCTCTTCTTCTTTTTCAGTTTCTTGGAATTACTTCGGAAGCTAGGTAATGTGTCATTCTGGGTTCCAAACGAATAACTGTTATATGCATTATCATTATATGAATCGAGTAGCATAGATGAGTCTAATATAGAGTCTGTCTCTATGTCTGTAAATGCTGAGTCTGTAGATGATACATCAGCATCTTCGTCATCGTCTTCATCCTCATCCTCATATTCATCTTCGTCCTCAGTAAAATTGGAATCATCTTCAACATCAATATATTCGTCTTCATCTTCATCTATGATAACAGTATCTATGGTATTGCTAGTACTTCTTAATGAATCATCCTGATAGTCGTAACCAAAATCTGTCGCGGAAGATTTTAATACGTCTCCTGATGCTGCTACCGGTACTTCGAAATCACTGTCAATAGTTATTGCATCGCTTGTATCCTTCTCGTATACCTTTTTTCTGTCCCTTGCATTATCTTCAACTTCATCTTCATTCGCTTTTTCTTCTTCAATTAATTCAAGGTTTCTCTCTGACGCAACAAATGGGGGAGCTCTGGATGTATCGTCGCTATCACTGTCGCTGTCTGAATCATTATCGTTATTTTTGCTAGAATGGAAAAACTTAACAATATTCGGCTTGCTCTTCCTATTTATTCCCTTTATCGTCTTTGTATAAGAAAGCCCCAGCAGTTCACCAGTGGACCCATGACCATTGGCATCGCCCGTATCAACTGGCCTTTGGGGTCTCGCAGGCAATTCTGGCGCTTCTTCTTCGATCAGCTCTGCATTCATTCGATCATCCCTCTTATGTACATTCTTCACCACTCGCTTGTTCTTATTTCTATCTGTTTTCTTCCGTTTCTTCATCGTTCTCTTGCGTACCTCGTTACCACCATTCTGAAATGTATTTTGTATGTGATGATTAGCATTAAATGTGATCGGCGGTGACTCGGGCATCTCTAGCCGTGTATATATATTTTGCTGCTGTTTTGTCTCAATGCCGCCCACTGCCAATGGTTTTATTATACGTCTAGCATATTCATCATTATCTGTTAAAGTGAGATAAGACACTCGAAGTTGAGCTATCAAATGTGTTGTTTCCAAGGGTAACGCCATGTTTTCGGTCTGATAGTCTGGTTATATAGTGCCTGCTTCAATTATACATATCTTTCCCGTTAATACAAGCAACTCTATATAGTATATCGATTATAGTATAAGGGTGTTATAGATTTGAATATTATGGTCACGTGAGCCCTGTTTTGTTCCTAATGAAATTTGAAAGCCTTCCCGTTGGCGGAGCATATCCAAGTCTTACAAAGAAGTAGGGTTATTGGACTATAATAAGGAATAAACCATTGATATATCGACCCAGCGAAGGTAAATTTAATATACGCTTATTCTTAACTTTTCAAAATATTGCAATTGTATAAGGATTATGTATTATTAAGAGTTTGTTGTCATTATCGGTATCCCTTATATAATTGCAGCATATTAAAACAGAAGGCGCTAATAAAGAATAAAGAAATAATAAATAATGGCGTCCATGAATAATCAAGATAATGGGTCTCAGTCGAGTCTACACGGATTAAATGCTGAGTTGGACAATATTTACAGCACGTACACCAGTAGCAACAATAACGGCAGTGTTGATACGCTTGACTCCAATTCGGATCAAGCGCCGGGACGAAGTGAGAGGGTGTTTCGGACAACTAGGCTCATTCCGAATCATAAGCGGTTGCCAGAAGTACACATTTCATCGAGGTTGTCATCGCTTAATTTGCTGGAGGACAGGGACATTACACACAGCGCCCCACAATCGCCCAATTCGTCGACATCGTTTGATTTCAATCCAAGAGACCATCATGCGGTAACCAATTCGTCGCTCAATGTATTATTGGACACTCCGACAACTGAAGCGGAATTCAGGAACCTCGTTGATACTACGCCAACACCAACTGCGGAAAGTTTGGGAGACCTTCAGGATCAAGAATCTAATGTTGGCCCATCAGTAGCTCAGAATAACAATGAAAACTGGAATGATCGGGGTGCAGCCGTAAGAAAAGTAGAGGATAAAAAATCAAAATTTAGGCTTATCAAACGAGGTGTGCAAGATTTTGAATTTGGTAAATCGCTAGGGGAAGGATCTTACTCAACTGTGGTATTAGCTACAGATAAGCATACTTCGCAGAAATATGCTGTAAAAATATTAGACAAGAGACATATTATAAAAGAAAAGAAAGTAAAATACGTTAATATAGAAAAGCATGCTTTAAATCGTTTAAGCAACAGAGTTGGTATCATTTCATTGTATTTTACATTTCAAGATAAAGCATCGCTTTATTTTGTTCTTGACTATGCATCCAATGGGGAATTATTGACCTTAATTAAAAAGTATAACACTCTTAACGAAGATTGTGTTCGGTACTTCAGTGCTCAAATTTTGGATGCAATTAAGTATATGCACGATAATGGTGTTGTTCACAGAGATATTAAGCCGGAAAACATCTTGCTTGATGATAAATTAAGAATTCAAATCACTGATTTTGGTACTGCAAGAATATTAGAAAAGAAGAACGATGAAAGTGAAGACTATCCGGTTGATGTTAGAGCCAAATCGTTCGTTGGTACAGCCGAATACGTGTCACCCGAATTATTGGAAAGTAAATACTGTGGTAAGCCAGGTGATATTTGGGCGTTCGGTTGTATAGTCTATCAAATGATTGCTGGTAAACCACCGTTCAAGGCCACTAATGAGTACCTCACTTTTCAAAAAATTACTAAGTTGCAATATGCATTTAGTGCCGGTTTTCCGATGGTCGTTAGAGATTTGATTAAGAAAATATTGGTTTTGCAACCGTCCAAGCGTAATACCATTCCACAACTTCAAAAGCATTTCTTTTTCCAATCGGTAAAATGGAATAACCCGGACCTTATTTGGAATTCTTCACCTCCTGAATTGGGACCCTATAAAATGAATGCTAAATCTATGATGAAAGTACCCGAATTAAATGAATCGTCCCAAGGATCTTCAAGAAATAGCAAGAAGTTGGCTAATGGGGGGTCAGCGAACAGGGCAAATGGTAAACCTGTTAATCCAGCCTCTGTGGCAGCGTTTGTTTTGAACAAGAAAGATAATTCATCTGATACTGATCTCCCAGATTTGGAAACGAATACTGACGATGGCTTAGATGAGAATGTACCTGCGACTAAAACTGAATCTAGGTCTAATAGTAGTGCTGGTGGCAGTTCAAGGGTGCCATCTGCGGCAGATTATATTCCAGGAACCAATATTTTGAGACCAACAGTTACTACTCGAGCTTCATTCTCCAGGGCCCCACCCAATCAAAAGAAACAACCTAGGAAAAAATCGAAACCAGAAATTATGGAACCAACTCCAATAAGTTCATTAGAAATAGCGTGGGCAAGTTATTTGACACATCCAGATGAAAGAATAATGAAAATAGGACCAGTAATATTCTCAAAGCAATTAACTGAAGTTTTTGAAAGGAAGTATAAAGGAATTTTGCATAACGCACCTTTGGACTACGCGACGAAGTTACAAGCGACGAAGTCTAGAGGTAGCTCAAGCTTCTTATCCCATGTTGTACATGGACCTAGTAAGGGGTTAAGGGGATCTGTTACAAGTCTCGATGGTGATACCGTCGACGAAGATGAGTCGAAGGCAATTACTACTTATAAGGATATTGAAGAGTTAGCTAACCCTACACTTCCAAGGTCATCGACAGATAGTAGTAATAACCCAGGTAGCAGCACGTCTGGCAAACAAAGCAAGTCCTCAAAGCTCAAGAAGTTTTTATTACCCGGGAACAAAAGCAATGACAACGCAGACTCAAGTTCTGGCAATGGCTCAAATGCTGCTCGACAAACTTTAGATAAAGGCATAACTTGTACAATGATAGTTACTACACATGGAAGGGTATTGATTTTCTACCGTAACGATATCGATTCTGAGTATGCGTTGATCAATGAAATTAAATTAAGCTATCCATTTATCCAGTTCAAGGAAGTTGTATCGACAAGTACAGCCAAATTTCAAAAGGGAATGCCTTCTACCGGGATATTTGCCATTGAATCATCGATAACCACGTTTGTATTCGAGATAGAGAAATTTGATATCAACCAATGGACAGGGTCATTGGCAAGATCCAAGCTTAACCAATTTGAAAGGGATATTTTGGGAGTTAGCGAGAATGAGCCTGTTAAACCTAAGACGTCGAAATCACCGCCAAACAGATCGTCACCAAAGCCGGTGGAGTCGCCAGTATTCACTAAAGCCACCAGAAGGACGGCATCACCCCCGGAGAAACAAAAGGCTATAGAGCGGGCGGTCAGTCCTGCTTCCACTGAGAGCAAGACCCGTCACAAAGAAAATATGCTTGCCCACAGACTCAAGGGTAAATCGGTGAAACGTAAGCCACCCCCTCCCATCAACACCCATCATAATTCGATCAACCACTCAACGGGTCTCGCATCCCCAACCGAAGCGTACCAGGATGGCGGCTTGTTGCATGCAGCCCAACTTGCGGTATCGAACAACGCCAACAACATTCCGACAGAGCCTAAACGCACCAGTTTCACTAAAGAAACGCAGAATAGGTACGTGATTCTTCCTTCGAGCCCCAACCAGTCGTCAAATTCGGCCGGCAAAAACATCACCTCCATGAATTCGAAGTTTTTGGCCCGAAGCCAACGAAGGAAGTAGTTATTTCTTGTATCTCTATATATTCGCTAAATCTGAGCCGTAAGTTATTTTCCCACCCATGTAGCACGTACGCCCCTATGAGTATCAATTCTAACCCATTTCGACTACGAGCCAGTCTACATCTGCCTGCCAGAGTTGTTTGGGGTCCTATATGGACCTTGTCTCCGCGGTCTCCTCCACCGTTCCATTAGCACTCCTACCATCCATATGTATAGCCAAAACGCTGCACTTGATACTGCTATACGAATTAGGTAATAGCAGTCACATCTTCTCACATGATTTACGTGACGTCCAAATCGCAATCTGTCCGGTCTCATTGACGGCACACGACATTTATCGGTTACCCGGTATCGCAATTACCGAATTTGTTTTGTGTCACAAGTCACAATAAATTTTTCAAAAAGTCACTGCACCAGTCTGGTGATGCTCTGGAAGACCTCGTCAACCACTAGTGAATAAAAATTGATAAAATTTTTTATTACTGAAATTGAATAGGTAGATATATTGCATATTTAACATCACAAAATGGCTAAATTCATTAAATCAGGTAAAGTTGGTATGTATCAAGACTATAGATTTAATTCAAACCATACAGACGGGAACTCGGAGCAGAATTAAGGATGAGAGGTGAAGGATTTGGTGGGTGGAAAAAAAAACCGTAAAAAATACAAGAATTGAAAGAGATGATGCGATATCTACAGTAGAGGATCAGGGAGTAATGTTATGGTGTCGGAATCAATGGTTGGTTGAAGACAGACTTGAAAGTGGACAAATTGAAGTGAAAAATTGATATGAAAAATAAAGTGAAAAATTCGGAGGAGATCGAATACCAGAGAATAGAAGGCCCAGAGTACCGTCGCAAGGTTAGAGATGTACAGAATACGGAATACTAACATATATATAGCTATTGTCGTTCGTGGTCGTTTCGCTGGTAAGAAGGTCGTCATTGTCAAGCCACATGACGAAGGTACCAAAGCACACCCATTCGCACACGCCATTGTTGTTGGTATTGAAAGATACCCATTGAAGGTTACCAAGAACTTAGGTGCCAAGAAGACTGCTAAGAGAACTAAGGTTAAGCCATTCGTCAAATTAGTCAACTACAACCACTTAATGCCAACAAGATACTCTTTAGATGTTGAATCTTTCAAGTCTGTTGTTTCATCTGAAACCTTAGAAGAACCAACTCAAAGAGAAGAAGCTAAGAAAGTTGTCAAGAAGGCCTTAGAGGAAAAGCACCAAGCTGGTAAAAACAAATGGTTCTTCACTAAACTTAACTTTTAAAGAACTTTATATCTACATATATAGGATTTAAAAAGAGGGTTTAAAATTTGTTTATATTAGTTTTTCTGTTGTTTTTTCTTGCATGGGTTTAAAAATAAACAATAATTTTACGATTTAAAATAGTTTACTTTAAACGTATGTAGTCTTGATGTATATTTACTTGATGTATTAATATAGTTGTTAGTTACATTTAAAAAAATTTCAACTGTTTAAACTGCAATTCCTCTTTCAAAACTTTCCTGTACGGCTCTTCGCAGGAAAATTATTCTGTAGAGTCATAAAATCACCCATCTTGTTGATCTAATTTCTCTGGCAATTGGTAATCATATAAGAGAAAAACGAAGATGTCAGTACCTAAGCTTGAAGAGGAGGTCAATAAGTTAAACCTCGATGCTGCGGATCAAAAAATCACACCATGGGAAGTAGAAGGTGCCGTGGTTGATGGAAAAGCTCAAGATATAGACTATGAAAAATTGATTAAACAATTCGGTACTAGACCTATCACGCAAGAAACTTTGCAGAAGTTCAAAGACGTTACTGGACATGAACCACATCCATTTTTAAAGAGAGGTGTGTTTTTCTCGGAAAGAGATCTCACCAAAATCTTGGGGTTGTATGAACATGGTGAATCGTTCTTTTTATATACGGGTAGAGGACCTTCTTCAGACTCGATGCATTTAGGCCATATGGTGCCATTTGTCTTTACCAAGTGGTTACAAGATGTGTTCGATGTTCCATTAGTGATCGAATTAACTGATGACGAAAAGTTCCTTTTCAAGCCAAAATTGACAATCGATGATGTGAAGGGCTTCTCCAAGGCTAATGCCAAGGATATCATCGCGGTTGGATTCAATCCTGAAAACACCTTTATATTTTCTGACTTGGATTATATGAATAGTGCATTCTACGAAAATGTTGTTAGAACATCTAGACAAATTACCACATCAACTGCTAAGGCAGTCTTTGGATTTCAAGATTCCGATTGTATCGGAAAAGTTCATTTCGCCAGTATTCAAATTGCAACAGCTTTCCCATCATCTTTCCCAGGTGTTTTGGATTTACCTCCAAAGACTCCATGTTTGATCCCATGTGCTATTGATCAAGATCCATATTTCAGAGTGTGTCGTGATGTTGCCGATAAATTAAAATTCTCGAAACCATCTTTAATTCATGCTAAGTTTTTCCCAGCTTTACAGGGTTCTTCCACTAAGATGTCTGCTTCTGATACCACTACTGCTATTTTCATGGGGGATACTCAAAAGCAAATCCAGAAAAAGATTAATAAGTACGCATTTTCTGGTGGTAAAACTTCTGTCGAAGAACATAGACAACATGGTGGTGACCCTGATATCGATGTTGCTTATCAATATTTATCGTTCTTCAGTTACGATGACGATAAGTTAGAAAAATTGGCCAAGGACTACAGATCTGGTGACCTTTTGTCTGGTGAAATGAAGAAGGAATGTATCGACGTTATCCAAAATTTTGTTGCAGAATACCAAGAGAGAAGAAGCAAGATTACCCCAGAAATTGTAGACTCATTCATGAAACCACATAAACTAGTATACGGTCAAAAGGAAAGATTGGTCCCAGCTACCCCAAGAAAGTAGATTTTCCCATACAACTATATAATGCAAAAACCTCATAATATTTATTAGTGTAATATACTCTATAATCGTAGACCTCCTATTTTAATAACTGTTTAACATTATCTAAAACAAACATTAATTTGTTAAAGTCATTCTCGTCTGTTTCGTTACCCTTGCCAAACCATCTGGATCCAATTGATAAAATTAAATTTTTTGGTTCTTGAGATACGAGAACTAGTTTTCCAATTTGAGATGCAACCACTTGTATTTTAAGATTGCTGTGATCCCCTATTAGTATAACAGGCTCCACTCCCCCATCTTCACTGTTACTTAAATTAGAATACGCATTAATAGATGACTTTGAAGATACTGGAATATCAAACGTTGTGTCCATGACTCCATTGATTTGAACGTTCAATATTATTTTATCGTTTAATTCTATCTTATGAAACGTGAATTCATTTTCGTCGTCTCCGGGAAAGTTTGCAGTTATCGACTTACTGAAGTCTGGTGTAGATTCCATTGCAAACTGGAATCCTATTGAAATGGCTACTCTAATCCTACTAATCCTATGATTTTTATTTAACTGTATGTCGTGCGCCAACCATACAAAAATGATACCATCATACTACTTTGTCTTATAGCCCATATCACTGAGTATATAGCGAGAAAAAGGCTATTAAGGTATTCAACAGTCCTGTTCCTGACCAAAGGAAAGCTATGAATCTGAAAAAAATTGTTTTCTTGAAGGTGTTTCTCTAGTTCGGCAGAGTGTACAAAGACATTAACATATTGAATCGTCTAAAGGAAATCATTTACATTCGTAGCTCTTCATCTTTTATCTTGTGTGTTATATGGCTTATACAATGTCTTATATAGATTGTATTAATCATTCCTCCTTCTGACTGATAAGTTTCGCTATAATTGATACTGGCTGCGAAAAATTGGGTTATTTGTAAAAACTTATAAAATTTGCAATACCAATAATAAATACTATTTTCCCAAAGTGTTCAAAATCGTATACAATAATCTACTAAGAACAAAATACACCCATTACGCTAATAGATTAAGAACGAGTAGTTGTATTATTATGCGGTAATATCCAAGGACAAGAGTGTCCTATATGTTCCTCAGAGTAAAAAATCATTCTGCAGAGCCGAGATCTACAGAACGCAGACCGTACTCAACCGAGCAAAATAGAGTTATGACATAGAACGGTTGCTCCTATGTCCGAAAGTACACTTGAAATACCGATCACAGGCGAATTCCTACCTTCAAAGGGCTTTGATTCTTGTAAATCAGCGATTCACCGATATTGACGTCGCTTCGCACCAAAGCTACCTCCTATTGGTTTGGTTTCGTTCAGTATTACGGTGTATCGTCCGACAATGCACCATTCTATCGACCCAATTCTTCGGGTTGGTAACAAACTATGATATCACGTGAAACTTACAATAACGATTTCAATAATAGTCCGTTAAACGGAGAAGATACAACGTATAAAATTAGATACGAAAAGTAGGCTTATTGTGTTATCATGTCAAAGTCAAAGGCTATGTCTGTCTAATAATGCAAGGTGAATTGACAGCTTAATTCATTAGCCAAATCCTTCTAATTATTAGTAAAATTTATTCCGACTGCGGGATGAAAAAATCAATAAGCAGAAATATGAATCAGCGTGATTCAGAATAACGAATTTATATAAGTGCCTATATATTGCATGGTAACGATATAAAATACAGATATTGTATAAATCCTATCTCTCAGATTAAGAATTTCTTAGGTATTAGTAAACATGTCTGCTAAATTTGTTTCAATCCCAGAAGCTATTGAAGCGTTCAAGAATGGAGAATATTTAATCGTTATGGATGACGAAAGTCGTGAAAACGAAGGAGACTTGATTATGTCTGCCGAATTGATGACACAAGAAAAGATGGCATTTTTGGTCCGTTATTCATCTGGATATGTATGTGTTCCATTATCTACTGAAAGAGCAGATGCGTTGAACTTACACCCAATGTTGGCGAACGAAACGGATAGACATGGTACTGCTTACACTGTTACCTGTGATTACGCTGATGGCACGACTACGGGTATATCTGCGCATGATAGAGCTTTGACTTCTACCAAATTGGCGGATCCAAATTCGAAGCCGGTAGACTTCATAAGACCGGGCCATGTCTTGCCATTAAGAGCAGTACCTGGCTTATTGAAGAAGAGAAGAGGTCATACTGAAGCTGGAGTTCAATTGTGTGAGTTGGCAGGATTACAACCAGCAGCTGTTATTTGTGAAATGGTGAGAGATGAAGATGGTTTGATGATGAGATTAGATGATTGTACTAAATTCTCAAAGACGCATAATATTAAGATGATTACTATTGAACAACTTGTCGAATATATTTCGCAATAAGCTAACTTTCTAAAAAGGTTTTCTATTATTGTATGTAAAGATATATATATATACTTAGGTTTGGTTATTGCAACATTAATTGAGCCTTTCTTTTACCAGTAATTTCATCCTTAATTGACTTAATGTTAACTGTAACTTGATCGAAAACACCGACACATCTCTTCTTTCCAGATAAGTCAGTAAATGTTAATTCAAACTTATCTTCATTATACTCTGCAGAATTTGCATCACCTAGCATATCTAATTTGATTAAACCTTCCACCCCGAACTTTGGAACTAAAACAACAATACCGTTATTAAAGCATTTGATGACGTAACCTTCCTGGGTAGACTCATTATTTCTCATGACTTGTCCAACATAATATTCAATACTTGCTCTTCCAGCAAACTGAGCGTTTCTATGACGTCTGTTGATGTTTTTAACAATAAGTTCCATCTTATTTTTATCTCTGTGACTCAAATCTAAGTTTTCATAACCAATTGCACCTGCTAGTTGTCTATGGGCGACCACATCACAGTACCTTCTAATTGGAGATGTGAAATGCGTATAGATATCAACAGCTAAACCATAATGTCTAAATTCTGGGTATCCATATGAGCCCGATGGGAAATATTCTGCCGCCATCATACATCTAGTGGATAAAATACGCAATAAAGTATTGAAATATGGATCTTTTGGATCATTACAACGGTCCAAGGAGTCAGCTAAAGACTTAGACGATTCCAAAGAAATTGACATGCCAGTTTTACGAATTCTTAACATTTCATTTAAAGTCTCAAAATTAGTAGCTGGTGGTGGTGCGTGTCTTCTTAACATTGCAGTTTGTGGATATGAATCAAAGATTTTTCTTGCAACAGATATATTTGCAAACAACATAAACTCTTCAACTAATGAATTAGTTTCGAGTAATTTCTTAATTTCAACTTCACCAGGATCCGATGTTTCGCTATCCATATGAACTTTAACTTCTGGTGAAGCTAAGTTCAATGCACCTGCGTCTAATCTTTTTTGCTTCAACTTTTTAGATAAGTTTAATAAAATTCTCATTGACTTCGTTAATTCATCAGTTTGAGACTTGTCATCGATTCTTAATTGTGCTTGTTCATACGAGAATGCCTCCCTTGATTTTATAATAGATTTCATATAATTAACGTTCACGATATTAGCGTCTTCATCTAATTCCCAAATGACTGAGAAAGCATATCTTTCGACAAAAGGTCTTAAGGAACACAAATTTGTACCTAATAACATTGGTAACATATCAATTCTCTTATCTACCAAATAGACTGAGGTACCTCTAGCGGCACCTTCGTTATCTAATGCAGTATTTGGACGAACAAAATGAGTAACATCTGCAATATGAACACCAACCTCGTAATTTCCATTAGGCAATTGCTGAGCATGCAATGCATCATCAATATCAACACAACCTGGTGGATCAATAGAACAAACCAACTTATCTCTTAAATCCTTTCTTTTGGCTAACTGTTCATCACCATTATCAAGATTCTGTGGAACAGTCCAATTTGCTCCCTCTTCTGGCAAACAATCCAATACATTTTTAGAAAATGGTCTATACTCAACATCATGCTCTAATAATAAAGCTTCTGTTTCTGCTTCTGCACTTTCAATTTCACCTAAACTTCTTACGAAATGTCCCTGGGGGTATTTCGAAGTCGATGGCCATGAGTCAACTGCTATAACAATTCTTTGACCCAATAATTCCTTAGATTTTCTTGTACGGATCCTAATTTTAGGTAAGACTTTATCCATCAATATAACGAAACAATTCTTCGATACATTTCCCGTATCATGATCTTTAGAGACAGATGATGGAGCAATCTGACCAACATAATATCTCCACGATCTTCTCATTATACCTACAACCTTTGCTGTTGGTTGAAGTCTCTTCAGCTTATCGTCTTCATTCGATGCTGATGTCACTTTCATTGCTTCTTGTGCCAAAAGTTGACGTTCTTTATCTGGAACAATTCCTGTATTCTCAACATCATTCTCATCATCCTCATCATCAGCGTTGTCATTAACCCCGATATTAGACTCTTCAATGATCGTTGTTGATGGCTCTCTCCATTTATCTTTTGGCAATAATTCTACAATAACGGAATCTCCATTGAAAGCTCTATTCAATTGTTTTGTTCCAAGAATTAATAATGGCTTCTTGAAAGCTGGAACTTGTACAGTTCCTTCCAAGAAATTGTACGTGGATATGTTAAGCATACCCTGATACAAAGTACCATTTTTAACACCACCCATAATTCTCGATGTCGAATAATATTCTGGGAATGAGGTTTCATTTATAGTTTCGGAACCCGCAAACGATTCATGTTCGTTTGGAACCAAATCCCGCAAGTCATCTGCATTAGGCAATGCTTCAATATAGTCAGCCAAGGCTCTTGCATCAATTCCTTCTTTCTTAGCCTTCTCACGGTTATCCTTATCATTACATATCAAGACAATGCTGATTGGAATCTTCGAATTATCTTTATTGAGATGACCTGTGAACCACGAACAGAATTTTCGAATTGCTCTATCGTTACGATCATTTATAGACTCATTTTTTTCACGATTTACGTACGTAGATTCGCAGAATTCATTATGAAAAACCACAAATCTCTTCTCCTCAGATTTAACCAATGACCTTATTCTCTGATAAATTGGAAACGATCTATTCTTAACTTCGTCCAACACAGTTTGTGGAATTACCACATCAAAAAAACACTCGTTGTTCTCTAACAAATCAATGGCATGCAATATAATGTTGGTATCTAAAACGATATAATGACGTTGTCCCTTGCCAAGCTTCTGTGGCTCCTCAGATAAGATGAATTGCGGTAACTGTCCATGTGAATCTGGCTTCAAATCAAGTTGGCATTTGTTGCATAGCTTAGAGTAGCATGGAATATCGTTTCTCAAGTAATGTTCTCTTACAATTTTTGTAGCTCCACCGTTTCTCGATCGAACAAATACTTTCGATGTTACAGTAAGCCCACTCGAAAGTCTTTTTCTGTCTTGGATCATTCTTGGCCTATTATATACTGTAATGTTACTAATACAAAGAATATTTAGATTCTTTAACCTCATCTAGAGGAAATTTTCTATCTATGTGTAGTCACATGAGAAGTAGTATATTAAAGTAGTATGTTTGAATGCATCGAAAAGAATTTCAACAATTTGGGCGTGTGGTCTAGTGGTATGATTCTCGCTTTGGGCGACGATTTAGGAAACTAAATTGATTACTACAAGCATGCGAGAGGCCCTGGGTTCAATTCCCAGCTCGCCCCGATTTTTTTTATCTTTTTTTGTATACTGCACTAAATTACAATTCAATACCTAATACAAACACCTAAATATCAAATTAAATCATTTATTCGTTAATCTAACAAGAAATATTGGTGTAATAATATACAATCACCACCTCTATCTGGATCTAAACCATAAGTATAAAAGTAACCTTCGGATGTGACAACATTAATATGTAATAAATTTAATGGAAGTAAATCTTTGGCGTTATTCACAGAGATATCTTTTGGAGGGCTAGGGTTATTTTCTTTTGCATTTAAATATGCTTGAGGAACTAAATCTTCTTGTATTTCATTGTTTATAATAGCAATTGATTTGATATCTTTGCTAACGGAATTGATTTTCAAAGAGGCAAAATTTCTGGTGGGTTCAAGAATGGACGAGAACCTTGTTGGTAGGAAGTCACCCATTTTTTGTGCTGCTTTGCGGCCCAAAGTCTGGGAGGATCTTCTTATTAGCCGGGCTACCGACAAGCGATTTTGGTCGATCAAAGGTTCCGATTTATTGTCCTTGTTGTCGTCATTGCTAAAAGCAGAATTAAAGCTAGTAAAGGAATTGTTTGAATCTTGGGATAATTTTCTATGCTTGCTAGGTATGACCTCCAATGATTCGTCGTCATCATCGTCTGCATCACTGTCATCACCATCATCCTGAATTATATCGTCGTCTTCTGCGTCATCTTTTTGTATTTCGTTTTCATTTTCTTCTGTAATAGTTTCATATTCTGGATTCAATTTCAATTTCTTTGAATTTCTCTTTCTCTTATGTTTATTTTCTAATGACTCCTCCTCGCCTAACCTAAAAATATGTACAGTTCCGCTTGAACTGGTCGCAAGAACATACTTATTATCAAAGCTGAATGAAAGCGAGAATATTTTAGTTGGGTACGTACCTCTTCTGAACTGATATAATTTTAAACCAGTTGCCACAGAAAAGACTCGTACAATTGTTCCTTTATCTGATGCTGTAGCTAATAAAGTGCCGTCAGTGGATAATGTTATGGCGGCTAATGCAGATTTATGGGCTTCGATGACTGAAAGCGGTTGTAAAGTGGTGGTATTGAATATAATAACATCTCCTATTCGATTGGGGCTATTACTTACCGACTGTATATTATTTTGAACTGAATTCATCCCACCATTGGTATTTATCCCATTCACCAACAATGAGTCATGAGTAATGGTTTTTGGTGGCGATGGATAAGCCAAGTAGCTATTATTCTTGCCATCACAATTATCGGCAGATAATGTACATAAGCCATTGCCGTTAGGACTAGTTTCAATAGTGTGTAGTAATTTCATGGTCGTCACGTCGTATATATATATTTGTTCCTCTAATAATATAATCATCCTAGATTTGCTTAATTTAACTTGCAAGATAGTTGATGGGAATATTAGCTCACATATGGTTGACTGTCGTCTGGTATTTATGATCTTAAGCTTTCTTGGCGAGGATCCTACTTCTTCACCCAACCCAACTATTGCTATCAATGACGTACAGTATAACATTTCAATTTTTCCAATGGATTCATTCTTTTTAAACTGATAACATTTGCCAAATTTTGGCTTACAATTGAATATCTTATATCCATTATTCAATCCAAGTGCAATACAAGATGCATCTTGATTGAAGGTTATAAAATTAACCGATTCATCAGCATTTCTTATAGATTTTGTAATTGACGAAACTTCATCGTTATAGTTCGAACTATTATTATGTGAACCATCTATATGGCCAACATTCGATTGGGTTTTCAACATGTTCCAAGGCGTGTTGTATACTTTCATACGTAAGTTTGTAATTAAACATGATGCTATTTATGTTAATATTTATTACACAAAATCAGAGGAATGCTTTATCGAATATTCTACTAACGGATGGTCATAGATATATAGTAATATTCACGGCTTCGTATAATCTAAATAAAATATTGAACGATTGATATTGTAACATGAATACAGCTTGCATTTCTATTCTTTTTTTCCGAATTAAGTATTTTGGACTAGCCAAGAGGTGAATTTATCAACCATTTCAGGTGTAACATCATGTCCCACGCCTTCTTGTATAAATACACCTGTAGTTGAATTTGTATTGGTGTAAAGATCAACCCAAACGTTTGATAAACGAGGTGGAACTAACGTATCATTTTCACCGAAACTTGCGAACATCTTAATCTTAGAAAATGGAAAATTGTCAAATATTTCACTATCTTCTTGACAGATATATTTATGGAATGCCTCTGGATAAATAGATTTCTTCTGATCATCTGTCAACATTAATTCATTATAATCAAAGTAAAACCAGCGCTTGTCAAAGTTAGGAGAATCGAGTTCGGAATTAAGAAGTCTGTTGATCAATAACGAAGACAAATCATTACACCCAACGACTGGATTAATTATATCAACCAAGTCTGGATATTTGTTAGCGAAACGAATAACGGTATGTCCACCTAAAGAATAACCACTTAAAATGTTGGAGAATTTAATAGTAGTATTATGATGAACTTTGGCTTGGTCGCACAAATGATATTCTAAATTCAAGTAGCTTGGCAAATAGGTCATGATCAATTTAGTATCGTCTATTATACCGTCGATCATGGAAATCATATCTAACGCATGCGTATCATTGCCTGACTTCCACGACGAGTTTTTCACATCATCAACTTTTCTTGCACCATGATTTCTGTTATCAAAGGTAACGCAAATTAACGGCACCGTCTGTTCCTTCTTTTCGTAGTATTGCTTTAATACAGTATACGCAATTGACTCAGTAAACTTATAATCACCACATCTTTGGTGAATCAAATAAACGACATTTACTGGTAACTCATTGAATTGGTTCCTGCTGACATTATTGTCATGATGCTTGACACTTTCATTGAATTTCTCAACATAAGGAATTAAAGCTTCAGTATTATATAAATAAGTTGAGATACCACCAATGAAGATATCCTTCTTAGAGTACGTAGTAGGGTCAAACTGGAATGCCTTCATACTTCGATATAACTTCTTCTATTAGTATTCAATGGTTTATACGTATTCTTCACTTCTTTCAATTCTCACTCCTGAAGATCATTCATTTTACTCCACAAAATTAAACGCTCCTACAAAATATACAATAAATATAATATACATAAATACTATACATGAGACATTACTAGTTATTTATCCAAATTGATTAACACCTAAACTAGAATTCTTAATGGCATTTTGAAGAGCTAGTTTTTCATGCTCTTTTAACTCTTTATTTGAAACTTTTTTGTCGGATGACTCTATAGGCTTCTCAGGTTTGATATGATCTTTTTTGCTGTCACGTAGATTATGACGCATATTATTCTCTCTTTTATCGACTATAGTTTCAGAATCATCGTCATCATCATCATCGTCGTCGTCATCATCATCATC